GCGGGTATTGCACGAGACACCCCAAAGGAGGCCTCTCGCGACGCCTGGGTTTTCGGCTGTTGGGGGGAAGGCGAAGACTGCGTCCGGAGAGCCCTCTAAAGCTTAGGATTTAGGGGTTATTTCGGGTGTTCACTTGTGGTAGCATATAATGGGAAGAGAAAATATGACGAGCTCGGAGCCCCACACCCCAAAAAAAAAAGAGGTATCATCAACTATGCAACCAGGTGCCAACAAGACTATACTACATAGGGTCTAAGGCACCCGACCCTCTGGGCTTGTGACGTTAAAACTCGAAAGCAAAAATCTCAGGCCCTTCCGGGAGTTTCAGTGTGTCTTGCGTGCCGCTCATGGTGCCTAAGGACGTGAGTAGAAGGTACTCAGGGTGGCGTCTCAAAGTCTCAAAGTCTCAAAAGGCCTGAATGCTACCCTACCCCGAACCCTGAAGCCCTATAAACACTACCCCCCACGCTCCCCCGGCCCCAAACCCTAAGGGCCCAAATTCGACGCAACTTTTTCGCGGCCTTCAAAGGGGGGAAACATGGGCACATCTCTCAACCCTGAACCCTTCCAACCCTTCCTTGTCCTGCCTGTTGCGGCCTCTTGCGGCCTCTAGACGGACTCCGACCCGTCCTTGCTGTGGGGGGTTTAGACGGTTTAGAGGTTAGGGTTGAAGGTTTAGGGGGATCAAATGTTCTGCTTCAATCTCTCTGGGAAGAGGGCGAAAGTTCTAGTTGTATAGAGGCCCAGGAGGTTTTGCAGCAGGAGCCCGCTGCCCTGCTTGCTGTTGTGGGGGCGTAGGGGGTAGGGATTCAAGTGATCCAAGCAAGGTTTGGAGCTTTGGGGCTTTTGGGCTCAGGGTTTCTCGACTGGGGTTCAGCTTCATCGGTTTAAGAGGATTTAGGGTATATAATAGGGTATGTGGGGAAGGAGGGGAAAAGCCGCTGGGGTTTCGGGTTGTTTGGTTTGCAGGCCTCCGGTCGAGTTGGTAGCCTTCTATTTCGAGTACCCCAAGAAGGACCATCATTGAGAAATCTCCCCCTATAGGTCTTTATTGCGTTTTCGGGCGGGCTCGGCGACTAAGGCGTTTAGGTTTCAGACGAGAGGGCTTGGAGACCTGTGGGTGGCAACACCCTGTGGATGCCCTAAGCCCTAAACCCTGGCCTATAGGCTTAGGGTTTAGGGTTTAGGGTTTAGGGTTTAGGGTTTAGGGTTTAGGGTTTAGGGTTTAGGGTTTAGGGGGTTGGGTTTAGGGTAGCCCTTCCAAAAAAGAAGCCGCGAAAGCGCAGCCGAGTGGCGGAGTACTCTTCAGCGCTACTCGAGTCCTCGGCTGCACCAGCAGCTTCTTTTGGGAACAAAAGCTTTGGGGCTTATAAGGCTTGAAGGGCCAAGAAATCTAATGGCTGTCTATGATGATTAAGGATGAATTTAAGGGGTTCGGGCTTAGGACACTAGGGTTTGGAGTCTTAAGCTTCAAGGACTTACAGTTTAAGGGGTGAACTGGCTTTAGCGGTTTTTGGATTCGGGTTCAGGACATAAGATTTAGGTCCTTGGGGTTTAACGCTTAGGATCTAAAGGTTGAAGGTGTTGCGAACCCCTGAGCTTAAGGAGTTACAGCTTCCCGCGTCTTTAGCTTTGTGCACCGCGGATGGACGCATAATATCCCAATATCCTGTGTGGATTTAGTAGCTTAGGAGAGAAAGGCCACAAGAGAAACCCGGAATCCTAAGCCCCTTTATGGCCTTTGTGGATACGTCTGGGCCTCCTCTAGGTTTTGGGTGCTCCTGTGCCAAGCCCCCGAACCTTGAAATGGAGCTTCAGGTGCTTACGGCTTTGCCGCTAAGGCACCAGGGGCGCCGCAAGAAGCTGCCGGGCCTGACACGCAAGGAGGCCCCCGAACTCGGATTCCTAAGACCTACGTGACCCCATTTATTGGGGAGTTTCGAGGACCTGAGGAGCTGTTGCGGAAATCTTAGGACTTAGGCTTGGGTTTGGGGTTTGAGTCGGTTTGAGGTCGCATGGCTTGGTCTTAAGGGGCCCAGGCTCTGTTCCTTCATTCCCCAGTACCCCAAAGAAAATCCGTTTCTGGCCTCATGGGGTTTACAAGGGAACCATACTCTTAGAAGAGGTAACAAGGATACTGCAGGGCATCCCACTGGAGGTGACGCTACTGCGCATGCTAGTTGCTCTAGGGTTTAGGGTCAGGATGTGAGATTGAGGGTTGAGGGTTGAGGGTTTCTCGGGGCTTGCTACACGGGGCACTTGGCAGGTAATTGTAGGGAACCTTACTGTGGTCAACTCCGACTCCCAAACCTCGAATCCCCGACCATCTACACGCACTCTTGTGGGCGAAGTGCAGAGAGATGGTTCTGTTTTGTATGTTAATGTGCTTCAGAGAGCTCTTCGGCTTTGGGGTCGCAAGCGCACCAAAGTTTGAGCGGAGAGCCCGAAAAGACGTTTCGGGGCTTGGGGGGGGGGGGTCTGGGGGCTCTGTGAGTTCGAATTCCTCGCGGTCTCCAACCTGCACAGGCCGCGCTGCCCCTACGGTAAACACAAGCTACCGATCAGATTCCCTGAAGCATCGGCCTTGCATAAGGAGGGATCAAGGTCTTCTGCGGGAAAGTCGAGTCTCTGCATATATATATATATATAAATGCATAGAGAGAATTTGTTTTGCTATATGCGCGTTCACCCTAAGCCATGCACCCCTAAGAACCCCCTGCCCACAAACCCCTGAAACCTAAACCCCGATCCCGAAACCCCAAGAACCACGAACCCCCACCAAACCCGCATCTTAACTCTTAAAGGAGGTTGGGGTTTCCTGTTTTGAGCTTAAACACCCTAGACTCCCCCCACCCCCCCAGACTCAGCGCCCCAGACTCCCCCCCAGCTCATGGTTGAGCCTGGTCGTCGCGTCGCTGACGCTTCCGGAGTCGGCTGGCCACGGGGCCCAAGAGGAAGACCCTGTGGCGACCCAAGGCTTATTGGGTCGCTGTTAAGGACCTTAAGGCCACCGGGAGAGATTTAGATGTTTGCAATACACACAGCAGTGCTTCCTGAACATAATCACTGAAACTTCAAGTTCCTAACCGCCAAGACAAGGTTTCGGACTTAGAGCTCAGGTTTGTGCAGCTTAGGGTTCTTTGCGCTGCTACGCTACGTCATTGTTGAAGATGGTGTCTTGGACTGAGGGATTAAGGTTTGGAGGCTTGGGCCCATGAAGCTGCTTTTGCTCCGAACCTGGGGGACCTTGGAAATTTAAGGGTGTTGGGGATGTGGGAAAAGCTCCAGATGGTCAACGCTGAAGGGCTATTTAGGACAGGCGTATACAGGCGTCGTCTGCCTGCAAGACGGAGATCACATTCCGCGGAAGCAGCTCGCTCTTAGACACAGAATTCAGAGGGCCGTCCCTTCCCCCCAGCCCGACCATCCCTTACCAGCTGCATGTCCCAAAGCCCCGCCGAAAGACTGCTGCCAGGGGGCTTGACGAAGCCATGGTGCCTGGAGCTGGGGGCTGCTTCTGGGCGCATCATGAAGGTTGTGCCGGTTGTGCACGAAATTCCTGAAATCCCTGCACGCTGCACCTGAAACCCATCCAGCTCGTGCGGCTCAGCTTACCCCCGAAGAACTGGAGAACAAAACGCACAAGAAACAACACCCTCGGGTGAGCCACAAGCGTCATTTTCCTAGAGAGCCATAGATCAGCCCTGCCCAGACCCTGATTGCCCTAGAAAATCCCGAGTTTGTGAACATCAATGGGGGGGGGGCCTGAGTCGAGCTTTTTGCGGGGGCTTTAATATAGGCCAACCCTTGAAAAGCCTAAGACCAGCACACCCTAACACCCAACACCAACCCCCGCTCCCCTCAGTGTCCAGTGTCTTGACAGCCTCGACAACTGCGACCGTAAGCCTGAATGCCGAACTTTACACAGTCGCTAAACCCCTAAACCCTAAACGCCACAATCCAAAAGCGCTCCCAAGCCCGAGCCCTGAACGCTGATCCCTACACCCTCCGAACCTCTTCCCCCCCCGCCCTCCCAGCAGAGCTTCCACTTCATTTTGACTCAAAAGCTTCATAGTTCAGGGTTTAAGGTTGAGGGCACTGCCGGTAGCCGAGCTGCAGCACCATGTATGCGAAGATGATCCCAGCCAGGATGGTCTTGTAGGGAGGGGAATAGCCTCACACCGACCCTCAGCCCGAGGGTTGAGCATAGAGTTTAGGGGTAGAATGGTCTTCTGGTGGCCTCTACAGGGATATCATCTATGAAGGCATGGGTATCAGGAACCAGTTGACAGGATCGCTTGACAAGTGCTGTAGGGACTCGGTTGAGGGGGTTTTAGGGCGGGTTGCGGGCCCTCCTCTCAATTTCCACGCGGCGCAGCAAGCCGTTCTGAACATGCTAGGACACAAGCACTTCCTAGAGATCCTGCATGAACAGTTCTCCCATCTAGACAATTCTGCAATGTCCTTGGAGCACATACGGCTACTCATGCGCCGGCTTCGGCCTGGTCAAGATACCAGCACACTTTGCCGCAGCATTTTTGGCTCCATGAGATTTTTCCTCGCATGGCTGTGCTGCCAGGGGTGAAACTGCACGAAACCCTGGAAGGTGGCAGAGGCGAGTCTAACCTGGGTTGGTATGGAACTTAAACTCTTGCCATCATCTAGAAATTTGGTAGATTCACATACCAACATACCATGACATGCACATATAGAACAGGACATCAAAAAATGTGGCTACCTGTTTATGTTCCTTGACCGCAACCCAGCTATAAGAGAGATTTCCAGGCGGGGAGCCAGGCCACCCTTTGCACGGGGCTTTCATGAGGCTTGTGGGGAATGAGTCGGAATGAGTGATACCAAAGCTTTAAAGCTAACCACCTGAAAATCTCATTAAAGAAGTAAGGTAGGTGGCACATCTTCACATGAGGGCTCAGGATTCGAGCTGCCAGAAAGAGCACACCAAGGCTGCACCAAACTTTGGTGAGCGAAGATGCCTCAGACTATGCCCTGCGGGTCGACTGGCGGGCAGGCTTCCTGTGCTGCAAGTGCCTGCCACCAAAGGAAGCCGCGTACTCGCGCTTTGAGAGGCGGCTCTTGAACTTGCAAGTCGAAGGACCCTCCTGAGCAAATGATGTGAGGTGGTACACAGAACTCCAGTACGAGTCGACGTGTTCTTCCAACAAACAGAATGCTGCACTTACTCAGCTTGCATGTGCAACCCCAGAAGCCAAACACTGAATGCTACTGACCCCCACCTAAAAATGAAATTTAAATTCTAACCCCCCCCCAAAATCCTGAAAGCCCCTAAAGCATGCGGACTCACACAGTTCGGAATCCCAAGCCCTAAGCACCTCCCCCCAAGCAGCTCCCAAGATCAGGCTTGAGTCTATAAGACTGCAGGCCCTCAACTATAGGATCCATTTTGCCTCATCTAGTAGGTTCTTACAGTTTGGGATGTTCCCCCTTAAACGATAACCGCTATGCGTCTAGGGTTTTGTGCTTCCGCCTAGATCGTTTTCGGCATGTATGCATCATAGCGAAATCGAGGTCGCTTGCTCTGTTTGCGGGGAGGTGGCCGTTGGCCGCGGAGGTGCAGGTCCGGAAACCAGAGAAAGCGACCTCGATTTCGCGCGCGAGTTGAGCCTGGGGGAGGGGAGTCCTGAAAGGCTTCTTTGGGGCTTCGCAGGGCAAACGACGTGCAATTTCGCTTCGAAGGTGGAAAGAGAGAGCCAAATCGTACGTCGTTTAGGTTCTTCTTTGAGCCTGTGGGAAGGGGGTCCTGAAAGGCTTCTTTGGGGCTTCGCAATCGTACGTCGTTTGGGTTTTGTGGGGCTGCAAACGAGGTCGTTCGCCCTGTATCCGGCGAGGTGCAGGTCTGGGCGGTCGTTGGTTCCCTCGTTCCGGGGAGGTGCACTCGCCGGCTCGCAGGTCGGAAAGAGGGAGCTGTTCTGGCCTCAAAGGTCACGCCTCTCAATGGCCTCATGGTTGGCGGTGTAGCTCCGCATCCAAATGTCGGAGGTTCAAACCCCCCTCATAAAGTCCCTATTAAGGACTGTTAGTATGAGAGGGAACATCCCAACTTATAGACAACTAAATACGATCCCAAAAGAACCTATAAACCCCTATAAACCCTAGGATCCCCATTGGCCCTACAGCGTACCCGGCATACCCTGAATACAACCTTAGAAACCTTAAACCCTAAACCCTGCTTGTGAAACATTTTTCCTCATTCTGGGTCGTAGAATACTCAAAAACGGACCCAAGTTGGGACCTACCTAGTACATATACACAAACGTATGTATGGACATATATATATATATGTAGATCAGATACATATATATATATATGTGTCTGAGAGGTCTCCGAGCGGTTGTATATGGGTTCTGACTGAGAAGCCTCGGACGGAACATACTGGTAGATGCCGCCGCTGCCGATGTCTCTGCGGAGGTGGTCCCGGAGGAGAAAGAAATTATGCAACCAGAAGTGGAAAGAGAAGGAGCAATGGGTGGCGCAGGGGGTGGTGGCAGGATTCCGACCGGACTCCGTCAAAAGCTGGTCGGCCATGCGCCACTCTTTCAGGTACCTGGGGGCATGTCAGCAGCTTTGCATCAGACACGTCTCGAAGTCAAGCCCCTTAGGCCCTAAGAACCAGCTCTTAACTTGAGCCCAAGACACTCCTGCACTGTGGAAGAGGTGTGGTCGAGCATGGGCCCATTCAGCCCAGGGTTTGCTTTGCACATTCGGCGGAATGCTGGCATAACCCTTTCGCTGACGACCCAGTCCAGGGCCGAGTAGTACAAGTACTTTTCCGAGCTTCGCACGGAGTTCCTGCAGACCTGGTCATCGAGGGCGAGGCCGGTGTCCAGGAGCCAGGTGGCTGTCGAAAGGTGGCGCTCTTCGAGGGCAATGAGCAAAGGCGGGACGCCGCGCCGGTCCCGTTCTCTTGGATTTGCCATCATGCGAATGAGGTGTTTTGCCATGGTCTCATCTCCGTGGCCCACAGCCACCATGAAGGGAGTCTGGCCGCTCTGGTTTCGCTGGTTGATGTCCGCGTTCCACTTTAGGAGCACGGTCGTCATCTCCACACTGCCGCTGGCTGCCGCCTTGGCCAACCCCCCAAGGCCCAAAACCCCAAACAAGCTCTCCCAAATCCTGCTATGGCAAGGTGGCCCATCAACCCAACAACCCATCTATCCCCTTCTGCAGCACCATCCCCTGTACATCCTCCCGAACCTTCAACCCGAAGGGCTCGGAATAATGTTGCCCCCTAAAAACTTAAGCTGGTCTTCGTTGGTAGCTCAAAAAAGGGTTTTACATCGACCTTGAGCCCTTGAAGCCATTGAACCCCTGCCTCATGGAGTCCCGACCAGCCATCCTCAAGGGCCGTGTTGGGATTCGCGCCGAGCTTCAAGAGTAACCTCGACAGGGGCTTAGGGTTCAGGGTTAGGGTTGGGACCGTAAACCCTACACCCTAAACCAGGGCTTTCCTTCAGAAGCCCCGAACCTACTTTTGCAGGATAAACGAGCGGGGGGGGTGTGGGGGGGCGGCTGGGCGCGGGTAGCCCTCAAGTCCAGACTTCCACCGACTGCTACCCCCATGAAACGCCAAAGTGTAGGATCCTAGACTCACACTCTAGTCTTGGCTGATCTTCTCTTGGTTTGCGTTTTTGGGTGGGGTGCGTGGGTGCGGATCACGTTAGGCGCAGAATTTCTACGCTTGATATCACGTGATAAGGGTGGGCGCCAGTCCCTCAGACGCTTTCTCTTGCTTCGACGCGCACGCAGTGTGGCAAACATGTCGCTGTCAAGATGGGCTTGGTGACCTGGTGCGTGCGGAAGGTTCTGCATCCTTGGTTTCTCTTCGTGGCTGCTCTCCTGCAGAGAAGGGGTATGCGTGCCGTGTAAAAACTGCTGGGCGGCCCCGTGGGTGGGATCCCAAAGCGGAACATGACCCAAATGGAAGGCGTCTGTACCTTTGCAATTTTTCATATTCCCTTGGCCTACATATAAACTATATAAGCTCACTCCTAAAAACTATAGAGGGACATGACTTACACTACTGATGGGGAGCTCGCCACGCAAACAACGCAAACAACCCTCACCAACCCCCAGAAGACCTCGGGGCTGTCTGCGCAGAGTTGGAACCCCTGAAACCCTACTTGAACCCCAAATACCCAAGATCTGAATGTAGAAGCCTTCAAGAGGTCCCGCCTGCCTCGTTGCTTCCACTTCACCTGCCTCCACGGCCAGAATGAGAGCTGTTCGCTGGTCCGATCGATTTCTGTATCCTCTGTCGTTCTCGAAGAAAAAGAAGCGAAATTGCCGAAGCCTGGGCAACCCAACTGTCTCGGTTTCTACCTCAAGCCCTGAAACCGCCAACCCTCCTCCCTAAAACCCCTGGAAGCCCCGAACTCCTCCCTAAACCCTAAACCCTAAAACCCTAAAACCCAAAAACCCTAAAACCCTAAAACCCTAAAATTTTCGGTTTTTTGTTTGAGCCCCGAAGCCGAGGAGTTCAGTAGGCGCTCGAGGGCTCAGGAATTTGGGTTCAGGTTGCGGGGTATTGAAAGAGGATTCCGACTCGGAGTCCCCGGAACGACACTTGTGACTCGCCCTTGTTGCGCGGCTGAGAACTTCTCGGGCTCAGGGCCACTGAACCCTCAATCCTATACAAGCTAGACCACGACTTTTGAGGGTTTTTGAGTTTGCAGTGCGAGCTGCTTTGGGTTAAGGGTTTAGGGTTAAGGGTTTAGGGATGTTTAGGGATGTTTAGGGATGTTTAGGGATGTTTAGGGATGTTTAGGGATGTTTAGGGATGTTTAGGGTGTAGGGTTGTGGGTTCCGGATACAGGGTTTAGGACAACTCAGAACACGTGCTAAGGCGCAGCAATCCAAGACCGTTCGGGGGAGCATAGTCCTGGATCGCGTCCGGATCTTCACAACGACCTGAGCTTGAGAGAGATCAAGGAGCCACACATTATGGTCCAAGGCTCTTAAACCCTAAACCCTAAACCCTACACCCTAAACCCTGAATTCAACCCAAAAAACCGATGTCTCCTCATCAAACGGCAAGTCCAAGGCATCTGGAAGCTTCGGCCACGAGACCGACTTGCCCCAACCCCACATCCCAAGCGCTCAAAGTCCATGTTTAGGGTTTAGGGTTTAGGTTTAGGGTTTAGGGTTTAGGGTTTAGGGTTTAGGGTTTAGGGTTTAGGGTTTAGGGTTTAGGGTTTAGGGTTTAGGGTTTAGGGTTTAGGGTTTAGGGTTAGGGTAATGCCATTCAGACCTTACGAAGGGGCGACTCGGTCGCCACCCCAAAGCCCGACCCCGTATCTATCGTCAAATGGTATAAGGTCCAAAACTCCCAACACCCAAGCCCCTGCCCCGAACCCCAACAACCTAATCCGAAGTAAGAACAACCTGTGTGTCTTGCTATCAACTTCCCTAAAACCAAAACCCTAAACCCTAAACCCTAAACCCTAAACCCTAAACCCTAAACCCTAAACCCTAAACCTCCATCTCAGCGACTCAGAAGCTGTCTGATCTTGGCCTGCTCAAAGTGTTGAACAAGGTGGTGGAGACAGGGTTTGTAGGGCTTCTGGGGCCCGTCCGGGAGCAAGACTATGGAGTGCAGGGTTTAGGGTTTAGGGTTTAGGGTTTAGGGTTTAGGGTTTAGGGTTTAGGGTTTAGGGTTTAGGGTTTAGGGTTTAGGGTTTAGGGTTTAGGGTTTAGGGTTTAGGGTTTCAGAGTATCCCTTCCTGGTGATACAACTTCCCCAACTTACCATAATGAAATCTATTAATACTAGGGAGGTGGGAGGGTTCTATACTCCAAGGGAATTGATTAAAGCACCCCAGCTGGGTTTCGAGACGAAACGATGGTTACCCACAAAAAAGAAGACGTCGCATGATCATAGGGACCGCGAACGAGCCATAGTTTAGAGAACAGGCTACATGCTGCCTCGTAAACTTGAACCCTAAACCCCTGAACCGTAACCTGCCCACCTGCCCTGTTTTTGGGGCCCTAAACCTTATGCCCTGTAAACCCGATAAGCCCAATACACCTTGAGCGAGCGACAGATACCCCATAAGACCCACAATCGCCCCAAGCCTTGCAATGTCCTGCCGAAAAGGCAAGCAAGAATCCCTGACTGTATTGGGGAGAAGGGGCTTAGGGCTCAGGGTTTCGGGCGTAGACGCGGTGTAGGGTTTAGGCTGAGGGTTTAGAGAACGAAAAAACTGAAGACCACTTGCAGCGAAGGATGTAATTGGGAGGAGCTTGCCGGTGCTTCTCAAATTCTGTGCGAAACCCTATACACTCTGAGGATTAACGTCGAAGCCGCGGCCCTACGCCTGCACCTCGACTCCTTCTGCCTCGGGAAGCCCGATATAATCGATTCAACCGTAAACTCTCAACCCGCCAGAGATTAAGGTGCTGAAAATGCAGAGTTGCGAACTGGGGCCTGGAACAACCTCCTGCACAATCCAACCCAGAGCTACCCAAGGTCTCCCCATTATCACTTTAAAACCCCCCCCCCTAAACTCTAAACCCTAACCCCTAAACCTAGCCTGGAACGATTGCCTGGTGTAAGGTTTACGGTTTGGGGTCTGTGTGATGCCTCGTTGCCCACACGAACAGCTGCGAAGAGCTGTGCCGTCCTGTCTCGATGCCTCTGTTGCAACGTTAGGGTTAAAGGCTCAACTCACCTGCTTTTGTTCGGGGTCATACCCTGTAAAAAGGGCGGTGTATCTCTATAGCCGAACAATCTTGCAAGGATTGGCGATGCAAGTAAGCTTTGGGACTGCAATGCAATATTCCCTCACCCCTACAAACAGACCGCCTAAAACACAGTTTGCACCAAAATCATGGTTCCGACATTGAACGGGATTTAGATAGGGTCTAGCGTTTAAGGTCTATGGGCCCCGGTTGTGGGCTCTGATACTTATAGTTGTTTTCCACTATTGTCTGGGTGGCAAGAAGGGTTCATGATTCAGATCAATTTCAACATGCTGGGGTGCCGAAAGCGTGCCGAGAAAAAACACATTTCAAAACCTAGCACACGACACCAAAGGGATCTTGAAACTGGCATCTCAGTTGATCTAGGTTCCCGCACAGTATTTCGCAACTCCTTGGGTGCATAGTTCCAGGCTCTGGGTTGAAAGGTTTCCAATTCTCACCCTAAACGGAGCCCTAGAACCTTAAACCTTATAAACTCCAAACCCAAAGCCTGCAGACGCATTAGACTCACTAGATATCACTAGTCACTAGTTGTTGCCATGTGGGGTCAGCTGGCAGACCAGGTGCAGCTGTAACCGCAGTGCGGGTAGTCGATTTGGCCAGCCAAGGTCCTTTTGACACACGGCAGCCCATGTAGGGTTTTTTAGAATTTAGGGTTTTTAGGGTTGAGGGGTTATGGGCTTTCTGGTTGGGGTTTAGGGTTTTTTCGGCTTTAAGGTTTGGAGGTTTACGGTTTGAGGTTCAGTTGTATGACGACCGCCAAAGCACCCAAACCTTCAAGCACCTCCCTACATGTGCATGTAGAGTCCCAACCCCAAAAAAGCCTCAGTTTCTGGCTTGTACATCTGCCCGCAATTCTGCAACCTCTCCATACTAATGTTGCGCCGGGTCGAGGGTTGAGGGATTCAGGGGTCGAGGGTTCAGGGTTGAGGAGCTCAGCCTTTGGTGTTGAGGGCTTCTGCTCGGCTGCGGACTATCCCCACCCAAGCAATATACTACAGTGCATGAGGGTAACTCGTTGCCTGCCCGCTTGGAAAATGGTTTGGGGCCTTGTTTCGTACGCAAATGTTCAAAGAGCTCGTCGATCTAAAACCTCGGATCCAGACATGTTAGGAAGCTGAAGCTGAATTCGGGGCCAAGCCTTACGAGCGCTCCAGGTCTCCGATTCATCCGAGATCCCCGGCCCGAGACCTTCTCGTTAGGGGTCCCTGAACTATAATTTTAACCCCCTCAAACCAAAATCCAAAAGCAAAAAGCCCTAAACCCGAAACCCGTAAACTGCAGCCATTAGGTGCAAACCCCCAAGGCCCCCAAAACCGCACAACCCACCACAGCCGCTTCGCATCCTTCATTGTCTTCCGCTTGAGGCACGGGACTTTGTAGTGGTACCCTGGTCAGAGAAAGCGATGAAATCATGAGGCTCAGGACTTGGTTAAAGGGCGTTTAGGGTTTTGCTTGGGGGGGTTCAGGGTTTGGACCTTAGGGGCTTGATTTTCCATTGCCGTTACAATCCCAACGATAAGGTTTTTTTGGTTTAGGGTTTAGGGTTACCTAAATGCCAACAAAATGGTCGAGGATTCTTCCACCGGGTCCTGATGTTGGTAGGCTCCCTCAATCTTAAGTACCTTGGCCCTCACATGAATCGGGAACCCCGAGCAGGACCATACTTCAGTTGACGAGCCTTCTTTTCTTTACTTGCATCCTCAAAAGGGCACCCCGCATATACACAAAAAGAAGCCATATGCATGTGTATCCTACTTTAGACGTACATACCACGCTCTCTCTCTCTATATATATATATATGTATACATACATGACCATATGTATATGTGTGTGTATGCGCAACCGAAAAAACGTTTACCATAGTCGCAAGACTCTACCGCGTACAGTAGTCAAGCCAAGAATACCCCAACGCTATCCAGGCCTTTCGGGCGGTTTGAGGTTTGGGGTTTGGGGATTATGGTTCAGGTATTACGATGGCCTGAGCGGGCGATTGGCAAGGCAAATCTTACTTAATTCGCTCCCATCCACAACAAGCTATTTTCTCACCCCACGCGCTCAATCCAGACAACAGCCCTTAGAGGCCCTCGGAGGCCCTCGTATGCAGCCCATTGGAGGACTTTGCAGGCCCTTGAGACCTGCATCCTAAAACCTAAATCCTAAGCCCTTGGAAGCCCTTCGAGGCTCTTGTGCGCCCTTGGTGGAAGCCAAAATCCTCAGTCCTAGTCCTACAACCCTAAACGACCAAAGTAGGAGAACAGCCCTATGAAGGCTTAAATATGCATATGTAGGGCTTATATATTTCAGGGGACCCTGAATCCGAAACCCTAAAGCATAGGGTCAGCCTTGGAGACCCGAAGCATTTAAACCCTAAATTGTCCCAAACCAGAACCCCCGGCCCTCCCCCCTTGTTTAGCGTGTAGGGTCTAAAGCCCCCCCCCTTCCGCTGGCCTTCCAGGATCAGCCAGTATTTCACGCGGCCACGTGGGCAAAGCACTGGCGAGTCGAAGGGCACCCCGGTGAGCACGTTGGTGAGCTGCCGAGAAGGGAACTACGGGCAGCCTTACATCGAAACCCTAGACTACAAGACCCTAAACCCTAAACTACTAAGCCCTAAACCCTAAACCCCAAACCCTAAACCCTAAACCCTAAACCCTAAACCCGAAACCCAAGCTCAGGGTGTAGGGCTTTATGTAGATTGAGGACTTGGAGGCTTGGGCTTGGCAGGGGGTTGTTGACTTTGTTGAACCCAAAAGCCGAATCTTTCAACCCAACATTCCTCACATAGGGTTTAGGTTTTAGGGGGTGTAGGGTTTAGGGTATAGGGTATAGGGTTTAGGTTTTTTGGGGGTGTAGGGTTTAGGGTTGAGGGTTGAGGGTTTGGGGTTTCGGTTTAATTAAGGGGATTCAGAACTCGGAAGCCCTAGCCCAAACCCACATCAGAGAGGCCTGCATCCCGCTAACAATGCGGAACACCTTTGCGTATCATTGTTGGGAACATGTGCCCTGCTGAAGGTTCCCGGGTACACTAGGTACACCCGAAGCCCGCGGCTCAGGATTCAGGGTTTAGGGTACAGGGATTAGGGCCTTTGGTTTCAGGGTCTACGGTTGTCACGGTTTAGGGTTTAGGGCCGAAGGCTATACAAGGTTTAGGGTTCATGGGAGTACGGTTTCGGCTTTAGGCTTTAGGGCTCGGGGTCTAAGGCTATGAGGTTTAGGGTTCCGGCTTGGAGGGGTTTAGGGTTTCGGCTCACAGCACGGACCTCCACCATCGTGTCGCCCGCCATCGCCGCAGGCCATAGGGGGATGAAGCCCCGTTATGTCTATACAGCAAAAGGATACCTTTCTGGTCCCTTCATACTGGGTAGAGAAGTTCAACAACTTGGTGGTTTAGCTACCCGGATCTACAGTGACCAAGAAAGTCTAGCCTACTAAGCCCGAGAGACCCGAACCCTAAACCCCGAACCCTAAACCCCGAACCCTAGAAAGCCCCACACTCGAATAACCCACCTTCGCCCTGCATGGATTGCATGGCTCTGATCGTGTGGTGAGCCGAAACCCACGTGTTTAGGGGGCAGAGTTGCTAGGCCTTCGGTATGTCCCTAAAGCCTTACAAGCCTTACATAGGGATTGTTTGGGGAGCTCGTCTAGGGCTTTGGAGTCCATGAGCTCTTATGCCTGTGGGATTTTCAGGTTCAGGATTTGCGCTGCGGTCTCGAGGTGTTTGATCTGTTGCAGGCACTTGGGGTTTCAGGGTTTCAGGGTTTGTAATGCTCGGTCTTGGGGTTCAGGGTGTGGGTTGGTGGAACGCAGCGGTTTATCTCTGAGTAGGGCTTAGGCTTCAGGGATTCGGGTCTAGAGTCCATAGGGCTCAGCGACGCATGCGCTTCGGCAGCTGCGGCCGGGCAACAGTTGTTGGGCCCGATGCAGTCGTCCACAACCTGGAGCTACCAGAAATCTCCCCGTCGACTCTAAACCCTAAGCCCTGAACCCACATGCGTGTTGGAACTGTAAAGCTGTAGACCCTATACCGGGGTAGGTAGCGCCAAGATCATTCTGGAGTGGCTTCGGTGAAGACAAGGCCCCCTCAGATACCCCCTACAAACCCTAAAACCCTGACCTGAGAGGTTCGGCCAGTAACCCTCCCCCCGCCCAACCCATTGAGAGGGTTTAGTCGTGTGGGCCACTGTTTCAGGCTGCCCCTGTAGTGCCCATGTTTAGCCTTGTAGGGGGGGGGCGCGGGGGGGGGGTTGGGGGTTGAGGGTTCGAGGGTTTAGGGTTGTACGGTTCCCTCAATAAGGTATCCTGAGGCCCTCCTTGAACCCTATATACAGACTAAACCCTCATGATGCCCAAAAAACCCACGCCCTAAACCCTTCTGTATCCCAAACCCTAAGGGCCTAGCCCCCAAAAACCTTAAGGCCTCTAACCCTGCACACCCCAGACCCTCAGCGACGGCTTCCATCCGTCACTCCCACACCTGGCCTTGAAGCCCTTGCCGGTACTGATTTCCTGGCCACAGCAGAGGGGTTCAGGGCTCATAGGGTCCAAGGTCTGGGGTCTTCGGGGCGGCCTACAGAATTTCTAGCCCCAAAGCCCTCAAGTCCTAAGAGCCCGGCGCCTCATCAGCTTGAAGCACTGAATCAGCAAACCCCTTAAAGTCTGCAACTTCACATCTCCTTTTCTCTCCTGCATACGTAGCTCATCAGGAGGCCTCAGTCTGAGGAACGCAGATGGACGGCAAATGCGTGGGCTAAGGGATGCCGTGCACTTGTTCGCCGCTGTAGGGTCTCAGGCCCCACTCGTGCTTTGCCTCGTCCATGGACATCGGGAAGACCTCCGCATTGTGTCGGTTCACCCACCACACAGCCGTGCCAACTGGGTGCTCCCCCATGTACCTTGGATCCACACCTGCAGGATCACTGGCCGAGTACCAGCGCGTGTCACAGGATAGGCGCACCCGTGCAGGTGTGCTGTGGTTTGACAGCGAGCCGTGCATGGTGTCGAGACGGAAGATGACCACATCGGTCATGCGAAAGGATGAGGTCAAGAGGGGGCATCCATAGGAGATGATCTCGCGAGCATCCTCAGTGAACCACCCCGTGCCGCGGATACCAGCTGTGTCCACGTCGATGTTGGAGTAGGTCTCCCTGACCTTTTGATAGCGAGCGTCGCGATGCGAGCCGCTGACGATGCAAAGGCCGCCCATCTCCAGATCGATGTCCCCCAGAGGAATCCAGCAGGTCAATCCCTCCCTACTTCCTTTGTTCAGGTACACCGAGTCGGTGTGGAAGCCGCTGTTCTCCCCCAGGCCCACCGCCCGGAGCCACTTGTAGTCCAAGGTGCGCACTTCCTTGCCGTCCTCTGGGGCCCCCTCGAGATCCCTGCAGCCCAAGACCTCGGCTATGAGCCGCTCAAGGGCCGCACTCTCCACCAAGGCCAACATCTCCGGACAGCGTGCCAAGTCTTCGGTCACAGCACCCTGGTCGGTGTCCCCACGCTTCTCCTTGCTGCCCCAGCAGCCACTCCCCCGCTAAAGAGCAAAACACGACGTCACTTGACATGGCGACCCCAAGTTGTTCTGTGCTTCTTTCCCCGAAGCCCTGAGAAACGGAAAAAGCAAACGACATCATCTCGGGCCAGGTCGCTGTGTTCAAATGGCCATTCGTGCCCTCCAGGACCATCCCAGAAGATTCCAACCTTTCCAAGACCGCCTTGCGAGCAGCGGCCACCAGGTCCTCGGGCAGTACCTCCTTCAGGTACAGGTAGCCTCCGAAGGGCTCTACTAGTACATATGTAATTTATGCCTGTGCCGCATAAACTGTTTATCCGGGAGGGGTTGAGGGATGTGGTTTTGCTTTTGAGTTTGAGGGGAGGGTGAGGGGGAGGCGTTGGGTTTAGGGAGGCGACTGGAGCTAAGACACTCCTACAAAAGAAAGAAAAAGAACTTCTTCTGAGAATCGCTCCGAGCCACCCTCTTCCTGAAGTCTCTGGCGCAGCCTCGGCGTGCCCAGGTCGTCGTTTGCAGGGACCAGTAGCTGAACATCCTCCTCCGGACCCACTCGCAGCTCATGGTCACCGATCCGGCACGTCATGAATCTGAAATGCATGTGCAAACCGCAAAGCCCTATAACATCACCAAGAATCCCCCAAAAATCCTCGCGGCCCTAGCATGAGGAGGCGAGTTGCTGGCTTGTGGAGCTGCTGACAGAGGGGGCTTAGGGGTAGGGACTGTATAAACTTGGAGGTTTGGGGCTTTCGAGGGTTTCCGAAGGGAGTTTTCGGGACTCGGATTGTCCTTCCTACAGATATTTGTAAACCTGAAACCCTAAACCAAACAAGGGCCCCTCCACATTTAGGGCTTGGGCTTCTTACGCTGCTGGCATCTGCTCAAGTGGCTGTCTCTTGTTGCGTGCAACCTCGAAGCTGCAGGAGCAGTTAGTCTCCCAAACCCGAAAAGCGTTTAGGGTTTACAAGGGTAACCTTAAGAGCATAAAATGCATGGTTTTCCCCCTTTTTCTTGGGTTTTTTATCGGCTACTCAAAGGGAGCCCAAGCCTAGGCCTCGATAAGCCTCGGCTCTGCCAAAACCCTCGAACTGAGGGATTCCGAAAAGGGGTTTTGTTCTAGCGGAAAATCGCTTGTTTGGGTAAGGTTTTTGGGCTTTTGTGGAATCCTTCTCTGAAAGCCTAGATCTGGGGGTCCGGGGGTCTGGGGAGTATGGGGGTGTGGGCGCGGGTGTGGGGGTGGAGCGGAAGCCCTGTGCCCGACTCGAATTGAAAAGCCGCACCCACTGGCTCATGAAGAAGTGGGTCTCTGTGCTGCGGCCAAAAACATACCCCAAGAGCCGACTGCAGGGGTCATAAGGCTTTAGGCTGTTCCTGTATCTAACAAGGGTTGTAGGTTTAGCCCTTCGAACAAAGCAACGTCCTGAGAAATAGTTTCATGCTACCCTGACGACGGGACTTTGCTAACTTTCAGGCCTTGTGGCACCTGTCACAGGTGCAGCTACACACCGCGTAGTGTTGAAGGCGCAGGGTTTAGGGTTCACCCAGAGGAGGCTATGGGCGCTGCTTTTGTGGGCTTCGCGCGCGGCACCCTAAGCCCTAACAGAATCAGCGCAAACCCCTGTGAATCCCTGTGAACATATTGAAGATTCTCGTTCAGCCCACAATGGCAAACAGAAAATATCCCAAGGGCCTACCTTAACCTCTTCCTGGAACTCTTCTTACCAATAGCTCTATGCGATATAATACTACTGAGCAGATAGGGTGGCAGGTGAAGCTGCACCATAAACCCACTAAGACTACCTTATGAAAGAATCTGTCCCACCCCACCTCCCCCCCCCCCCAAGCCCAGCCTTGGAATCAAGAGGCATTTGCTGCAGGGTGCCCTGCGGCGGCAAGCAGTCCTGGCAGCTAGCTCCGAAAGAGGTGTGTACAGCAGGTGTTAGGGCTTCGGGCTTGTGAGCTTCGAGTTGCAAGCCCTGTTAGGCCCAGCAGGGCCCTGAGGGTACAATCAATCTTCACTTGGGGGTCTGTGGGGCTTAGGGAGTTTAAGTTTTCGGATTTCGGGATTCTGCTTCGCGGGCTTAGGGCTTAAAGGGCCGGTAGACTTCAGGGTATTATTGTTGATCACAATAGCTGTTCCCCCAAATAGTCCCAAGTTTCCCTTTTTGACCTTAATTAAACCCCTCCCCAAATAGTCCCACATGTCCCTTAGAAACCCTAACCCCTGAACCCAAATCATTTCCCAGAAGTGCCTCTTCCGGCACTGGGAGCCAGTTGGGGTGCTTGGGATCCTCAGGCACGTAGCTGGGCAGCGCGTCGGTGATCTGAGCGCAGCCACGCAAGAAAAGCCGGAGCTTCCTTCACCCCGAAGCCCAACGGGATTAGTTCAGGGTTATGATCGTGTTTTGGGGTTTGGGGTTGAGGATTTATGGAGTTCAGAGCAAGTTTAGGTAGGGAATACCTGAACTTCCAGGCGCAGGCACTGCTCCCCTTCCCAAAGGAATTCGGCGATCTTTGCGGACGAAACCTCTTTATGTTCTGAACATCCGGAAAGGTTGAATGACCTGGAGTCAAAAAAGGCTTGGGGTTAGGGACTCAACCTCCACTCTCTCTTGAAACCGATAGGACAAGGAGCGTTCTGCCAGTACTTCAGTTGCGAGCCAAGGAAACAACCTCCGGTACCGCCGACGGAGAACTTGCTCAGGACCTTGCAAGACACTTTGGTTCCTGGACGTTCTATGCCGTGGAACTCGCATACACCTTCCAAAAAAGTCTGACAGCCTACATACCCTAAACCCAAAAACCCAAATCCTGACTGTCCTAACCCTAAAGCATCTCAAAAGCCTGTGGGCCCTGAAGGATGTGGGAAATTGTTGGCACAGGTCTCCCCAGTGAGTGGGGGGGCGATGTAGGACCCTACCCAACGGAGATCAGGGCGTGGGCTTGAAGTGTGGAGGTTTAGGGCTTGGGGCTTGGGGTTTTGGCGTTGCGCTGAAGGTTGCAAGGCAACCATTGTGGCTAAACAGCGATGAGAGCCTTGAAATCCGAATTGTGCGTGCGCGCGCGAGGTGCTCCCGGCATTTCGTGGGGTCCTGCCAACAAACGCTCTAAACCCCTGAACCCCTGAAGCCCTTCAACTTGTAAACCCCCTACGAAACCCCGAAACCGTAGACACCTCGAGCCAGCTCAAGCAAACATCGTGGAGCGCTCATGGCCCCTACGGAGCGGCTGTACGTGACTGCCTTCGGCGCCACGTGCAGCGGTTGAGGTCGGTTTAGGAATTAGGGTCCAGGGTTAAGGGTGCAGACGTGCATCTTGATGGCGACGGCAAAGTCGCCACTTTCAGACGGCAGTAGTAGACTTTTGACTGCATCTCAAACGGTCCACTTATGTAGTATCATTTCGGAGTTGGGTACCCGAAGCCTTATGTAGTGATGTAGTAAGGCTTTCGAGCATCAAGTTCCACAATCGTATCATAAGTAGACCATCTGGGCACACAGGCTCTTCACACCCGAAAGGGCTCCACAACAGCATTTCAGCCATCAAGCGCTGCCAAACGCTGATCCGTTTATACAACTTGCAGGGCTTTTTTCGGGTGCTTGGCCCGCTTCGGGTTTGGCCCTCCAGGCATCCTGGGCCGGTCACCTCCGCGAGGCCTCCCGGGTAGAAATGAGGCCAAACCAGGCCAGCAGGGCCCAGGTCCGCGACTCCACCGACTCGGAGGAGCTGTGGAAGAACGTGCAGCCTGGGGCGTGGCTCTAAGGGGGCTCCTCGGTAGGAGGGCTTGAGGGGTCTGTGGGCTTATCCTTGCTTGTAGGGCCTACAGGGCTTAAAGGCTTCCGGAGTTGACCATGGCTTTGGGATACCCAGTCAAAGGGTTTAAGGTCTCTAGCTGGCGACTCTGAGGGGCTCCTTGCTTTACGTCTTCACCGCGGTCTCAATCTTCCCGAAAGCTTTCAAGAAAGCCACCGAGGTGGGACACTCACAAACATCGAAGCTGGTACCGGTACATGAGGGCACCAAGGGTTATACAAGTTTATATAAGTAATGTATGGAGCGTCATGGGGAAAACGCCTACCTGACATGGACATAGAGAAAGCGCCGTCCTGTAAACCTGGAAGTCCGAAAACCGCGTTGGGTTGAGGAGCTTTGAGGTTTGGGGCATCGGGTTAAGGGCTCCAAAAGCCCATACACTATTGAACCTGACCTGCAAGCCCTTAACCCTACACCCATATAACAGGCATTCGAAAATTATCTCGAGACAAAACAAGCTCATGGCTCATGGCCCTATAGCATGAGTGGCAATGAAATTTGCTGGCGAAAAGCGCTAGTGAGTCTTGCTGGATACATAGGATTCTGTTGATGGGGACATGATTCGGCGGATGCAAAACCTTGGACACGAATGAGCAAGAGAGAAACAACAACCCTGCAAACCCCGAGACACTATAAACAAGTGTATATCATACACACACACACACCAGAAGGACTAGACAACTCAGCACATACATCTTGACATATACATACAACTATATATGTATATATATATATATCTATCTATATCTAGCTGCAAATACATAGAAATCATATTATCAACAAACAAATGCTTCAAGCAACAGAACATCAAAATAACCATGAACATACAGAAGTAACTGAATGAGTATATACATATATGCATATATACACATGCACATGCACATATACATACACAAACACACAGTCGGCATTCTGAACATGTAGCCCTCCCCCCTCCCCCCGCCCCCCCCCCCCCACCCCAAACCCTAACCCTAACCCCTAAACCCCTAAACCCCTAAACCCCTAAACCCCTAAACCCCTAAACCCCTAAACCCCTAAACCCCTAAACCCCTAAACCCCTAACCCCTAAACCCCTAAACCCCTAAACCCCTAAACCCCTAAACCCCTAAACCCCTAAACCCCTAAACCCCTAAACCCCTAAACCCCTAAACCCCTAAACCCCTAAACCCCTAAACCCCTAAACCCCGACCCAAAACCCAACACCCAAAACCCAAAACACCCCTAAACCCCCCCAACAAAGGACTTGGCTTAGAACCCCTACCCAAAACCCAACACCCAAAACCCAAAACACCCCTAAACCCCCCCAACAAAGGACTTGGCTTAGAACCTTAAGGACCGGGGACACAAAGCGCCAAGAAGCAGAGCCCAGAAAGCTCGACCAGGTTTTGGAGATAGCCTTGGAAGTTGCAGAGGGTTGAGGGTTCTAGGGGTCAGGGGTTCTAGGGTTTTCGGATGTAGGGTTTTTGTGGGTTTTGGGCTGCGGGGTTCTAGAGTTCTAGGCTTGAGGGTTAAGGGTTATCAAGGAGCAAGACACCGAAAAGAATGGATGCCCTCGATGCTTGCGAGGCCCTCACACCAAGACTTGAACCTCCGAGCCCTCTCCACCCTTCAGCCCTACATCTCGAACATTCAACTGGGTTGCTGCTCTTGAACTCGAATTAAGCTTTTCACAATCTGGAAGTCGAGTCCACATAGTAGGGTTCCGTTGCTTGGTTGACTTAATTCAAGCTCTTGAAAGGCAATCCCGAACCCCACCATTCCCTGCACTAGTGGCGGATTCCGTTCTCGTTGGGCTTTGGCGGCAGAGGCAGCGCGGCCGCCCGGGCGGTCGTGAACATGGCCTGCCCAAGATGTGGATGGGGTTCATGAGGGCAGCTTGTTCAGGATAGGGTTTATAGGAAGGCTTCTGAAGGGTGTCAGTGTTTAAGGTTGCAGGTTTATATGTCCGGAGGTTTTGAGCGGGCCAACCTGCAACCGTCTGGTACGAAACCTCTGTACAAGTAGGGCTGTTGAAAAATCAGTTGGGGTCTTTTGGGCGTGGAGGCCGGGGGGGGGGGGGGGGGGGGGGGGGGGGGGAGGGGCAGGTGAATCACAATCACAGGCGCCTCAGCGGCGTGCTGGCAGTTGGCCCGCCCCAAGGAATAAGGTCCAGTGTCCACAGCCGCCTGGGACGACCGGGCCATATCATGATGCTACATCTGCCTATCAGGGGATTATGCTATATAGTTTCGGACATATGTTCCCAAATCGAGGGCTCATGCCTCAAGCCTAACCCCCTACACCCCAGAAACCGCAAACCCCCAAGCCTTAAACCCTGAACTCTAAACCCTGAACCCTGAACCCTAAACCCTGAACCCTGAGCCCTGAACTCTAAACCCTAAACCCTGAACCCTAATTCTCGCATCCACTATCTCCCACTCCTTTCCAGATAAATGGGCACGATGCTCCAGAGAGCGTGCGAGCAGTAGACCATAAAGGCAATCGACAAAACTGCTCCGTTTTGACCTGGATGCGCCTGCGTCTGGCTGCTGGTTAGAGACCACATGCACAGGAAAAAACTCATCTGGCCAGCCTGTACAATGCTGAACACTGCTGCCATGAGCCAGGCAGAGGTATCCCAACCCTCCAGCACTGGACTTCCACGAAGGCCGAAGAAAGTTGAAGCAGTTTGCTGGGCCATGAAGGTGCAGGCAAAAATGCACAACAGCAGCATGGCGAGGGCCGCCGTCAATTGTAGGAGAAAGCGCCAGAGCGCACACGGGGGGCACAGCCCGCGTAGCCCACCTCTCAAGATACAAAACTCAGGCCCTGCCTCCGGGCCTGAACCAGTGGCCACCATCGTTGGCCAAGTGTCAAGGTTTCCGGTAGCTTGAGAGAGAGCGTCAGCCAGTCGCCTGTACATTCAATTCAGGAACCAGAGCGACCACAGTCCAGAAACGCGAGGCCAGAACAGCGCTTCGGCGGCCAGAGCCGCAGCTCCTTATCCAATCCTAACGCAGTCCAAATGCAACCAGATGGGAACAAAGGCAGTGGAACTGGAAAGTGAGTCAGCTGAACCACCACGTATGCGGCCCACGCAGGTGGGAGCGGCCAGGCAGATCTGTAACACTGTATCAACTGCAGACCACCCGCCATGGCTGGAGGGCAGCAAAGGAAAAAGGTTCAGGCACCCTGCAAAACCTTGAGTGAAAAGGTTTATGCACAGCATTGCAACGTCGATTTCCCTTACTGGCTTAGCACACGCTGACGAGTGGGATAGCGAAGTGCTCGACGTTCAGCTTGAGTCTCCTCAGTCTGACACTCTACCTGAAAGGCCGTTCTGCGAGAATATCGCCTTCAACCCTGAACCCTGAGCCCTGAGCCCTGAACCCTGAAACCCTAAACCCTGAGCCCTGAACTCTAAACCCTAAACCCTGAACCCTGAAACCCTAAACCCTAAACCCTAAAACCTAAACCCTCTGTGAGCCCTACGCCTCCCTTGGCTACATCTCGGCCTGCCACAGCTGCCGGGGCGTCAGCGCCTCTTTGATTTCCGCGGGGCCGAGGCTGCTCACCTTGCAAAGAGCGCTTGGGGATGGGGCTCTCTGGGTTAGGGTTTAGAGTTCAGGGTTTAGGGTTTAAGGTTTAGGGTTTAGGGTTTAGGGTTTAGGGTTTAGGGTTTAGGGTTTAGGGTTTAGGGTTTAGGGTTTAGGGTTTAGGATTTAGGGTTTAGGGTTTAGGGTTTAGGGTTTAGGGTTTAGGGTTGGGTTTCACTTTTGAGTTTAGGGCTTAGTGAGGGCTTCGGGCTGGCGGTTCTTGGATGTGTTGGCCCTCTAAAATGCTTCGAGTATCTTTGCTGTAGAGCTTGAGGCATTTCGGGTCTGAAACTTGGGGGTTAGGGAAACAGGGTGTTGAGAGTTTGGGACATTAGGGGCTTACGGGTGCGGTGTAGGGTTGGGAGAACTGTGGGGGTTCAAAGTGTTGCAGATGAGGTGTTGAGTTGGGCTTGCAAGTTCTGATTCGATTTCGGGCTGTCGCGCAGAGATGGCTAGGTAATGGTACTGAAAAATGCACTCGAACCTTGGCGAGCCAGGGAACCAACGTCCCAAAGTAGTGAAGGCCTCGGATGTCGGAGACGAGCACGCCGTTGCGAAACTGATCCTTCAGCAGCGGTATGTCCAAAATGAAACATATTATCTGAGCTTTTGGATGAGAGCCTCGGGTTCTGATGCATTCCTCTGACTCTCTGACTCTGACTCTCCGACTCTCTCTCTCTCTCTCTCTCTCTCTCTGTCAGGGATTGAAGTTCCTCCGAGTTCTCGTTGTCCATTGCGGCCTTTTCAATAATGTAGGCGCGGCCGGCATCCGTCGTGACGACAACCAGGGAGTGGGTCGCCAGCGCACCACCGGAGCCCTGGGCCGCGCGGGAATACCACTGCACTCGAACCACGCGGTCGCCGTCCTTACAGCTTTTCGGAGGATTCAGGGTTTTGCAGGTTCTAAGCCTTGTGCATACTTGTGAACCACACACTGACAATAGAAGCCATCGTGGATCCATTCACTTCGAAAAGCACGGAAGTCTGCCAGCAGAGCCCAGGCATCTTCAAGGCAGTCTTGGAAGGCCATGCCATCCCCCATGGAGCCCACGCTGTCGGACTGGAGGAGAGAAACCACCTCCTCCTGGGCCGTGTAGGGTTTAGAGTTCCATGGTTCACGGTTCTAGGGCTTGGGACTTGGGGATAAGGGGGTTTTCAGGGGTGTAGGCTTTCAGGGCTCAAATTTTGAGGGCTTCGAGGGATGTCAAGGACTCTGAGCATCATTCATCTCTGCAAATCCTAGCCATACACTCCGCCACCCACCCCCCCCCCCCCCCCCCCCCTCCCCCAAGGGTTCTCTGTAGTAGTTTAGGCTGACTATACTTGAGCAGGAACCTTGGTGCGTGTGTGGGTATTAGGGCATCCCATGACGAGCCCGAATGCTTAAGTCTTACACCCTAAGCCCATATCGTCTCTGAACCCTCTCAACAAACCTAAATCAAAAGCCCAACACACAAACCCTGCACCCCGAACCCAAAACAAAGCTGAAACCCAAACAAAGAAGCCGAAACCCTCATAACTCATGACTGACTCATAATCATCAGCCCAAGCCCCAACACCCTAAGCACTTGTCATCTTGATGGGCCCTGAACCCGCATAAGCTCTGAAACTTAATACTCGCCAAAATCTACACTTCAAAACGCATAAATCCAGACACCCACACTCTCAACTCTCAAAATGCATTCAAAAAAACATCAGGCAGCTGATCAGACCTTAGCCATGCACACACTTAGGCTACGGTGAAAAATCCCTCCCCCCCCCCTCCCCCCCCCCCCCCGCCCCCTCCCCCCCCCCCCCCCCCCCCAAAGCCCCCCCTCCCCCCCCTTCCCCCCCCCCCCCCCCCCCGCCCCCCCTTCCCCCTCCCCCCATCCCCCCAAAGCCCCTCCTGCCCATACATTGCTGCATGATGGAGCGATGTGTAGCCGCGTCTGTCCTGGATGGGCTTAGGGTTTCTCGGGTTTCCCGATAAGCCCGAAGCCCCAAACCCTTAAACCCTAAACAATCCAGATTCAGGAGGCTGAGTATGGAATTCAGGGTCTGTGGGGGGTTCGGGTGTTTAGGAAGATTTTAAACAAGTTGAGCGCGCCAGGGTTTGGGATTGCGGGTGGGGAAGCTCCAAGGTTTCCGGGCTTCGGGCGTTTTGAGTTTCAATGCAGTCCTAAACGAATGATTATTTTGGTGATGTAGGTTCTGGGTCTAGGTTTTGGAGGGCAAGGCCTTCGGGGTATGGAGGTGAAGCACAATTAACACAAGTCCCTCAAACCCCTGAGTACAAAAACAGAAATAGACCCCTCATACGCCTAAAACTTCCTAAGCCCTCCAAGCCCCCAAACTCCCCAACACCAAGCCCCACTTGCCCAGCATAACAGTATCAACAATACAAATAATAACAGAAGCAATAAGAACAATGAGAACAATAAGAAAATAATGGTAGTAATAATAATACTCATCTGACAAACATATGCATCATAATAAAAAGAGTATCAAAATATCAAATATAATTAAAGCAATAATAAGACGACGACGACGGCGGCGACGACGATGACGACGGCTACTGCTACTGCTACTGCTATACTGCTACTGCTACTGCTATTACTCATAAGAATCGCGATAGCGTCCTTGCGCGTCAGGCTGCCCGCCACGCCCTCGAGCAGAGCCTGGCAGACCGGTACCTGTCCATGCCTCGGTGCTTTGAAGGGTTCTGGGTTTTTTACAGCAGGGCCTGTAGGGCTTTACAGGTTTTTGTAAGGGGTGGGTTTAGGGCTGGGGGTGACCCTACCCTAAGCCCTGGTCTTAGACCCTATGCCTTCTGCAAGTTCCCAAAGAGACGTCCCAAGAACATCTTTCGCTTAAATCCTCAGAAACCTTAAGCCCTACACTCTGACCCTGAACCCCAAACCCTCTACCCTAAACCCCAACCAAGGACACCCAAGTTGCTTCGCCGCCAGGTGCAAAGGCGAACTTTGAGAGTCCAGCGCTTCAGCGCTCGAAGTGCTTGCGATGCAGTTTTCCACCTTTGGCTGGCAGATTTCGGGCACCCTGTTAACGGTTATTACCCTATTAACCCTATAAACCCCCTAAAGCTATGCAACAAATGTAAACCCTATAAACCCTAACTAAAACCCCAAGCCCCTAAGCCGCAGTCATGCTGTGGAAGCTTGGCTCCGGTACTAGGCCTTCGGATGCCACCCAAACTACCTCACACGCTCGCGACTGTGCCAAGGGCTATGAAGGCTTCAGATTCGCCCGCAAAACCCCGTAGCTGAAGCTATGTATCGGAATCGACAGACATCGATATGGACCTCCAACATGAATAGCCGATGATCCCGGTGCCACCATAGGGTTTAGGGTTTAGGGTTTAGGGTTTAGGGTTTAGGGTTTAGGGTTTAGGTAGACCAAGACAGAGTGTGAGAACCCTCATATCAGCTTTGGGAATCAAGCCGCTTGGACGTCCACGGACAAGTTCCGGCCAAAGCAGATGTCGGGCCTTTCCCATAGAATGGTCTGCATCCAATATCCTAAGAGCCTGTAAAGCGGCAGCCAGCGAAATGACCGGTGAGTCCACGTCAAGCACATCTCTGTCACGACATCGAAATTCCGCACGTAGGTCTTTCTGGCTTCCTCCACGCCAACAGCATCGCTCGAGGCCAGCGTGATACTCTTGATGTACTCCCTGAACGCAATGAAGTACAGGTCATTCCGCTCGTCATGTTTGCATCCCAGGGCTACACCAATGAAGAGAACGACAAACCTTGCAAAAGAATACAGAGTCTCTGGCTGACGCATTCGCCGGGGCTTCAGGATTGAAGCCTCTTGCAGCCGCCAGCGTGCTCCGTGCAGGCATCTCTTCATGCAGCCGAGGTAGCCTGCTTCGAAAGCCTTCCACGCGACCGCACACTCAAACCGCAAGTGGCATGAGAGAGGCTGAACCACACCCAAGAGAAACCTATACATCCCAAGCATTCATCCTAAAACCCTGAACCCAAAAGCCCAAATTGCCTAAATAGCCGAATATCAACGGAAACCAACAAAGCCAAGTCTCGGCGAGCTCACATGAGTTGGCCTAAGAGCTGGACTGAGGGCTGAGGCTCTAGCGGCTTCAGGGTGTAGGGTCTAGGGTTTACGGCTTAGGGTTGAGGGCTTCAGGGTGTAGGTTTTGTAACGGTTTCAGGGCAGGGCGTCGAAGCCCTGGTCAAGTCTTACCCCCGAAGAAAAAACCAGCTAGAATTGAGGAACAAAACACCTCGCTGCAACCTAGGGCGGATTGCCAATCCCATATATCCGCTCACCGGCAGGTAAAGGCGATTGATTGGCGAGCCCCAACATGCAAAACTTACTATAGCAAAAAAGATGTCCCTGAAAAGGAACTACAAGTATCCAGAAATGCAGTTGAGGGCTTAGGGCTTACAGGTTACAGGCTTCCGGCTCTTACCCCTAGACAGGGATGCTTTGGCCCGAAAGTAGATACCACACTGTCCTGAAGAGTCATGTGGGGAGGCCTTATAAACCCTAAGGGTTGAGGGATTAAACCCTAAACCTAGACTAACCACCCAAACTAACGAAAATTTGGGAGGGGGGCCTTTAGGGGTGAAGTACTAGGCTGGCATGAACTCACTTCTCTCTGCACTCTGCTCAGCCACATGTCCAGACCGCGCTAGCCAGTGCAAGCGTTGCATCCCACAACCCCTCAACCCCCCCTAAACACGAACTGAGCGAAGTCAAACCCTAAACCCTAAACCCCAAACCCTGAACCCCAAACCCTAAACCCTAAACCCTACATCGACCGATGTGTGTCGAGGAGCAGGGAGGCCCTTGCGCAAGATGGGCATCGCGCTGTACCAGAGGAGCGGTGAGCACTCCAGCAGCGCCAACACCGGGTTCAGGTACTCCTCTGTGTGGGCTAAAGAAAGGGAGTGCCAGTACCCCAAATACCCTCTGTGATGCGCGAAAAGTGCGACCCTAGATAACTCAGGGCCCTATGAACCGCGTATGGGTGTTGGGGGGGGGGGGGGGGGGGGGGAAGGTGTAGATGAAGGGGTTTTCAAGTTGAGAGCTTTAGGCCATGCTTCAGGCAACTGACTCGCTTCAAGCCCAAGCCAAGTCTACTCTGAAGCCTAAACCCTACGCAATCAGCGGGGCTCGGTTCGTTGCAAATCGCGGTATGGCCACAATTTGTAGGAGTCCAGAAATCAGACCAGCTCTTGTGATGTATCTGCTACTACTGTCATTATGGCTGCAGTACTACTAGTGTGGCGTGCTGGAAAAGATGATCATAAGACATGTCCAAGGTCCCAAGGTGCTTAGACTTCCCTACACCACTAGCTGCAGGTACGCAGAAAGCTGCCAACAATGTCACCGAAACCCCTAAACCCCTAAAACCCCTTAACCCTAAAACCCCTTAACCCCCAAACCCCTAAATTCTTTAAAACCCTAAAAACCCTAAGACCCTAAGCCCTAAAACCCTAAGCCCATATAAAACCCGAAATAACTACCCAAATCATGGAGGTCCTCGACTTCCTTGGCGCCAGCGGCGCGCGCAGCGCAGAGCAGGAGGAGAAAGGCCGTCAGCTCGCTGTTCTGGAACTCTGCGTGCGCGCCCTGTGGCAAGGCACCATCGGTCGGAGTACCTGAGATAGGGCTGAGAGTTCTGGGTCTCGGGTTGAGGGCAAGGACCCTCAAGCAGTAGCCACATCTGCCAGCAGAGCCATGTCTGAGACCTCATTCTCTTTTGCGAACACTCTGCAGCCCTAACCCGAACCTCTTAGCCCCCAAACTCCCTCAAATGCACGCACCCTCAGCGAAACTTGAAACCCAGCCCCCCTCCCCCCCGAAGCTTCCTTCCTCTTCTGAAGAACCCCACGAAAGCCTAAGCCCTCAGGCCCCTAAACCAAGAATCAGCACCCAAAGGATCCAGGCACCCAGAAAGTCGATACTCAGACCCTTTTCAAAGGGACTATATGGTAGCTACGTTGGGGTGCCAGTCCCAATTAAAGGTGCCTGAATACTTTGGGTAAAACCAGGTCAGGGCCTGATCCCATGAAGGCACCTTGCCGACGAACCGACTCCTTCGCCTCGCGCCAGCTTTGGTCCAAGACCTCCCGGAGGCCCTCCTCCTGCACCATTTGCAAGTTGGGGATTTTGGGAGGTCTTGGTCGCTTCGATAGGGGATTTGTAGGACTTGAGGCTTTTGGAGGTTCGACCGGGGGGGATTTGGATTCGTAAGGGTCTTGGGGTGCAGGGGGGTCTTGGGGTGTAGGGGCTTCAGGGACTTCCGGTATCAGGATGGGGGCATCTTCAGGATTCCCCAGCGCCTGTGGAGTTTGAGGCAAGGTGTGGGCGGTTTCTGTTCCGCCTTCACTTGCTTTTGGGCTTCAGGGTTTGACACAGTGCTATCCACTGAGTTTCAGGCCACCAGCTATCTGGGATTTGTTGCCATACCTCCTATCATGAAACCCCAACGGGTATGTAGGACTATTACTGAGAAGTGCCCCAGCCTGCATCTCAAAGTCGCATCATTGTTGCGTTGTGCATTTTTCGAAAGAAGTGTGTTCATGGAAAGACGACATGGCTCTACTAGTACTGAACCGTCCGATAATCCCAGTCCCACTACGATGCCGGGCTGCGGGGATTTCTAGCAACCCAAAACCCAAAACTCAAAACCCTAAACCCTAAACCCTACAGGGTAAGTGGAAGAAAGGCGCAGGCATCCTGCGGCAGGGCATCCGCAAGGGCCTGGTAGATGCAAGTGAGGGCTTGAAGGTCTCCCCCGAACAGGATTTCTGCCTTTACAAGAGTTTAAGGCCATGTGTCGTGTTGCTTTTGCCCCACTAAGCCATCTTGCCTTTGTGCTACAAACGTCGTCTAAGCAAAGGATCGGGAAATCAGCTCAGGGCTTCGACTACACGCTAACCCCCGAAACCCTAAACTCAAACCCCACCCACCTCTACATCAGCGCTTGTTTGGGGGTCTTCGTGGTTGGGCTTTACGGTGTTTGGGTGTAGGGTTTGAGGTGTTAGGTGTTGGGTCGTAGGGGGTTATTCCCTCAACGCCCTGGGCCTTGGAGGCCAAGTTCCCCTAAAGCCGAAACTCATAACCCTAAGCCTCGCGCACCTTGGCCATGAAGAGTCCAGACACAAGCCCTCAGAGAAGAAGACACAATACGACACCATCAGAAGCCGAAGCACCCTGAACCCTTCAGGTTCCAATCACCATATCATTTACAAACCCAAGCACTAAAACTTGAACTCTACACCCTAAACCCTAACATCTTGACTCTTAAACCCTACCCTACCCCCACAACCTTAGCCTTAAATCCTTAAACCCCCAACCCTACAACCCAAAGCCTGACCCTTAGCCGGCCTTCCATCGGCCCCACATCAGGCTGTCATCTGAACGGTTTAGGGTTTGCAGGGTTCAGGGTTTAGGGTTTAGGGTTGAGGGTTTAGGGTTTAGGGATGTTTAGGGTATAGGGTTTAGGGTTTAGGGACTTGGGCTTTGGGTTTCAGAGCCGTAGGGCTTAGGATTAGGGCCAGAGCTCTGCCAAGCCAGAATCCTATTCTAGGCCCTCGAAGCCCCTGAATCGCACGCCCTGTAAAGCCAGCCCAGAATTTACTAAGAGCACACAGCCCAAATACCAACAGGCCCGAGACAAAAGGAGCCCAAAACGACGCATTCCTTCATCCGCAAGCGCGTTGCCTGCGGCGAGCCAGGGCAAGAGGCCAATGCCCGCAAGGCTGCAGAAGAGCGGGCGCAGCCTCAGCAGGTCCGAGGGTTTATAGTTTATAGGTACCCTAAGCCCTTAATAAGCCCTATGGAACCACATGAACCCTGTAACCCTATAAGAGGGCCTCTGCCCTTGAGGGATTTGGGCTCGATGTTTGGGCCGACGGGCTTGGTACCCCCAAGCATATCAGGAAGCAACTGACTAGACACCCAAGAAAGGGCACAAGACATAGGACTCAACCCCGATGTTGGCCTTAACTAATGGTTTCGGGGCTGTTGAGTGTTGGGGAATTGGGGAAGGGGGGGGGGGGGGGGGGGGGGGGGCAGGTTCACAGGAACCCGGGTTTAAAGGGCAGAGCATATTTAGGGCTTAGGGGCAAGGGGGGGTCTGACAAACTCGAAATTTAGGAGACGGCAAAGTTGAAAGAGGTTCAAAGCACAGGTACCAAGCACATACAGGAGTTCAGGAACTTTGGGGTTAAGGGATTGTAGAGGGTACCTGATTTCCTAGCTCCTTACTAAGAAGACCTAAGCTCTGTCCCAGATGGTCCTAGATGCGGCCTCCATCCGTGGCTGCTGAAAACCGGCTGCGCGGAATCCCCAAACGCGCGATGCAGGAAGCGCAGCGGCAGGCGAGGCCAGCGCAGCACGCGAAGCAGCGCCATGTGGGACGAGGCGTGGGCTTTGTGGTATTTTCTGTTATCATGAATATCACTAACATCACTATTACTAACAATAATGAACGAGCAACGACCATGTCCATCATGTTTATTGCCGTACGATGACGTTGTTTTCTTTTCAGGTTTAGTGTTGAGGGTGCACGGCTTGGCGAGGGAGTGGGGCTTGGTCTAGGCTTTGGATGTGTTCAATGTTGGGTTTGGGGCTTGGGTGTAAGGCTTGCAAGTGGTTCATGGATTAGGGTTTCTGCGGGTTCAGGGTCTAGGTTTATAAATGTTCTTTATATACACATTGAGACGGGTTAAGGGCTTAGGGTTAAGGCACTTGAGTGCCTTGCTTCTGTGGCTGCACAGACATTTAGGTTGCTAAGCTTATACACTGCTACGTCATAACCCTGACACAAAGATCCGAAGAATTCCAGCAGCAGAGTTTCTGCTAAACAGCAACTCGAACCCGAACATCAGCCTTGAATGATGTGTGCAGTTCTCGAGAATACAGTAAAGTCCTTGGTTTAGGCTACCTAAACTTATCACCTAAACTGAACCTAAAGCCCAATCAAACGTTAACCCTTAGCTTAAACAGCGCCGCCCAAGGTGTATTTAGGGACTCTATAAAGTTGTACCCTTGGGTTGAGGGACCCTTTTCAAGATCCTCTGGGGAGAATGAAGAGGGGGCCAGACCAGCGCGGTACCGGCGCTGAGTTGACACTTTGTGCCGCCCTCACATGTTAGTAGTGGGCTGGTTCTGTGCCGCCCTCAGAAGCAGGCGCCCGTCCGCGCGCGCGCGCGCGCGCGCGAAAAGGTGTTTGCTGATAGAGCAAGAACATCCGCTCTCTCCGGGTTCGCGGGGAAGTCTGTAGCAATGGCGTGCTTGCACACACTATTCGCTTATTATTAGAGTATAGCGGAACCCTTTAGGGGTATAGTTTAAGGGGTACGAGTTGGGAATATCTTGCGTTTAGGGCTTTTAGGGTTGAGGGTTTGGAAACACATCAGGTTAAGACGGGGAAACCTGAGGCAGATTGCAACTCTGTGCAGTGCTTCCGAGCTTATGGTGGAGCAGCTGATGGTAGAACACAACGTAAACGCTAAAAACCTTAATCTACACCCTGAGCCTTTTCGCCCGCTGCTCGCGCTGCGGGGACGGATCGTCAGACATGTTGAAGAGGTCCGCGATAAACCGCGAACCGCAAACGCTAGCTCTTCAAACATGATTCGCACGCTAAACTAAACTCTCGAGCGTAAACCGCAAGAAAGAACACAAAACCCGAAACCCCAAATCCTAAACCTCACAACCCAAAAAAAACCCTAAACCCTAAACCTTGAACCCTCAGCCCTTCGCAGTGAAGTGTTTGTGCAGACAGGCTGCTGGGATGTTCTTGCACGCCATGGAGCTCTTGGTGTCGCCTCACACACCCCAGCACCCTTAAGCTGACACATGTCCCAAGAAACCCTACGAAAACCCTACGAAAACCCTACGAAAACCCTACCAAAACCCTACTAAAACCCTACTAAAACCCTACTAAAACCCTAAACAGAAACAGCCTAAGCCCCTGAAGCCCTGAACCCAAACCTCCCTATGAACCCTTACAACTCCAACATGCCGCAAACCCGGTGGGGTGTATACAGGGCTTCTAGGAATTCAGGGCTTAGGGGATTAGGGTTTAGGGTTGACTGGTGTGCCGCCCAGGGGGCAGTTCACTCGGAACACGCAGTTCAGCTGATTAGGCCCACTCAAGGTCATCCAGAAGACCAGGAAGACAAACCTCGCTGGGGGGGGGCTTTCGGTTTTGGGGTTTAGGGCTTCAGGGTTTGAGGGTCAAGGGTTCTCTTGCCACGGTGCAAGGCACGGGTTTTGGGGTTGTACAGGTCCTTATAAACCCCCGATAAATCCTAACTTGGAAGCTTGGAGCGTAGCAATGCCGAATTTCCCAGAGACCCAGCCTAAACCATTACAAACCGAACTGAAACAAGGAGCCCTAAATGATCCCTACGGCAGTTTCAAGCCCAAAACGACTCTTCGCATAAAGCCATAAGCTTTGAAGAGTTTGGGGTCAGCGCGCTCCCTCTTTCCGTAACAATTTCAACTGTCTCGCTACCCTAGACCCTAAACCCTAAACCAAGTGCTCTTCCTTGCCGGAAAGCAGGAGGTAGGTCACGTTGATACCCACATTGCGGAAGATCGAGCGGCGGAACTCGCCTGCATTGCTTTGCAGGCTTTAGGGTTTAGGCGCAGGGGGCAATCCTAACAGTGAGCCCGCCTAAACACCCCGAGACACCATATAAACCATGAAGCCTATGATTAAGTTTATACAAACCCTATAACCGACATACCTAAACTTCCTAAAGCCCCAACCCTATATAAGCAGCCTCCATAGGTGTTGACGTAGGCTGTCGTGGAGAGCACGATGAAAAGCGCGAGGACCCCGATAGCACCTCCCGTATGCTCTCAGAGTTTAGGGTCAGGCTATTTAGGCCAACCATAGGGCATTTTGGGTTCAGGACTTTAGCGTTAGGGATTTTAGGGATTGTTGTTTTCATAGGGATGTAGGGGGGTTAGTTAGGGGCTTCAGAGTGCTTGCAGAAACTCAAGGTTCGGAGCTGCTTCATGTCGCCGAGCCTCCCAGTCCCCACCAACCCCCGTACACATACAACTGCTTGTTCCGGAGTTCAGGAGTTCGGGATCCACTTGGTTGAGGGGTGGGGGGGCGGGGGTGCCGGCTCGGGTTCTGGCTAACCCTGTTTCTCTTTTCCAAGGGGGGGGGGGGGGGGGGGGGGGGGGGGTTGGGGTTTGGGGGGGGGGGGGGGGGGAGTGGTTCGGGTTCGTACCATACAGGCAATATGACGGGGCCTGACCTGGGTACCTCTGGACACGAAACTCTCCACAGGACAAGCGGCTGTCGTAGTTGTCGCCCTTGTTCATCCAGTACCTGCGGCCATTGTGGTTCTAAGCCGCCCTTCTCTAAATTGGGGCCTCTCTTAGAGTTCCTGGAGCCTTCTATTCAGTCAGAGGGTACAAACAAGGGACCACATTTTAGGCAACCTGCCATGTAGGCTACCCTCAGTAAACCCTGCACGGGGGTTTCTGGTTTGCGAGACGAATGGGGTCCCGGGACTTTGAAAGTGCTCCTTCACTTCAAATGCCCTCAGATTCTCAGGGTCTTGAGAAACCCTTAACTTCGGGACTTCTGAAGTATTCCGACATGCGAGGGTGTTAACTTGTGTTAACTGTATCATTCAGTGGTAGTTTTGCTGGCTGGCCATGTAAGCTGCTGCAAACTTCGGCTTCATAACGAACACCCCGACGCATGGCGTCTAATCCAGGAGCTTAAGCCGCAGCTACATTCAGGGACGAAAGCTGCTGCGTAACAACCCCACATGCACACCAAGCCATGAACTCCAACTCTTGAACCCCAACCCCTCAACCCTGCACCCAAATGCCTATAAGCTCCAATTCCAAAACCCTAACCTGCAGACCCTAAACCCCAAATCTACACCCTAAACTTCATCCTACGTTCACCGCTGTTGGCCAGCAATCTTCGCAGCCTGCGGTGTTCAGGTTAGGGATGTATCGGGTATGGCTAAACCCTAAACCCTAAACTAAACCCTCTGAAAGCATTGAGAGCAAGCGACTGAGCGCGGATGTGGATCCAGTTCGGGTTCCTGGGCGAGTGAGCTGCGAGTGTCTGTCAGCCCAACGCCACTCTCAGCTGGCCTACGGTTTAGGATTTAGGGTTCAGGGTTCGGGTTAAGGGCGGCGAAGGGTACGCTTAACAATGACCCCTAAACAGTAAATCCTACAAAGCTTCAACTCCAGACACGGAGGCACTCCTGCTGCCATTTCTGAGTTTTTTGGTGTTCGGGTTAGAAGGCCCGCTCTCAAAATTCCAAAACGTACTCAAAGCCCATATAACCCTAAAGGCCCACACTGGCTGCTGTTTGGGACTTTCTCAAGTTGCCCATCGACTTACGACGACATGGCTTATGAACGTTCCTTAAGAGCAAGCCGGTATATCCACCCTAAAATCCCCTCCAAAAAAAACCTGTGCAGCCCGGGGCACAGCACGTCGTACCATGCTTGGCCGTGAAGGATCAGAATTCCGACCTGTGTGGTCAGGTTTAGGCCTTCCAGGCTTTTTGGGTTTAGGGCTTCGGAAGATGGGCTTTAGAGGTCTAGGTTCGGTTTCTTTTGCTAGTAGGGCTCAAGACTTCGCATTCATTGCCACAGGGTGGGGCCAGATTGTCTTGGCCCTGGCATGTGCTTAGGGTTTTTGGTTTAGGGTTTAGAGGCTCAGCATTAGGTTCTCTTGGGCGGCGAGATTCAGATGCTGAGAGCAGGATCGGCAGTCTCTTCAAAGTCCGATTCAGGTTTTAATTGTTGTTCTTTAGGGGTTTAGAGCATTAGGCTTTAGGGTTTAGGGTGTAGGGGCGAAGGAAGTTCACCAACAGTCCTCCCAGTCTACGAATCGACAGCTGAGCTTGCAAGCCCATCTGATTTAAGCTCTATGAACCCTATGCCAACGAACAAATATGAAATGAACAGCTGAGTAGAACAAGTACATAGCAATGAGTAAATACATATACACAGATTATACGATTTCTGTAGCATAATGGTGCGCGTTTCCTATATACAGATAGGTAAAGATCAACATCAGCAACAATCACGAACGCTAGAGGACAACATCTCATTGAGAATAAGCGAGGCCTCAGTCTTCTTGTCGGCTGCGGGGTTTGCTAAGCCCTCAAACCCTAAGCCCTAAACCCAGGGTCTGGGGCTTGTGGCTCAGGGCCTTCCCTAACACTAGAAACCCCAAAAGCCTTGAAACCCTTCACCCTGGAAAGTTCTGCCAGGCCGCGTTCAGAATCATGCTGCCGAGGACGTAGGGAACCACGACGGCTGGCAGCAGGAGTCCGGTGTGAAACACACACTTTTTGAGCGTTTAAGCTGCCAGGTTTGGGATCGGGGGGGGAAGGGAGGTTAGGGTAGAGCGTCTACGTGGGTTTAGCAGTCAGAACGCGGGCTTCGACTCAGCACCCCTGCCTGAGATGGTTCGCAGGCCGAGGAGAGTGGCCGTGGGCCGGAACTTGGCCAGCTCCGGGCGCGCACGCGACTGGGTCATGAAGTACCTGGGGCTCGAAACAGCTTAAACCTCAAAAGCGAACACCCAAGATATCCCCCCCCAAGCTTCAGCCCATAAGTTGTTGCAATTTTGGGGGGCGCCTGTCTCGGGCGGTTTCGGTTACGAAACTGTCCTTAGAATCCAAAGACGGCTCGTGGCAAGGAACAAATTAGGTGCGCAAGGAAAGACGCGAAGGAATCGAGGCGGCCTCTTTATGGTACAAACTATGGGCAAAAGATTTTGACACAGTTGAGGTTATGGGTTTATACGAACTCCACTCGTGGCTTGGGGGCGGTCTAATATTGCAACATGTCGATGCGAGATACTTTCGGGCTGGCAGTGATTCAAGAACCGTTTCAGTCGCACTGATTTCGCCCCATAGCGCGATATGAATGCTGGCTGGGTAGGGTTTAGTTTAGCGTGTAGGGTTGACGTGGATACGGGCCTATACGGGAATTGCAACCCACGTCCCCAGGTCCGTCTGCTAGTCTCAGACCAGGAGCATCATGACCACACCAACGCCGATGTCCTGTATCGTCAGGGACTGCAGGAATCTAAACCCTAAACTTAACCCTCGAGCAGAGGAAAGAATGCTCGCGCTTCTGGTTGTGTGTTGTTGGGCCAGATTTTGGAGAGAGGTCTCCTGTACAGGATGTTGTGTCTATGGGGTGGAGATTGAATTTGCGACAGCGGTCTCTCAACTACGTAAGTGCGAGCTATGCGTGGACCTTGCGAAAGGCTTGACACCAGCCTACGCCCACAACCCACAAATCCCAATCCTCCTGTGAGGTTAGCGCTTACAGTTCAGGTAGGGTCGTGGCTTTATGGTTCAGGGTTTTGGGTTTAGTTTAGGACCAAAGGGAATCCTAAACCCTAAGCCCTAAAGATCCCAGACACCGCTTGAAGGTCCCTACCAAACCCCTCGGTCCCACCTTGAACCCCGTTCAGGGTGTAGGTACCAGTCCCTTCAACAAAAACCTTATGTCATGATTTCTACAAACGCCCAGGAAACCTTGGATGCCGAGTGACAAAATACTAGCAGCTATAGCTGCGTCCTGTTTTTTCTCAACGCAGTTTACTGAGAAATCCGAGAAGAAGAATAAGGGTACCATTCGGCATCCGAGTGAAACCTTTGGATGCTCCAACTGGGCCCCCGAGCGTTCGTCATCCAAACCCACCTGGCGAGAGGGTTTTATAGGACTTGAAGGTTTTTACAGGGTTGAAAGGGTTTGGAAGCTGTAGGGTCTGGACGATTGAGGGCCTATGATTATAGGGTCAAGGTTTTCGGCTTTGGGCTTGGGGTTTGACAAGGGTTTGCTTGCAGGGCCTAAGTTTCAAGATCACATTCTGGAGCTTCCACATACGGATGCAGGGAGCTTTTTCGCTCAAAGGTCAGTTAGGGCTCGTGGCGCTTTGGAGCACATAGGGCTTGTGGTGCTATAGTGCGCAGAGCAAGCAAGCGGAGTGGAAATCCTCTGCGTATTACGTCTGTACGACAAATCCGCGACCGGTGCGAGGGTCCAAACACGACGACAGCTCAGTTACGAGGCTCTACTGGGATGGCACCGACGACACGCCGCCCCCGCCAAGAGGGCTGCAGCGAACCCACATTTCCGTTTTCTGCGAGTACAGCTTGCAAAGACCGCCGTGCACAAAACATGGATGTGCTCCTGCTGGGCTCCCCTCTCCACACACGACGCATGCTAAGATGTACAGGAACGAGGAATCAAGCATCATCAAACGTCACCACATGTTCTCAAACATGAGCAGCACAGATCGTGCAAAACACTGCTACAGTCAAAACTTATTTAAAACAATCTCACCATTCTGCACTGCGAAAAGGCCTGGATTGAACCCTAAACGCCCCTAACTATGGCGTAAACCCACAAACCCCTAAACACGAAACGAAACAAAGTACACACCCCAAAGCCCCAAGTCAATAGAAGAATGCAAGTACAAAGACGTGTCACAAACCCCATAAGCCCTATGAACTCGACCCGCAGCAAAAAGAAGAAAGGCAATAGCAATAACCAGAACCCCCCCCCCAAAAAAAAAAAAAAAAAAAAAATATATATATATATATATATATATGTACGTAATAAATAGACAGTCTTAGTATTCGATAACAGAAGCAATGATAACAAAAACATCAGTAACCCCAAAAGACCTAAGGAGGCGGCTCGCCAAGGCTGAGGTTCTTGAAGATCACGAAGAAAGTTCGGATCTGGAGCGGCGCGCTCTCTTTCGGCTACCGTTGGGGCTGAGGGCTTAGGAGTTGAGGGTTTAGGGCTTATTGGGTTGGTTCCAAGAGGCGGGGTGCTTTTGGTTCGGCTACAAGCCCGAACATCGTTGAAGGGGTGTATCCCTGGGGGGGGGGGGGGGGGTCTAAGGGGGAACTCGGGTAAGGTCTAGGGGTTTGGGCTATAGAGTCCCCGAAATACAAGTCCAACGCTGAGAGGCTACCTGCACGGCTTTAAACAACAGTCCTCCATGCTTCGGTCCCTGTCCCGGAGCCCCAAATTACCCTCGACTCAAGATAGACGATATCAGAGCTTGTGGCCCTGTTTAGGGTATTAGGCTTAGGACTTAGGGTGTCAAGAACCTGCAAGCTCCTTTCGGGGTTCCAGGTTTTGGGAATTTGGGGTTTGTAAGGCTTCAGGGTTTCAGGGAGCCTGGGCTTACGACTTTCCAGGGCTGGAGCCGTCGGCATCGGGATTTTATGGGGGATACTAAGGGAGTTGCGGGTCCCTTCTTGGCCGCCGCACCGTGGTCAGCAAGAAGGCGTAGACCATGAAGTAGCTAAAGGTCGCCATGTTCGTGGCCAAGCAAGCGCGGCCTGTCAGGCCGCTGGGCTATAGGGGATGGACCTGCGCTCCGAACACTCAACCCCTCAACCCAAAAACAAACGAAGAGCCCAACTCCCTACACTGAAAAATTGAGATTCTGACCCAGGCACTTGAGGCTCCATCCTGTGGCTGTATTATAGACTTACCCACCCAATGCTACCTGCTTTTTGTCCAATTTTTGAGGTGCTTCTTGGGGGGGAGCTCTTGCGCCCCTTCCGGAATGTCTTGGCCATATCATATGCAGAATATCAATGGTCATATTACTGTACTGACTTAAGAACAGAATCTGTTCAGGGCGCCTGGATTCAAGTGTGAGGGGCTACAGGGAGAAAGGCAAAAGACACCAACTTCCAGCTTCAGGTGTGTACACGTCCAACCTCAAAAAACCATGGACCCTAATTTCAGGCTCCCGGTGCCACCGAGCCCCCTCATCACTGGCGCCCTTTCCACCCCACCTTCGCGGATGAGGTCCGGCACCGTGGTCAGGGAGATATCATTCCTGGCCGCGCCTGGGTGGCTGAGCGCATCGGTGGGCTGTTACGGTGACCCGAAACTCCGAAACCACGGAAGCCCAAAACAAAACCAAGCGTTCCCGGGCTTTTAGAGGGAAGACTTCCCGCCTTTGCCCGGACGGCCCGTGGAGAAAGGCGCCACCATCGAAGCCTGCACTTGGATTCGGGCTTGTGGTCTAGAGTGCTGCTACGGCTATAGTCGTGAATATAGTGCTGGGCATGCAGGATTAGGGCTCGGTAAACCGCGAACCCCATGAATTTCCACTTATGGTAATTCACCTTCACTACATGAACCAGTTCTTATGCTAGTATGTGTACTCTCTTTTGGAAAAATGTGTATACTTCCTATGATATTTGCTACGTATTCGTATTTTCATCAAACTCATGTGTTAGTGTCGCGAGGAGAAAGGGCGCGGCCTCGGCATCCGACAGTGCCAAGCCGGCATGCGCGGCGCGCAGGCCGCCGCAGTCGTTGCCGCCGTCGCCCGCCATGCCTGTGAGCGCGGCTCCGTCGCCGTAGCTGTATGGGGTTCGGGGCTTAGGGTTTGGGGATTTAGGGTTTATGGGTGGTTGTGGCTACTGTTGGCATTGGAGTAGGGGTTGAAGTTGCGATTGGGAATGATACTGATGATGAGCATGATGATGATGATGATGATGATGATGATGATGATGATGATGATGTTGATGATGATGATGATGATGACGATGATGATGCTGATGATGACGATGATGATGATGATGATGATGATGGTGTTTTGTTGGTGGCGTGGTTGTTGTTGCTGCGAGGTGTCGGGGTAGTCAATGGCATTAAGGGTTGTAAAGTTCTAGGGCTTCGCGAGTTCAGGGTGCTCAGGATTACAGGGCCTGTAATCCTGAGCACCCTGAACTCTTGAAGCCCTAAAAAGTATAGGCAGGGTATTTCCGATAGCTTGAGGTGCTTAGATGGGTTGTGGGCTATGGCCGGGTCTAGCAGTGGGTTTGAGGGTGCCCCATCTCCGTGAAACTCTAAGGTCCATAACTAGGTGGTTGAACGTTTGACCTTGGTTCCCGCCATAAGCTTTTGTGCTTAGGGCCGAGGGGTCTGCGGAGTTTTGGAGGTTTAAGAGACCCATGACCATCCCTTTTAGGTGTCCTGTACTCTGGCCAAAACGGTTCAACACTTAACTTCAGCAGCGCCTCAATTTACCCAACAAATCGCAGAGTACCTACTTGGCTGCTAGGATCCCTTGTCGTCACTCTTCAACGCATGGAGACTGCCCAGGTTCGACCCCTTCAGCCGAACTGTTGGGCTCAAAAGATGATTCCATTTTGAGGCTGTTGGGGTGGGGGAGCCGGAGGGGAGGAGGCGGGGGTGGGGGGACTGGTGGCCACGTGTAATGCTAAACCCTACAGTAAAGAGGCGATGCTCCAAACAAATGATCCCAAAACCTAACAAAACCCTCAAGCTGCACTAGTATGGAGCGAGGCGTGCTGTGCATTTTCATAAGACTTATACAACTGACTGTTGTACAAACTTGGCAGAAATGCTGCACAAAAACACACACACACACACACACACACAACGATACACGCTGGAAATAGCTACTTTTCGGGACTCAGTTTCTGCGTCGTTACACAGTGTGTCCGTGTTGTTGCCATTCTTTCACACAAATTGCCCAACAACTGCCCCCCACTCAAAAATTAGTAAGAATACACTTCCTTTTTCAGTCCAAAATCAAATCATAACAGTAGTTTTAGGGACTGTCTGGAGAGTTTTGGGTTTGGAGTCTCAATTTTTGCGCATCCTTTTTAACCCCTTCGGCCCCAGCCTTAAACCTAAACCCCGAACCCTTTCAACCCAGGCTTTTCTGTTGATCTTTCAAGTCAGGCTCCTACATTCAGTCTACATGCTGTTAGGTTTAGGCGGGCTTAGGGTCCGTAAACCCTAGCTAGACCCTACGTTGCACAGTGTAAGGCCATGGCCGACCACCAATCCGCGGCTCTGCAGGTACTTGACCACCTGGCCAGATCCACCAAGCAAAGGCTATTGGAACCATCACGAACCATGATTCACAGCTGCAATTGCTAGGCGGATCAAAAATGCTGTAGTCATGGCATGCCAGAGTTGGGCTTAACTAGGGGGGGGGGGGGGGGGGGGTTCTCATGGACGCCTCTTGCCGAAGCAGCAACCCTGGCTTGGCTTGTTTGCATACACATGGCGCCCTAGATTTTGGGGATTTGCACTTCGAGTTCTTGGACTGTCAGGGCATTCGGGCATGTGGTCTCGGACGGTAGCCTTGGGATTCCGGGTTTAGAGACTATGGGGTTTAGGGACGACTACACAAACGGTTCGTGCCACAGCCTTGCTGGAAGGGCTTCTGGGGGTCCTTGATGAGTCTATGCCTTTAAATTACAGGCCGTGAAAATATAAGCGGCTTCTGCAAGAGAACCCCCATTAAACCCAAGCCGCAGCACTTGCTATATCCTGCAACCTCCACGGAGTTGCGAATGGGTTGTGATGATTTTGGGTCCCTCGAGGGGCCGCTTGTGACAGATTCCGGCTGCACGAAGTAGCGATGCCGGACCCGTGCAAAGATTGAACCCAAGGAGCACCGTCTTGGCCCCCATAATGGAATGCGTGGGGTTTGGGCACCCAGAAGCTGCTTCGGCTTTAGGGTTTAAAGCTTGAAGTCATGGCTCACGTCCCAAATATCACTGCCCGCTTTCATCCTAGGAATCTTGACCACCACAGCCTGAAGTATCAGCTCCTATGCCCAAAAGCCAAAACCTGCCTCAAGCCAAACTCCCAAGCCCTAAACAGTAATACGGGAATGGGTATCTTGGGTAGCTTAAGTACAATGTGAAATATTTGTGTACGTTTATCTAGTACAAGTATTACATATTCAATTAGATAAACACAGAACCATCCTTTTTTATTTTTTTTTCGAGAGAGAGAGAGAGAAAGAGAGAGCGAGATGTCACAAGGGTGGTACAGGCTTTTCTTCCCCTCCGGCATGAAATCTCGAACCCTGGGCCACGTTGATCTTGTCGTCCGGCTTCATGCGGGCAAAGACCACACACCGGGGCCAGAGCTCCTGTGGGTTGGCAACCGTTTCGGGTTTTCGGGCTTGGGGTTGGGCCAAGCGCAGGGTTCGGAGCCTCCAAAAAGTAAGGGAACCCACCTTGGGTATCCTATGTACTCGATGACCCCTAAAACCCAGCTGACGGGGGAAATCAACTTATGAGGAAAACCCCTTTACAAAAGAGCTGAGAGTTAGGGGCTGGTTTGGAGAGGTGATCAGGTTTTGAAAGCCTGCAATTGAGTTTTGCGCGGGCTGAGGGTTTATGGTCCAGGATCTCAACTGTCTTCGAGTGATAATCACAGAGCCCACTCCAAAACCGTGGCCCGGTGGTTCAGGAGAGAGCTGTCGCCAATGCTTCGGGTTGCCGGCGGCTCTACCTAACCTACGCCAGCCTGAACCAGTTTACCAAAAATGATCCCCATAAGTTTGCCCGGTAAACTACGCTCGCCTCTAGACCCTGCAAGCCCTTCGGGTTTATAAGGGTTCGGGGTTTAGGGTTGAGAGCCTAGGGTTTCTCTGATGTATCTGGCGTCCTCGAGCGTCTTGGTCTCGGTGGTATAGAGATGCCTCCACGCCGCGCAAGTCAAGGCCAGCTGACCTCATCGGAACGGAATAATTAAGAGGACCCATATGTGTCCAGGGTTTAGGGACTTAGGGCTGGGTTTAAGGTACGTAGAGTTCATGCAAGGATTGAGCATCTCGAAGATTTTAGGATGAGTATGCCCTGGTGCCACTGTGCCTGGTGGGGACCTTCCTTAAGATTTCCGAAGGCCTGATTATTCCAACCTGGATCACCGCGCCCTAAACCCTAAACACTAAAGCCTCAGTTAGCTGCACTAACCTGTTCGTTGCGGAGGGGGGGGGGGGGGGGAGAGGGAAGGTCGAGCTCTTAGGGAGTTGAGTGTTTGGGCTCGCCCATTCTCATTTTCAATAGCAAGCGTGGCTGCCCATCAAGGCATATGCTTACATTGTACAGAATCTAACAGGCTCTGAGCTCAATGGCCCAAGTTCCAACCTAAGAGTTGCAAGTCTGAGTGTATAGAAGGTCGGTCGCGTAGGAATCATCGCGAGGGCTTCGGCGTGGCATACAGCCAAAAAGGCTGCCAACTCGATGCCCAGCGGCTGTTCGGGTCGCTGTCCGGAGAGACCTTGCGTAGGGCTTGGGACATACTAAAGGTGCAAAAGCTGCAACAATACATCGCCAATCCATGAGGTAGGTGATCCCTGAACCCTAAACCGTAGGATTTGTCCGGCTCGGGATTGTAATTAGGCCTTAGGCTTTTAGGCTCGGTGCAGTTCCAGTGGCTCGGCGCTTGTCGTCGTCAGGATCGTTCCAAGCCAGCTGACCTTGTCTTTAGGCTTCTGCTTGGGTTTTAGGTCCGCTCGGAGTCTTGGGTTTAGGTTTTATAGGTTTAGGGTTTCCAGGCCTTCAGGTTTAGGGTGTTGGGGGTTTTGAGGGGTTTTGGTTTGGGGGCTTTGGGGGTTTTGGGGGTATGGGGTTTCGGGTCTTTTTGTTGAGCCGAAGCTTCCAAGCCCAAGTCCTACGGAAATCTGAACCTGAGGCCTAGTCCCAACAAGGCCGATCTTTGAGCCCCATCCTCTATCCAGCCTTACCTTAAGAACTGTAGCTTCTTTTCTACAGACGCCTCATTCCAAAACGGCACACGCTGCTGGGTTTCTGTGTCTAAAGACCAGCGCCCCCGATCAAGTGAGGTTTAAAGACCAGCACACTTGAGCACCTGTATTTCATCTATGGCACACGTGCAAGCCCTGAACCCCATAAACCCCTGTGACATGACGTGCACCACGGTGGATGCTGAATCCCTGTAGTCCCGTGTTAAACTCTATGCCCTGAAAAGGCATCAGTTAGGCTCGGGAATCGACTTCCGAGCGCCCCGGCCGTTCTCGACTGTGCCGCGCAGGCACTTGTCAGACGTCACAATACCACACGCCCTGAAGGGGTTAGGAACGGTAGAACTTCTAGACACTACAGCCTTGTAGGGTGACGGTTTCGGCTGTGTACCGTGTACAACTTCTCAACATTCCAGTGCGAACCGTCGTGGTTGCTGCCGAGCAGAAGGCGAACATACAGGGTTTCGCGCTGCCTAGACAACATGGTATAGCAGCAGCACAGGCCATGACAGATCTCTCTAAGGACCAGACTGTGATTTCTTGAAAAGGATGTAGGTAAATTTGTTCAACATATCTGGGCAGCCTGTGGGTATCCCAAGGGGTTGTCGCCCTGAGGATCAACGGCTAAGGTGCAATGGCACGCTTGTACATGAGTAGCCCTGCAGACGCCCATTGGGTGTCCAAAAGCCCCTCTCGCCCCTGCGCCTGCCGATGGCGATTCCTGTGAGCTCCTGAGCTGTCTGCAGCTGCAATGGTTTAGGGTTTTTTCGGGTTTGGGGCTTAGGGCTTGAGGTTTAGGGTTTGGTAGAAGCTGCTGCCACAGCGCAGTCTCCTGGGCAGCCACCGCATTGCGGCATGATTCTCGACTTGCGCGATATGCTCTGGGGTTCAGAGTGGCTGGATGCTAGAAGCGTTTGGAGGGGTTGTAGTAAGGAGGTGTATAGGACCAAAAGAGCCCGAAATCCCTTTAACCCTAAGTCCGAGGAACTGCTACCCGAAATGCTAAACCTCCCATGCAGGCCATGTGTCGTTGTCTCCGGTGCAGATCACAGAGCGGACAGAGCCTCGGTTGGACAAATCCTAAGAATTTAGAGGGGTCTAGGTTGCAGGGTTCCCCTAAGAACTTTGAAGTCTAGGGAATCCTGAGAATTTGGGGGGTCTAGGGGGCAGGGTTCCCCTAAGAACTCTGTCCGCCAGAACCTCAAACGCTAGAGCCACAAGTCGGATGGACAAAAAACTGGCACCGCACGTCTCCCCCTGGGATTCTACGCGTGGCATATGGAAGCCGTGCCATGTAAAGTCAGCGGGTTGCGGAAAAGTGGAGGGGGTTGAGGCTTTGCAGCATGGAGGTCAGGATGTTCAACATTGCATCTTGCGTACAAAGGCGCATGTTTATGCGTGCACAAACATATATACACATATACATAAACATATGTGTATATATACACGTGTATGCCAGCGTATATACCCACGTCTCATGCAATATCAAGATATTCGTATATAATAGAAACTGGCGTTTCCAGGCTTCAGGTTTTTTACGCAGGAAAGCTACTTCAAATCCTGGGGGCAAGTGCGCCTACCTTCTTTGAGGGCCTCACAAAAGCGGAATACCTGGAGGCCAGACGACAAAAGCACATTGAGCATAAACGAAATGCGAAAACATCATCCCCTCACAACCCTAAAAAGACCTATTCTAGAGCATGGGCATATAGTGCACGAAGGGTCTTCTAAATCCACGATAAATCCCAATCATGTTTTGGTTGGGTTCAAGGCCCGATCGCGCCTTCTTTGAGGCTCTCGATGGCTTCGGGAGAGTCGGCTTTCATCTCCTCAGCCAGCAGGACACCAACAAACCCGAAATCCACTGGTCGGGATTTGGGCTAAACCTCTTCGGTGTGAGCCCATGGTTGAGGCACCTCGAAACTCAACATCTCCGACCTTTCTTGAGGTACAAAGAATCCAAGCCTGAGCCTGGGGTCGTCGTTTCGTTGCTGTCGTCTTGTTTTTGCATCTTCTTCTTTGGGGAGAGGGGATGTATATATATATATATATATATGGGGTGTCTCAGACCTTTGCTCCCCATAGCCATACGCCCACATGCCACTACACCCTAGAGCCATCGAACTGATGACACCCTAGAGCCTTCAAACTCAAAGGGCTCCGATCTATGAGGCTTTTTTCGCTGCCTCTCAGGCTCGCCCAGAGCCAGTTCCCTTCACAGCCCCAACTGCCCCAGCCCCAGGACACCTAAAACACTTCACTTGGAAACCTCGAAGGGTTGCAGGGCAGAGCGCTAGGGTTCTTGACTGTGGAATTTAGGGTTTGGGTTGCGGGTTTGGAACATACCCCCAAAACATCAGCCCTGGATCTTGTTGCCTTATACACTAATTAAGCTCTTTTAACTCAAAACCGTTCAGGGCTTTGGCTGCAGGAAACCTAAACCCTGAACCCTGAAATGCTGGCACCGCGGCGTTTCGGAAGAGGAGGAGCCCGCAAACATTGACGTAGGATTCCAGCTGCTCCTTGACTTTTGGGTTTAGGGTTCAAGCGCTTAGGGTTTAGGGTTTAGGCTTAGGGTGTAGGGCTTGTTGGCTAGGTAGGGTGCCGGGCTTAGGGTTTAGGGACCAGGGCGCATAGGGATCAGAGGGTCGAGGGTCTAGAATGCAGGGTTATGTGGTTTAGGGCCTCTCAAAGCTAGCCGAAGCCTGCTGTAAGGGTAGGGTTTAAAGGGTTTAGGGTTCAGGATTAATGTTTGGGGCTTTGCCTGGGGCCTGGAGAATGAACATGCAATGACTGGGGGTGGAGGGGTGTCAGTTGATGTCAAGGTATAGGACACATATGGCTTCCTTATTTCAGCCAGTTGAGAAGGCTCCCAGAACTCCTTTCTTTACACCTTATCAACCCCGGTGCCCAAAACCCAATAAAGCCATCCTGGCAGAATGCCGACATGTGAGGGCCCTACGCAGCCTAAACCAAAACCCCGAACAGCCCACCGGCTTTGCGGAAAGTCGCTCGCGGCGTGTTGCGAACCTGCTGACCACAGGGCACGACATCTGGCAGGATTGGTCTTCAGGGGTTTGAAGGTTTGAGGGTTAAAAGCCAAAGTTAGCGTTCGGTGGCATCGCTTCTACAGTGGACCGAGATCTGAGCATCCTGCTCAATGACTGACCTTCGATGATCACGAGCTGCAGTTCGCAACCTTCAACCATCAACTCCAAACCCTAAAGCCTAATGCCTGAACCAGTTTAGGGTTTAGGGCCATTTTCTCACCTCAGGTGGAGGCCCCCCCGACGTTTACACCTCCCCAAATCGCCCCCAAAGACCCGTCTCAAGCCTTACAACAAGATGTGTCCGCCCGGAGACCCTGAGGCCCCAAAGTCCTAAGCTGCGGTTGAGGGTTTGGGGATTAGACTGAGCCCTACCCCCCGCCCCCCTTTTCAAAAAAAAACAAGTTACCCTCTATTAGCCCAAGAACCTTTGAGTCCTACCCCACTTAAAGCCCGAGGCAAGCCTGATCGTCTGTCATCGGAGGCAGCTCCTGTGCCGGTCATGCTTCACTTTGCGATCTCTGTGGCGCTGTTGATGTCGGGTTTTGGGGTGTAGGGGCTTGTTCAAACCTGTGTGGAAGTCATGCATTGGGGAGCATCCATCAGTTGAATAGTAGATGCCAGAAGAAAACACCCGATATCCGAAAACAGGAGATGATTCACCGTTGAAGGCATCAAGCAAACAACTTGCAGTTGGTGGAACTCGCATTTATCTCGGGCTCTTTTCCGGGTTATAAGGGTTATAAGGGTTTACCGCTACTGTTGGCGGGGGCGCCCATCGCCTTGACTCTCCTCCTGCAGCAACCTTTAATACGACCTTCTGAAGGGTTTACAAAAGTGTAGTCGGCAGCAAACTGCCCCTAATGGCTCCTTATAGGAGATGCCGAGGGTGTAGTAGTTGTCCTTGGCGCACTGCATGGTCACCTGCGCTCTTGCAATGGGGTCTGGGCCCTTCGACGTTTCACGTTTTCAAGGGCACTCAGTTGGACATGGGACTGCCATTCCTCGTTGAGGATCTCGGGTTGAGTCAGGGGAGCCAAGTTGTAAGGCTGGGGTGGCCAAGAGTCGGCCCCTGACCTTATACTATAAGACCCCGCTTGGCATGTCTTCTGTGCGCCTGCCTCACCCCCCCCCCCCTCCCAAGCTCTGCCAAAGGCAGACGACACCCAAAGCATGTTGAGGGAACTTGGGCTTCGAACTCCGAGCTCTACGCAGGTGGTTCTAGGACTAAACGCTTCAAGCGGGAAGAAAATATCAGGAAGGCCTACCTAGAAATGCCTAGAAACCCTACACCCTGATCTCATGTAAGTATCCCTACGCCCTGATCTCATGTAGACGCTCAGGCCCCCTCAACCCGAAAACCTGCGACAAGAGACTAGGTACACCCTTTATCTCCCAACCCCAACCCCCCACCCAAACCGGCAAACCCCTACACCCCTGCACCCTATAACCCTGCACTGTAACGTAAGCTGGGGCAACACCGAACAAATGCCTTGTCGAGCTATGCCACGTTGGAGCTTTCTCAGGATCTTTTTGCCTTTAGGTCCCAAACCCAAAAACTTTGGCCATGCCTGATCGTAGTCCCACGGCACCGAGGCAGGTTGAGCGAGGGACTGTCAGGGAGCTGATCATGCGTGTTTAGGGTTTGGGTTGGGGGTCAGGGTTCAAGGGCAACGCGTACGCCCAATAGCCGCTTGGCCGGTGGGCATGGACCGTGCATTGGGACACAGGGCTGTCGGGGTTGTTGTCAAAGTTGCGTGGCGAAAGAGCCGTTGCTGTAAAGATGCCTTGTAACGAACACTGCAAGGTTCTGTGGATGTCTTCGGCCAGAAGGCCTACTCATTGGCAAGGATGCCTTCCGGGATCAAGTTTCATCATGACTTGTATTTGGGCACTTCCTCGGCCGATTTTCTGTTCCTCTTTGCGGAAGCTGCCAGAGGTCCATTTGCAAGGCCTTTGCTCTAGGAAAAAGGGTCGCAGAAGGCCCCCGTGAAAGGTCACCGAAACGGCCCTGAAGTGCACAGAAACTTTCCCTTTTCGGGCGGGCGGTTTCGGAAGAATAGTTAGCCTTAAAGAACTAAGGCTATCCCTCTTCGATGGCGCGGGGCTAGGGCTTCGTTCGAGCTGAGTCCGGAACCTGAACGACCTGAAGCTCCGTAAACATCAACCGCTGAACCCTGAACCCCCTCAACCCTGAACCCAAAACCGCCCCAACCCATGTCCCGACTTGGTGGACGGAGGCTCTCAACCAGGGTTTAGAGGGTTGAGGGTTGGCGTTTAGGGTTTAATGTTTGGCGGTTTTGGGGGTTTTCTGGGGTTTGGGGTTGGGATTTGGGGTTTATCGGGTTCAGAGGGCTTTTCTGTCTCCAGACTTCGTGCGGTTGCTGAGGAACTTGGGATCTGGCACCGTTCTGTCTAATTACCAGGCTTGTGAAAGCTTAGGGTAAAGGCGTTTTGGGGCCTTTCGGGCATAGGCTTATGTATAGGGCTATAAGACTTAGGAGCGTTATCTTTGCGAACGTCCTTAAAGCTAAACCCTAAACCCCGAGCATGCATGAAACCACCGCATTGGACAGCAGCAAGCAGGTTCACGAGCCCAGTTCAGACCACCCCACGAAACCACACAGCTGCCTTGATCTTCTCATAGCTGCCTTTGATGAAGACCTGGCTGTCATTGGAATGAGCCGGGGACGGGGGCCTTCCAACTCTTCAAGGCACCGGGGAGTTCGAAGTACCGGACTACACGCTGCAGCAACATGTTCAGAAAAAGGACAGGAGAAACAGCTAAGAACACGGGCCAGAGATGTGTCGATCAAGCATCTCTTCCAGGCTTCATAGCGCCACCAATCATAGGGCATTGGGGTCATTGGGATTGTTGCGTCTTGCCGGCAAAATCTGTAGCTTCTCTGGCATTCATTGACTGGTTAAGGGCACGGGGGTGGTAGCTGTGGAACGGCTCAAAAAACGAAAATCATAAACGCGACGCCCTCGTTGTGGAGCTTGCACTGGAGCCTGGAACCCTAAACCCTGTGGTCCTCGGCAGAATGTCGGGGTGCCCTTCGACTAGCTTGAACAATCTGGGGTACGGACTTCCTGAATGCGCTTTTCGGCATAAGGGAAGCTAAAGGCCTCGCTAGAACAGAGAGTTGCAGGTGACAGGGGACATTGGTGGTTCGATGAAGTAGGGTTGGTGCTTCAAGGCATCCAGGATGAGGTGTCTTATGCCATCTGGCAGTCCTGTTCCTCAAGCTCGGGCAAGAAGAAGTCATTGGTGGAAACCCTGAACCCTAAACCCCAAACCCGAAAGCCCTTCATCGAGATTCCCCATCAACCTGGCAAAACAAAGGAAACGTTGTTGGGCGATAGTAGGGAAATGTAGGGAACCTGAATCCCAAACCAAGGGAACAAAGGTTTGATTGGGTATCGGACTGCCCAAATCGACGAGATCCTCGCCTCCAGCCGTCCTTGGGCATCTCTGGCAACTGCTCCGCTCGTCATGCCTCGGGTGTAAACCCCCCTGAGACCCCCGAGACCCTACACGACAAAAGCCAAACTCCTAAAAACTCTACATCCAAAAGCCGTCAAAGCCTTGAACCCAGACGAACATGCTCAGAACCCTGAAACCAAACCCCTGAGCAACCATGGCTCTGTGGTGGTCGAACTCCAGCTCCCGCACCACCTTCAGCACCTCTCCCTGAGGTGAAATCATCTCCTGACGCTGGATAAACGTGCTGTCTCGTGGATAGGCATCATTTAGGAGGTTTCCGAAAATAGGGTTACCTAATGCTAGGCTTCCTATTATGCCCATTTGGGTTTGGCGTAGTCCCTTGTCGTAGGATGGTGGCGATGCTTCCGCTCTAGGCTTCTGGCGTCATCTAAGGAGTTCGGGTGCCACCGTGCCATGCGTCCTTGTTGCCCAGCTTCCAGCCCACCGTGCGCACCATCGCGCACTCCACCTGGCACCCGAGCCCCGAGAGGCCTAGGCCCCCAAGCCCTGGAAAAGACTTGACGCTAACCAGTCCCGAGCAATTGGTGTAGGGCGTCGAACGTTAAGAATTCGGGGGGTTTCGGTCTTGGAGGGTAGCCTGGTCTGGCGGGGGGGGAAGGAAAGGGGCTGGCGGGAAGGGCGATTAGTGTAGCAAGAGCTGGCAGTCACACAAGCTTGTCAGGGAGCCGGCTCTACATTGTAATGTTTAGGGAGACCCCGCCTGGTTTCCAACCAAAGCACCAGTGGATCCCAGCTTCTTCACGGTGTGGCAGACCGCCAAGGCCTCTGAATACCCGGATGGTTGAGGGGCTTTGGGGGTTTGGGTTTTAGGGGCCTAGGACCTTGGATTCAGGGGTCTTAGGCCTCAGCCCCCGACGTCGTAAAACACCCGGGGTAATCACGCACACCTTGAAACACCAAAACATGCGACATCCAACATGCCTATTAGCCCTCTTACCGGAAGCTTTGACAGGGGGGCCCGGGTCTCAAGTTGCCCTTAGATCTTTCTGATTCTGGCTGTGAGGGATTGAAGGAGTTGAGGGCTGATAGGGATTATAGGGCTGAAAGCGTTTATGGGGTAAGGGATTATGTGGTAGAGGGTTGCAAGCGTTCAGGCTTTATAAAGTTTATACTGGGTTTGGGGTCGAGGCTTCCCGAAAGCAACTAGGGCACGCTGGTTTGGCACGATGGGGTCTTACAGGGACACCAAACCTTTAGGGAATCAGGGCTTCGGGTTTAGGGGTTTGCGGGTTAGGCGTTCTGGTAAAGCGAAAATCCCCTCTGAGCGCCCGTACCCGGCGAAGCACTGGCGGCACTGTCATCCTCGACTTCCATGCAGGGTTTAAAGGGTCTCCGAGTTTAGGGTATGCAGTCCGCAGAAGGCCCGGGATGTGAGGGCTGAAGACTTTCGGGGTCTCCTGGGGCTTGTCGGGCGAAGTGTTCGGGATGTGTCTAAAGTCGGGTTTGGAATCGGGGCGACATTTCACCACAAGAGCGTCTGGGGTTCCCAGGCTTTCCCCTAAGCCCCAAACCCCATCATGCCCCATCATAAACCCCAGACACCCTTGGCCCCAACGGCACCTATGACATCCAGCTAAACCCGAAACCCTAAACCCTAAACCCTAAACCCTAAACCGCAGAATCTGGGGTGCCAGGCTGGTCGTCCACCTTGGCGCGGTTTTGGATGCTCTCCTGGTGCGCGCCGCCCCGCGGCTTCTTGCGCTGATATAGGTAGTTGGGGCTACGGGGTTGCAAGGTTCTAGGGTTTGCTTGTTTGGGGTTCAGGGTAGTTCAATTCTCGGGTTTTCGGGTGATGGGGATACAGGGAGGTGGAGGGTTTAGTAGGCTGCATAGGCACCGGCACTCTCCAAACCGCAATCCCTCAACCCCAAACTCTCAAACAAAACGTCGCCCTGCCCAAAACGAGATCCCCTGGACAATGCCAACCCCAGATTCGCCTCAGTCGAAAACCTGCTACATTGCAAACCTGGAAGATTGAGCCCCTAAGCCCTGAACCGTATACGGAAACCAAATCTCCCCCCCCCTCCCCCGGCACCGGGTCGCTGTCGTCGAACTCCACGCGCTGGTTGAAGCGCCCCCCAGCCGCTCCGATGACACCCGCAAAGTCCATTCCTGCAGGTTTAGGGTTTAGGGTTTAGGGTTTGGGGTTTAGGGTTTAGGGTTTAGGGTTGCAATCTTCTGCCCTGGGAGTCGGAGGTATGGGGCTTTTCTAGGGTTTCGGGCTTTTTTGGGGGCTTCGGAGATGCTTGTCCACCTCTACCCTCAAACCCTCTGCCTCCTTTCGTGATCGTCCCAGTCTTGTCGAAGACCATGGTCGAGATCTTCCCGGCAATGGGGATCCTGAGGGCCAAGGCACCCCTGGGCTTGGGTCTCTCGGGCTTATAGGGGCTGTAGGGTGAGAGGGTTTAGGGGGGTTTAGGGGTTTAGGGTTATAGGGTCTTTCGGGCTTTGGTGCTTTAGGGTTAGAGGGTTTAGGGTTTAGGGTTCTGAGGCTGTAGGGCTTCGAGCCCAAATCAAGGCTCAGGCCTACATAGGGCTCAGGCCCTGGACGATCTCGTGGCTTCGTCCAGAAGAGGCCCATCAAATCCTGTAAGGCCCAGGCCTATTATGTCCCGAAAGACCTGAAGCCCAAATCTCGAAAACCTCAAACCCGAAAAACCTGAAGCCACCCGAATCCATGACACATGAAAGCCGAAAACCCTAAACAAATCTTGACTCCACAACACCTCCACCCCAGATTCTCCGAAAACCCCAAATCCTCCCCAAAACCCGCAGACCCTCCCTCCAATCAGCCCTTCTTGGCCCAAGGGTGCGGTTTGGAGATGCCCACCGTGGAGGGGGCTGTTACATAGATGCCGTACATAGGACCTACATCCTTGCACCCGGTCTAAATTTTGGCTGAGAGGGCGCCATGCGAACTCGTGTTAGGGGTGTTGAGCTTGCTTGTCTAGGTTGGCTTGAGACCATCTGAAAAATATACTTGAATATGGTCCTCTTAACCCCAATAAGTAAAGGACATGCTGACACCCTCAAGGACTCAGGATTTGGGAGAGTAGCGGGTTTCCGGTTTAGGGCCCATGGGATTGGGGACTTCCTTCCTTGATGTCCTTGCAACTCATTCAGGGCGTTTATAATCCCGTGACCCTAAAGCCCAACACTCCAGGCTGGGGCCTTCCCGGCTGCAGGCACTTGATCTGATACTCGCCATTCATGTTGTCCAAGCGCCTGAAGGAGCCCCGGTTTACCTTTTAAAGGGATCAGGTTTAGAGTCGGTTTAGAGTCGGTTTAGAGTGGCTTAGACGGCATTTGCAGTGATCAGCGGCAAGCGTAAACCCTCTGAGTGTCCGGCCCAGCGGACACCGACTGCCCCATGACCATGGACACAGGCATCATCGGGTTCCTTTTTGGCTGCGGACGCTTGCGGAGGATGCCCCGGGCTTCAAGGCTCAGATCTAGAGCTTAGCTTGCATACGTGTGGTCTCTTTTTTTTTTGTGTGTGGGTGCGTGGAACATGGTGGAACCCTAAGCCCTAAACGTTCTAGGGCCCGGTTTCGAAGGGTCTTGAAGATTCGATTTTTGCCCAGGACCCAGCTGGTTGCAAGCCGCCACCCATCATCATTTATAGGCTTTGTGGTTCGGATGGTTTCCGGAATTTTCGGGCTGCAGACTTTTCAAAGGAAACGAAGATTGGGTGATTCTTGGTGGTTGTCACCCCACGCTGACGTATCTGCGGAGTTCCTCCTTAGAATACGCACAGAACCCCAGAAAGCCGCAAAGCCCAAAAGCTCAATATCAACATAAACCCCGTGTCCTTAACCCGGAAACCCAAGATTGGTTGAGGAAGTTTAAGGTTTGCTGGCATCATTCACAAGGTTTTGGGGGGATTCAAAGGGGTTTATGGGGCTCATCGGCTCAAAACACTTCAGATTTCCCAACCCCCCAACATCTGCAAGCAGTTGCTCCAAACGTTTCCCTGCCGAGCCACAGAGCCATCGCCACGGTGCAGAGAACCTGAGGAAGCAGAGGGCCGCAGTTCGTAAACCGGAAGAATTGTCGCTCGTGCTTTGGGTACCTGATGTTCTTGTACCCAAATTTTACAAGCAGGTACCCCAAGGTCACCTTCCCACAGACTGTTGGGTTCAGAGTGTGAGGGTCCTGAAAGGTCCGCCGCCTTGCTGCTCTGCCGCAGACTTGTCTTTTGTTGGCTTGAGGTCATTGAAGGCTTAGGGTTTTGTAGGGGTAATTAATATTGTAGGGATTTAGGCTTCCGGCTTCGCTGGTCTGTGGGCCCTCGAGAGATGAAGGTCTCAACGCAGGTGTCCTGGGGCCTACTCAAGCGGAAAAGAAGACAAAGTCCACAAGTGCTTGGGGAAGGATTAGGCTTGACTAGGGTTTAAGGTTTAGGGTTTGGGCTTGGGTTTAGGTAAGTAAGAGATGCACTGCCGAATGCACTCCGATTGCAGTTGCGAGGGCCTTAGGCTAAACCTTGTCTTAACCCTATCCTTCCCCGGACCTAACTACGGGGTCCTTAGGCTCTCTAGTAACACAACTATGAAGTCTCAGGAAGTACAGGGAAAGCCATTTCTCTGACCGTTGGAGCAACCTGTCCTCCCCATAAAAGCCCTAAACCCTACTCGAAACATCCCAAGACCTTGGGCATCCCCCAGCCCCACGTAGTTGGGGTTTATAGGGTTTAGGGTTTAGGGTTTAGGGTTTAGGGTTTAGGGTTTAGGGTGTATACATATGACACATCTACAGGTTTTTTTGTTTGCGTTATTGGCGGAGGGTTTAAGGTCAACTGCCCTTGTCAGTCCACATCTCCAGCCCCTTGAACCCGTAAGCCCTGTTAAAGGGCCCGTAAACCCTAAAATAGCCTTATGCGGTTGAGTGTCTAAGGTTTGGGGTTTAGGGTTATAAGCATTATAAGTCCTATAAACCCTATGAGCCCTGTGCACCCCTCACCTAACGCCCGAGCAGCCGTCAGGTACGTTGCCACAGCGGAGCCGATGTCGGCGCAGAAGATCAGCAGGAGGACGATGATCGTGACCTCTGGTTGCCCTTCTAGCTTGGGTTACCCCCAAATACGAGGGTTTTAACCCCCCGCCCCCCCACTCTAAACAGTGAACCCAAAAACCCTGGTATTCATGCAGAGGGCACTCTGGCCCTGGTGCAACAGCTAGGGGCATCCCGATAACGTGCCCGAAATTCCACATTCCTGAAGCTCTGGATTGCCCTTCAAAAGGTGGGCGGGGGGTCTGGCGGAACCTGATAAGATTTCTGTTAGCACCTGCTACATATACATATACATATACATATACATATACATATACATATACATACACATACACATACACATACACATACACATACACACACACATACTCTTTTGTATGATTCTGATGTGTATCTTGTTGTGGTAAACAGTAAATTCCACCAACCAGAAGAATAGGTACGTGCCCCAACAAGAACTACAATTCACGGATCTGTCTAGGCACACACACCTTCGATGCAACAAAATACTAGCCCCTAGTCGGAAGCCTAAGCCCGAAACGAAAAAACTACACCGTTTGCACTCTGCCGTTGATACCACCATCTCGGGTGCTTTTTGAGGCTTCAAGACGTCGGAGAAGGAACTTCTGTAGCTGTGAGGCCATTTCGCTGGGATCGGTTTTGCCGCTTTGGATTCGGCTTGATGCTTGTAGGGCTTGTGGTCTTATCAAGGTTCAGGGTCGAACTAGCGTCTAGGGCTTGGTTTTAAGGAAGGTTGAAGGCTCAGCTTATCAAATGTCTAGGGTATGTTTTCGCACATCGACATGATCATGACATGGGAGCTTCATGAGGGGCTTGGACAGACCTAGATGCCGGGAGTTCGCAAGGTCAAAAAAACTCCGCAGATGTCGGCTGAGGTGCATAGATGCTCATGATGCCATACACCATGGGGAGCTGGTCGTTGTACCTAAGACCACAGAGGGATGCGATCAAACTGTTCTGTAGCTCCATTCCTTGTTTCCCTAACTGATAGTATGCAACCCTGAACCTTGCCATAGTCCAGCAAAGGGCTTCAGGGTGATTTGCTCCTTTGTCTGAGAAGACTTCTTCTTGCAAGCTTCTGACACGTAAACCCTGAACTGTAGGGGAGGCTCACATGGCTTCTGTTTTGAAGGGGGTGTCAGCTTGAAAAAAGTGTTCTAGATGGGGGCTTTCCTGAGCCAGCAGGCAAGCCACTTCGAAACGCAGAGCCAAAGCCCTGAGTCGTGCGGCCTTTCTGTTGCGCTTAAAGGTTTCGGGTTTAGGGTTCAGGGTTTCATGTACACCCCTGCCTCATCTTGTATACCCCAGCCCCACAGGCGAGAGGGCCAGGGAGGAAGGGAGGGATTGCTCGAAGGGGTCCCGAACTTCCTCAAACCCCGAAGAAACAAAAGCAAACACTTCACCGAACCCTAAAGAACATCCAGCCGGGGCTGCTTGAACTTCACTGAGGCAGGGAAGAGCACCATGCGGACCAACTGACCTGCCACTGGGTTTCTTCGATTGTATCCTAAATCCTAATGCCCCAAAGCCCTAAAGCCCCAAACCGCAAGCCGAAGCCCAAAATAAAATCCTGGAACTCTGGAACCCTGAGCCCGAAACCCTTGAAATCCTACACCTGAAGCCGGCTTGAGTTTCAGGACTTTAGGGCTTACAGGGTTTTAGGGTTCAGAGTTAGGGCTTTAGGATTCGAGAGCGACGGGGTTGAGGGCCGTTTCAGGTGCGCTATATCCTAAACCCTATAAACCCTATAAACCCTATAAACCCTAGAAACCCTATAAACCCTATAAACCCTATAAACCCTATAAACCCTATAAACCCTATAAACCCTATGAACCCTATGAACCCGAGAGGACCCTGGGATTTCAGGGATTTGTAGGCTTGGTTGGGCCTGGACGGTTCACGAGATCTTTCTCTGTGCCTGTTTTGAATTTGGGTCCCAGAAAGTCTTAGGGTTTCGGGGCTTAGGAGTTCAGGGTTTTAGGGTTGTGGGGTATAGGGCTTGGGGGTGTAGGGTTCAGGGTTTGAAGGGACGCGAACGGCAGCCAGGCAACCTCGGGTCGTCAGTGCACCGACGTTCGTGCAGTAGATCCTTGGATCGGGTTGCACCTTGAACTCAAACTCCCAGACACACCACGGAAGCCTACACCATTTGACTAAAAAAACCGACTTAGCCCGGTTAGCCCTAAACCCTTTTTGGGAAGCTGTTAATGTTAATCATTGATGAGCGCTCCGAATTTACGTCTACGCTCTAATTCTACATGGCGGTGGGGCAACTCTGACTCTCCACCTGGCGAGGTGTTGACACAAAGGGGTTTTTGGTTTAGGGAGTAGGGGAACAACAAGGAGAACATAGGAACTCCCTTGAGCACCCCGAAGCTTTGTGCTGTTGTGGCCTGTCACTCCGACATCCCTCACAAGATCCTCACGTCAGGTAAGCCCTCTCACGGGAGTATCTGAGAGAATGCGGCTGAAGACTTAGTTGCCTGATTTAGAGCGTGGGGTAAAACCTGCCATAGTGTCAAAACCCTCAGCGCAACACAAAGAAAAACGACAACTCACTGAAGTTGTGCCTAGTCGGATCTCCGTCATACCCCGAATCCTGACCCATTTGAGTGTAGCTTCTTGGCTAATGGTTCAAGCTTTTGGGTCCGAAGCCCTAAATCCTGGAAGTGCTTTGCTCCACTGCTGCCATGCCACATGGCCTTCCCCTGGGCCGGCCCCGTAGACTCCAAGGCAAGCGTGCCTGCGTAGGCCTTCAAGGGGACAGGAAAGGTTTAAGGACAGGAGGACGCAAACGGAGCGGCGTGGGAGGTGTACTCGGAGCGACAGAAAGCACAGTTACAAGAAACCAAGGTGGCATGTACATGTGTGTTGATATTCACACACACATCTGCTATATGTTTCATTCATTCATGTCGATGTATTCTATCTACTCACTCATCCCAGGATGCTAGGCATCCCATAACATTAAATTCGCCTCGGCTTCCTGCCGAGAAGCGTCTGGAACAAGCAGACCCAGATCGGGCCTCCTTCCCCCTAACCCAACCCTTCCCCCCCCTACGGAATTTTCTGACGCCACCCCCCCCCCCCCCCCCGCCCTGTGGGACCCCCGCCCTGTGGGACCCCCCCCCAATCGCTTGGAGGAGCTGCAAACCGACGCCGTTGGAGGGTCCGGTCTCTCGGTGGCTCCTACAGGAAATTCCTCAAAACCCCACACACCCCCCCCCCCCCCCCCCCCCCCCCCCCACCCCCACCCCCCCCCCCCAACCCCCCCCCCCCCCACCCCCCCCCAACCCCCCCCATCCCTTTTTTTGCGAAACCCTCTTTCCTCCTTTCCTGTCCTGCGGCCGGCCCGGCTGCCGAGGCGGCGCGCGCAAGCGTTTACAATTAATCCAAGCTCAGGTAGTAGGCGTGGCGAGGAGCTCCTGGGTGTGATACAACAGCTTTAACGCTGGCATCGGATACCAGGTGTTTGAAGTATGCTGGGTGGTTTAGGGTTTAGGGTTTAGGGTTTAGGGTTTAGGGTTTAGGGTTTAGGGTTTAGGGTTTAGGGTTTAGGGTTTAGGGTTTAGGGTTTAGGGGGGGTGGGGGGTGGGGGGTACTTTGCGGTTGGATTCGGTTGGAGGGTTTGCCGCGCTGCACATGAAAGGTTTCATGTTCAGCGCCGGCCTTGTTCAACTTGTCCGTGATCTTGTAGTGGGTGTTGTCCTGTCAGATCCACAGAGAAAGCTTGAGATGGAACCCCTAACAACCCTGAAGGGTGTTTTGAAGTCGCTCCTAGTGCTTGTACCCTTAACCCTCGAGGATCCTCCACCGGAGACTTGGCAATAGGCATCGGCTCGCCTAGCAGGCAGAATGGGCTTGGGGCTTGCGAGCTCTTGATGATGAATTAGGACTTAAGTCCCAAACCCTAAACCCGTTGAGGGACCCCATAGGGAACCGACTTCCCGACAAAAAATCACTAAGTTGCAGCGTGCTCAGTAGCCTCAATTTGGGCTTACACGGCTGACGGGGCTTCAGGAAGACTTCTTGAGTTTCTGGCTTAGGGTGTAATCCCTCCCCCTACCCAAAAATGAGGCCATAGATTCTAACTTCTAGTTAGAATGGTTCGTGTATTGGGTTCTTGAAAAGCAACATCTTCAGCTTTCAGGTCCTGCCCACCCCTTTTAGACATGGAGCTTTCTCGATGTTTGCTTTCTCGAAGTTTATGTTCCTCCCCTGGAATCCGGAACTTTACTGACTTCAAAGTCAAAAAACTTCAGGTCCCACTCCCTGGACCTGGAACTTTGAGGATTGTGAAACATGCAGGGCCCCGGCCAGGGACCCAGATTTAAGGAAGCCCCAAGTCAGTCACAAAGCTTACACACCTGAACCATAAAGGGACAGCGTTAAGCGGGTCTTGGGTTTACGTTTACTAGGTTTCAGATCTTGGAAAGTGCTCAAATCCACTCCTAAAGACCCTCAAACCCATAAGGGTCAGAAACCCATCAAGCGCTAGAGCCTGTAAGCCCACTGTAAGCCCCAAACAGCCCTGCCAACACCCAATGCACACTCAACAACTTGTCAGCTGAGCTTCGGAGAAGAAGATTAGGCCTCTAAGTGCCGGTTCATAAGGGATCGCATCCCTTCGAAACAGCAAGGAAAATAAGGGGACTGCCAACCATGGATACCTCCTCAGCATCTAAAGCTAAACTCTGAACCCTAAACCCAGAACTCTAAACCTCAACTTATCTTGGTGCCTGCTTGAACCCGAAGGTCCCAAACCCTAAACCACCGTAAAGCTTCGTGCCAACCGATGTCGAGGTGCCCTGAGACGGAACGATTAAGCGTTTAACGTTGAGGGCTTTGTGACTGGACTCAGGGGTTTAGAGTTTAGGGGTTTAGGGTTTAAGGTTTAGGGTTTAAGGTTTAGTTTTAGGGGTTTATGGTTTCGGCGTTTCGGAAGTAGAGAGGGTTTACGGGACAGGCGACTAAAGGACTTGTAGGGTTAGGGTTTGGCGCGCTGGGTTTAGGCTTAGAGTCTGGGTTTTTTGGGGTTCAAGGGCCTGTAAGCATCGACTCGTTCACGATGAGGCTGCCCGATACGAGGACGCCGTCGCAAGGCAGCTTCGCGTCGCTTCCTCGGCGTCTTTCCCTAAACAGTAGCAGCCCGAAACCCTGTCCCTCCCAAACAAAAAAAAGACATCCCAAGACCTTACTCAAAACACCATATGGCGACCCCATGGCATAGGGCTCGAATGTCAATTTTACGGCCGTTTTTCCTTGGTGGGCCTACTGCCCAAAGAGCGTACGATGTTTCAGGAGTTGAGGGCCCCAAACTCCCAAAACTCCCAAACTCCTAGACCCCACACACCAGGGTTGAGTGTTTACACTTCCCTTGGAACCGCAAGGGGCTTTACATAAACAACACTTACACAAAACCAAGTAAGAAGAAGAGGGAGAAGAAGAAGCAGAGTAGGAGCACCAACAGCAGTGCTACTACAAAGAATCATCGAATACATATACATACATATATATATCTACGCAGAATACTCTAATGATGAGAAGAAGAATTCCTAAGGAAGCGTAAAAGGTTTCAATGGTGGATCCCGAGAAGCCATCCTGCACCTTGACGATGTCTCCCAGCACCTGGCAGCAGGCACACCTATACCTATACTGAGCTTGGAACCCGAGCAAACATTCCCATTTTTTTGTGCTTCTTAGGAACCCGAGCAAAAAGTTCCATTTTTTTGGTGTTTCTTAGGAATTAAGGTGCCCAAAAGCTGAAAAATATTTCGAGATGTCCCTAAGACAGAGACTGGTCTGAAGTGTTTTGTTGGGTTTTCTTGGGGAGGAGTTCAGGGCTTCGGATTTAGGGGTGTTTGGGGCTTTGGGGAGTTGTAGCTAGGGTAACTTACATGGTGAGTTTGGGAACTTTGGGTTATAGGGTTCAGGATTTTGGGGGGTTTGTTAAGTTTCGGGTGTGGCAACAAAGGAGCCTGAAAGGGCTTTCGGATAAGCATCTCGCGTAAGAGTGTGTGTGTGTGTGTATACAGCTTTCTCTATCACACAAGAGATGTATACGTTGGAATATTTCTTTTGTGATCTACATGTACGCTTTTTTGTGAGGTGCAGAGTAGAAGAGTCTTCCGTCAGATTGCACGCTCCCTATCCCATCCCCCAAGCAAGCCGGAAGCCCCGAAACCCACCTCATGTTGGTAGCGAGCCGTTGGGCGAAGAGGCTGAGTGCTGATCCTAACCCTGATTGCACAGAGCACGAACTTGAACTTCTAGAGACCCTCGATCCTAAATCCAATTTGTCAGCATGAGCTCTTGCAACTAAATCCACCCCCCAAACCGAATACCCTAAACCCGGAATGCTGATTGCAGCAGGGCGGTACGCTTGGGGCCAGGAAAACTTCCCAGATGTGAATGGTTCAGGGTTTATGGTGGTACGGTTTATAGGTGCTATGGCTCCACGGCTGCACTTCCGTTTCTAACTTAGGCTCAAAATGGGTTTAGGGTTTAGGGTTTAGGGTTTAGGGTTTAGGGTTTGGGGTTTGGGGTTTGGGGTTTAGGGTTTAGGGTTTTTGGGGGGCCAATGACCCTAAAACGAATGTCTTCAGAGCCTGAGAGACAGGGTTTCGGAGCTTGGGCGTTAGAGGGCTACTTGCTTCATCGCCGGGGCACGATCTCGGACACGTCGACTTCCTGCAGCGGGCAAGTTTCTAGGATATTGAACCTTTGGCAAAAAATAGCACGCTGGCTCTGCTCAGATGCCTGCAGTAAATTGTGAAGAGCAATGTGCGAAGACCTTCCCGGAAATAGGGCAAAACCCTCCATGTCTGACTGCTTCAAGACATATACGGGAATACTCCATTAGACCGGGACTTTTGGGTTTAGTTCATGTTGGACTGAGGCATATGGGAGTTACAAGGGAATGCGCTTTAGGCTCCTGTTTTAGATACATTGCAGCAGTCCTTCCACTGGTTCTCTCGGAAGACAGTACCTCCCAGGGCAAGGTTCGGAGGCAAAGCAGACACTGAGGTCCAGACCACAAAACCGCGAAACCAAAATACAATTACACAAGCCAAAACACGAAACCCAAGACCTTAAATCCTAAACCCCCGAATCCCTAAAGAACGAAAACCCCAAAGCCTACATGCTGAGGCCAAAAACCCTAAACATCATGACGCACCGATGATGCAGTCTAACCCCCCCCCCCCCCACGCAATCCGCAATGATCCCGCAAGCTCGGCCCTTCCGTGCTAGCTTAGTGCTTAGGGTTGAACATCGATGTTCCGAAAATTATATAAACGGTTAGAATAGGGATTTATTGTTTCGGGCTTGTGTGGAACCGAAGTTGTAGGCCATAGGATTCAGGCTTCAAGGGTTTCCTGACCGAAGCTTTCAGATTGTGCTCGCTATGGGAGGGGAGGGGTTCCGTTTCGAGCCGTGCTGGACCTGCAGCCTTCAGGGAGGTGGGCTTCGGGTTTAGGCCTTGAACGACTTGACCCTAAACCCCAAACCCTAAGACCTTAACACAAAACATATTCCACGAGCAGCTCCCATGTTTCTCCATGTGACACTTTGCAGCGGAGTCTGTTCATGCGATCCCCTCGTGCAGGTGCCGGCACCCAGGCTACTTCGCACGAAATATGGCGTCTGTTTGAGGGATAGAAGTTGAAGCAGGCAGAGTGCACTGTGATGAGGCAAGTGAGCAGTGCAAAGCAGCTCTGAACAGGCACGCTGCCATCTCAAAGAAATCCACCCCACACGGCCTAAGGCACGGAGTATCTCGGTTGCCCAGTACCCTAAACATGGAAGGTGCCTAGGGGCTATGTGCAATCCAAACCCTGAAAAATGGGTTTAGGGGTCGGTGGGCTTGGGACTTTACTGGGCATCCCAGTACTGCCAGCAGAGATCTGGACAAGGCTGGCAATTCGTGCGGCCAAAGTCATGCAACAAATAACGAAAATCTTCCTGAACCACTTTCCTTACAGGAACGCGTCGCCGGTTGCCCGAACACTCTCGAAGACACAAATCAGCCCGATGGCTCGGGAACGTCAACTTTCAGCACCAGCCGGTTCACTACCTGAGAGTTGTTGGTGAAGAGTAACCCTAAACCCTAAACCCTAAACCCTAAACCCTAAACCCTAAACCCTAAACCCCAAACAAGTTCAGGGTTTTTAGGGCTCCGAGCCTGGGCCCCATCTGATGTCTGGGGCCCAAGATGAGGTGTACCGCGCGGTCCCAAGAAAGTCTGAAGACCAAGACACCGAGCCACTGCCGTGGTACAGAACTGGGGGCGACTTGTGCACGAGGCCTTTGTGGGCATTCGCCCCCAAGCACACCAACCCTACCCCCTTTCCCCACGATGGATGAAGGATCCTGTTCCTAAACACTCGAAAAAGCACCAAGGAAAGGGAGCTGACAAGGCTTTCTGTGAAGGACTCTGATGCGTGCATCGGGGGCAGCTATCGAGCAACCCCCTGGGACGGCGGTTGCCTAGAAACTCCTAGAGGGGCTTCCCGCCTTGATTTAAAGACACTTTCGGGTTTGCTTCAGGCTCTTGGGTCATCTAAGACACCCTACAAGATCCTCCCAGCTTTGGGGCACCTGAAACCAGGGTTTGGGGTTTGGATTTGTCGGGTCAAGAGCTTGTAAGCCTGTTTCGCCGGACTTGTAAGAGCTCTTGGCTTAGCTTTATGATGCTTGTAAAGTTTGAGCCACACAAACAAGGACTGGAGCAAACATACATGAACAAAAGCGGGGCCCCACAGCGCACGTTTCAGTAAGGCTTTTTAGGGAGGCGTACAGGGCTTACATGCTGTAGAGACCTTGGCTGATAAGGCTTGTAGAGCCTGATTGACATGTTTACAGCTCTCGGCGGGGAAAGAAAGGGAGTAGGGCTTTAACGAAGCCCGAGACAAGTGGCCCTTGGCGCCCACAGGGAACGCAGTGCCCTTGATGAAGAGCGCTTCGCCCACCTGATAGCAAGCTGGGCTCCAGCAGGCTACGGGATGCAGGGAGGGCTACTACCCCAGGTCATGGCCAAGAAACTGAAGGGTTCAACACTGCTACACTTCCATGCGTTGTGGTGCCCATCGAGGCTACCATTATAATATGGAGAGTACCACAAAAGGAAACTAAGTCCTAAACCCAAAATGACTGAGTGTAGGGTTGAAGGGTGAAGGGTCTCGGGTTGAGGATTACAAGTTTAGGGCTTGCAGGATTTCGGGTTTGGGGCTGTAAAATTGCAAACCCTGACCTGTGAGCAACTCAGAAAGTCTTAGGCTTTTAGATCGAAAACCAATGTCCAACCTCAGAAACCCCAAACCAAACCCTACAAACCTTCTGAACCCTGAACAAGAAGAACCCAAAACTTGATGTCGAAGCCCACAGCCCCCAAAACAACCAAACAAATCCTGCTTGGGCACCGATTGCCCCACTCCGATGCTTGAGAGGGTTTAGGGATTTGGGGCCGAATGGTTTCGGGCTTTTTGGGATTCTAAGGTTCAGGGTCTAAGGATTTAGGGGTCTAGGGGTTTGGGGTTGTAGAAAACTCCGATTAACAATGCCCAGCCGCGTTGAGAGCGCAGACCCGCGAGGGATCCTTGTATTCGTAGTAGATTGGGGAACTGGGACACCCTACATCATCCTTGAAGGGGGTCTGCATGGTGGGGGATGCAAGGTATCGACTTCCCCGAAACCCTAAGCAAGTCACTTGGGCCTTGAGCTTTTCGGGGTGGTACATCCCACACCCCAAGAGCCTCCAGCATTCTGAAACCGCCCGACAGGATGCCAAAAATGAAACCCATGCTTGACCCTATCGCATGTCCGCCGAAAGCTGGGAGCAGTCACAAGGCTATTGAAAGTCCTAGTTCCGAAATGGAGGGTTCGCCCTAACATCCCTAAAACCGTAAGAGCACTAGTTATTTAGACCCTGTCTGCCCCAAAATCCGAAATGTCCTAGGCCTTATGCAAGCTCTGAAGCCCTGAACCCTTGAAACCGTAAGCCCTCTCAACCATGAACCCTTAACACATGTTGAAACCCTTTAAACCCTCAAAAACCAACCCATTAAGCCCTAAAACCCTAAACCCTAAACCCTAAACCCTAAACCCTTGAACTCCTAAGCCCTTCAAGCCCTACAAACGGGGGTCCTTGATGATGTGCTCGTTGACACCGCAGTGCTCGAGCTCCCAAAAGTCGACGTTGTCATCCTCGCTACGGTTTAGGGCTTAGGGCTTAGGGTTTAGGGTTTAGGGTTTGGGATTTAGGGTTTAGGGTTTAGGGTTTAGGGTTTAGGGTTCAGGGTAGTTTGGGGTTTTGGGGCGTGAGATTGGGGTGCAGGCCCGAAGCGAGTCCGTGAGGACCTAAACCCTGTAAAGCAGGGACCCTCGAGCCCAAAAACCCTCGCACTCTCTGCGTCGACGAGAGTCGCCCGTCTCAGCCCAGCCCCATGAGCTGCAGGGAAACCTGTAAATTCAACTCCTGACCCACACAAACCTGTTCTAGGGTTTCGGGCTTAGAAAGTCTCAGCTTTAGGCTGGGTTTGGGGCTTGTTGCTGGTGTTGTGCTGCAGCTTCGGGTCTTAGATGGTGTCGGTCTTCGGACCCTGAGCTCGGAAACCTCCAAGAGTCAAGGCCGGGTGGCTGGTGTGTAGAGCGTGCCCGCAGAGTTGTAGGAGATGATCGCCCTGGCACAGTAGTTGTCCTGAGGGCTCAGGCAGATATTGGTCCTGCAAAGCGGCCCTAGGGCGTGGTTCCCAAACAACGTACTAAAGCCTAAGCCCTACATCCGATACACCTTAAACCCGAAGCCCTTAAACCCTGAAACCCAAATCCCACACTTAATCCAATTCCATGCCGTCCAAGGGCCTGTGAAGCTTGGGAAGTTTTGGTTTTGGCGCTCTGACGAACTGGCGGATTGAGGAAGCTTGGGCTTTTGGGGCTTAGAAGGTTTCGGATTTGGGAAGTTTAGGGTTTGGAGCCTTTTTTTGTTTTAACGGAATATTGGGATGTCTTAGGGTTCGGGAAGTTTGGGAGGGGAAGGGCTGAGGGCTTCTTCAGATAGGGGTATTTGCCAAAAGTCGGGGGCCCCTAATACCCCTTAGTTTACGAGGACCCCCCCCCCCCAAAAAAAAAAAAAAAAAAAAACTAAAGAGGAAGTATAACCCCTAAACCCCCTACACCCTAAACCCTAAACCCTAAACCTAACCCCTAAACCCTAAACCCTAAACCCCAAGCCCTTCCTTAATGAGCAAGTTGCAGGTTCCATGATCTGCGGGAGGGCGAAACGCCGAGATGCAGGAGGTTTGAGATGTAGGCGGGCGGGATAACTATACACAAGTCACAAGCACATGCAGAAGTAAATGGTTACAATATGTATATATATATGTATGTATATATATATACAGACATGTAAATACGCATATATATATATATGTATATATGTATATGTATATGTGTGTATTCTACAGTGACATAGAACGTTAACTAGACATGCTCAGTGTGAATACATAACATTAAACTCTGAACTCCTGCACTAAACCCTGAACCTTTAAACCCCTCAGACCTACAGTCGCAGCGTCTTTGTGCCATCGGGGACAGCTAGATTGCCCGATGATCTCGAGCTTGAAGTCGAATCTGGCGGGTCTAGGGTCTGTTCTCAGGGTGTATGGCGCAGGGGTTTGTAGTTGGATGGTTAGCCTTCAGCAGACAGAAGTCTACAAAGATGTTGGGCTTAGGGTTTAGGGCACCCCAACCCCTAAACCCCTCAACCCCTAGACCCCGAAACCCCTCAACCCCTCGACCCCTAAACCCCTAAACCCCTAAACCCCTAAACTCCCAGAAGCTCCGTAAAAGCCTAAGCCCTAGCAAGCTCCAGGTTGCTAGCTCCTGGCGACTCTGACATAAAGAAAGCATTAAGCCTCAAACCCAAAGCCCTTCACCCTACACCGTAAGCCCTCCATCCCAATAGTGGATGACGACCCCTTTGCCCTGGCCCCGGGTGCCTAGGGGTCCCAACCGTAATCCCTCCGTGACTTGGCCGACACTCACAGCTCTAAACACCGAGATCCTAAACCCTAAACCCTAAACCCTAAACCCTAAACCCTAACCCCTAAACCCTTAACCGAAACTCCCGAAACCCTGGCGGGGAGTCGGCCTCTGACTCCAGGGGCAGAGTTGGCCCACCACAGAACCCAGCTCGCAGATGTCTCCGCGCACAGCCTCGCGCACGTCGTCGGGCAGGATCGTCATCTCGGATGGGCTGGAGGGTGAAGGTCTTCTAAACCCTATAGACCCTAAACCCCATAACCTAGAAACCTTGAGGAGCAATGGGGCTTAGCGATTGGGAATCAGAGAAGTCTATGTGCACTTCTTTGGGCTTGTCAAGGGCGCGGGCGCTAACTCTGAGGACCCTGTCAGCCTTCAGGATTTCTTGAAGCTGCAATGCCTCATAGGGCTTATAGGATTTACTGTTTTCGGGTTTAGGTTTGGTGGGGAACTGCTCTTATAGCCAAGGGTAAAGTTTAGGGACCCTAAACACAAACCACCTCCGAAATTTCAGGAATACACGAAGAATTATTGGGGTTTCAGACAGAAAGGCTTTGGGGTTTGTGTGCAGGGTTCTGGGGTGTCCAGGGATTGGTCTCTCAGCTGTGCTTGTTATTAGGTCGGTGCTAGACGAGGGGAATCATACAGGGTGCCGCCCACAGCAACATAGGAAGAGCACAATGCTTTGGCCTTCGCATTCGCCTGAAAAGTAAAAACCTAATTCGCCTTAAACCCTAAACCCTGACCTTCTGAGCCCTACATGCAAAGTTCGGCACATCTACCAGGAAGCCCGCTCCCGAGAGCCTCTCCGGTACGAACGCCCCCCAGAGCATCGCAGCACCCCAAGCCGAAATCCGAGAAACCATCCACAGCATCTATTCGGGTTTCGGATTTACACGGGATTTTGGGGTTGCACCCTTAGAGAAAATCGCGAAACCCTAAACCCTGAAGCCCCCCCTCCCTCCCTCCCATCGCCTTCTCGAGGAGCTTGTCGGCCACTTTGCCCAGATCTCCGAGGCCCTGCGGCCCTCGAAAAACTTTCTGAGAGTTCTCCTGGGAGAGTTGGGATTGGCTTTCGGGCTTTTGGGGGGGCATTGCGAGGGGGGAGGGGGGGGGGGGTTTGGGTTTAGGGTTGTTCTAGAAGGTCTTTAGTCTTGGGGTGTAGGGATTGGGGTTGACGCATCGGCAAGGGATACTTGGGGAATCTGGATCAGCTGCGGAGCAGTGAGCTAAAGGTTCCGGGCTCAGGGCTTTACAAGTCTGAGAAACCAAATTCTGGACTTTTGGCTTAGGGCTTTGCGTCGAAAGCCTGAACACGAAAGCTGCCCAAAACCTCAACAAATCGTCGTAGCTCCAAACACCCAAAACCACGAACACCAGAAAACCCTAAACCCCCCAAGCCCGCAACAACACCCTAAAGCCCCTAAAGCCCCTAAAGCCCCTGAAGCCCCTAAAGCCCCTAAAGCCCTAAAGCCGTCAAGAGATGAGCTCAAACCCCACCTATGTGGCTAGCGCCTCCTCTTCGCTGAAGTCACCTTTGCGGCAGCCCTGGTCAACGGCCTGGTTGGGGCTTTTAGGGCTTGGGGCTTAGGGTTTAGGGCGTATAGGCCGTATAGGGTTGAGGGGCCCATTAGGGAGCTTCAAGCGCTCAGGGTTTAGGGGTTGAAGGTGGAGGGTGTAGGGTTTAAGGTGGAGCTTTTTCTAGGCCTTCGGTTTTTGGGCCCTCGCTCCCTTTTTTCGCCTTCCCAAACAACAACAGTTAAGGTGCCAATCTTGGGGAGTTGTACCCTCAACAGATTTGGGCTCAGAGGCACGGAGACCGTCCAAGTCCTACCTACAGCACAACAATAACAGGAAAGCACACATCAAACAGGCAATCGTGCACTTAAAATCGCTCAACCCCGATAATGCAAAGAATCTGAAAGCCCAGAAGTGTCAGCCACCGACAGGTGCCAGATGCCCTGAAGGGTTTAGGGCTTGGTTTTTAGGGTTTATAAGGCTTAGTTCTTAGGGCTTTTTGGGGCTTTTTGGGGCTTTTGGGGCTTTTTGGGGCTTTTGAGGGCTTTGAGTTCAGGGCTTCGCCCTGGCTGCTTAGGGATTTGAGGGCTTGTTGTGCGTTGAGGATTCCTGTCAACTCCCCATCCCTCAGTCACCCGGAAAACCGAACATTGGGGTTGCGCAACATTTGCGCTTCGGGTGCGTGTTTGGGGGTCCCTCTACATCCCTCTCGGGTGCCCACTATACTAAATGCCCATATGAATGCATAATATGAAGGCAGACTCTGCACGCCAGTGTCCTCTTGGCAGTCTTTCCACCAGGGTTTTCTTGCCACCAGAAGCCCCTGCAGCGAGATACTGGAGCGCAGGGATCTAAAGGAAAGGATCATCCGGTTTAGGGTTTGTATGGGGTACGGGGTTGACGGACTTCTAAACGCAAGGCTTCGGGCTTCGGATGGCACAAAACGTGGGGCCTTGTAGTGAAGGCCCTCTGTCCGAAACCAGTCGCCAAAGCTCGTCCCACGTAGGAGCGGCGAAGATGGCTCAGGCGCTGGGACCTGCCCCAGGCGACGTGAAGGCGGTGTAGGGGTGTGTTTTCGTGTGCAAGGGGTTTGAAGGTTGAAAGTTCAGGGTTGAAAGGGATTCAGGTTTAGGGTGCGCCAAGCCTGACTCACTGACGCATGGTTGCTTATCACCCGCCCGACCCAGCCAACGTTCAGTTGCGCTCCCAATTTATGTTGTACTTCCCTTTTGCCGAAACAAACCACCCCGCATCGCGAGCACGGGCATTAGTTTAACCCTCTCTAACCTCCTAAACCCCGCAAGTCCCCAAATGTTTAAAACCCTCAAACTGCCTCAAACCCCCTAAGCCCCCCTTTAGACCCTTTAGACCCCTAAACCCTGAACCCTAGACCCTAAACCTCAAAAAATGCACAGACTCTCCGTGCCTGCGCCTTCGCAGGCATCGGTGTGGTCAGCCCCGGCGCCGCGGGCGCCAGGATCCGGGGCCCCGCGTAGGCCCCAGGCGCGAGGGCCCTGTGAAGGGGACGATGGGTGATAGAGTTTAGGGTTACAGAGGGTCATAGGGTTGTAGGGTTCTAGGGTTCTAGGGTTCTAGGGTTAGAGGGTTCTAGGGTTGTAGGGTTCTAGGGATATGGGGTTATAGGGATATAGTGTTCTAGGGTTACAGGGATATAGGGTTCTAGGGTTGTAGGGCTTAGGGTTTAGGGTTCCGGTGCCGAGCCAAGACTGATAAAGAGGTGGTATGGGCCAAGGAGCTGAGTGACGAGCATGGCCATGGGGCTGAACTGGGCAGGATTGGTCAAAAGGACGCGTGGATTGTCTTGTCAGGTTTTGCAGGTTCTGATCAGAACATGTTACCCTAGACCCTGATAAACCCAATAGAACCCTGATTGCGAAGGACTGCTTCAGGGCTAGGAAGGCGAATTCAGGTGAGCGGTTTGCCAGTGAACCCTGCACCTTAACCACCTATTATTCGTTGCCTCCACGCCTGAAACCCGCCTGAGAATAAGTTCCCATCTGACTTTGGGTGTAACTCTTTGTCTTCTTGTCTTACAACTCTGTGGACAACCTCGTCCTCAAGGCAAGACATTCAAAACCCACTGAAAGATGCCGGCGTTGCCCACTTTCAGCCAAAAACCCACATTTGAACTCCAACCTCCCCGCCAGGCCCATAAGCAACTCTGCACCGCAGCCAACATTGTCCAGTTTAGCTCAGCCTGAACGGGCAACTCATGGGATTCAATGGGGGTTATCCCCCCCGCCCCCACAAAACAAAGGCTACTTTCTTTCAACTTTCTTCGAAACGAAGGTGAAATTCCCTAAAAGCAAAAGGCATCTGGGCCATGGGATGCGGCCCCCGCGGCAAAAGCTGCAACGCTTTTGTTGCAGCGGCGCCCCTTTTGCCTTTCGGCTCTCGGCTCGGGCCGAAACGGCTGGAGGCGGCCCTAAACTCTCTAAGGGCCTAATCAAAAGCTAAGAAACCTACCTGCAAGAGGCTTCTTGAGGAGTCTACGTAACCTACACAAGAAGTGGGCTTTGCGTACAAGCTTCGGGCTTTCAGGGCTTTGGATCTCTCCCGGAGGGCACAGCTTTGCTTCATGGACGCCATGTCTGCGATCTTCTTCTGATTCGGGCGGACGATGAAGAGAGCCTTGGAGCGTTTAGGGCTTAGGGTTTAGGGATTCGGGCTGGGTTTGTCAAGATGCTTCTCAAGAGCCATCAAGAAACCTGAGACCCGAGTTCTACACCGGGAACCCAAAAATCCCCAAGCCGAACTGTTTGAACTCACGCCGCCGGGATGCCCGATAAATTCCGGAGCCCAGCATCATCATAATCCAAACAAATCCTTGAGCGGGCGGAGACAGCCGGAGTTCCTACATGGGAGAGCCTATGCACCCACCTGAACCCTAAACGAGTAGAACCCTCTCAACCCTCAACCACTCGAAGTACCCCGAAAGGGCTCTCCACACCTGAGCCTCCCAAAATCTGCCGCAGACTTCTTCTTAATCTCCGAGAAGGTGACAGGCTACCCAAAAATCGTAGTGGTAACCGGCTACTCAGTTTGGGGATTGTAACTTTTTGGATCTTCCCAGGTGCTTGGGGTTTAGCATTCAAAGGTTCACAGGTTCAAAGGGTTTAGGGGTTCAGGGGCTTGAGGTGTGTTTTATTCGGGATCATGGTTCAGGATAGGGGTTGAGGGTAAGGTCTAGGGTTCTGGTGTGCAGGGGGTTTTGTGGGCTAGGGCTTAGGGGTTCGCCCTGGATTTGGAGCATGTGCTACCACCGGGTTTGAGCCGCAGGTCATGGACAAAGGTTGGGGGGGGGGGATTGGTGTTCTAGAAGACGCAAGGAAAGGGCTCACCCTCGCAGAATTCTGAGGGCAGGGCCGATGTTCCAGGTGGAGTAGGCAACGTATGCCCAGCTTCCGATGGAGTTGAAGATGTACGTGAAATCCTTGGGCGAAGGCGGAAGTCGAGAGTTTCATTCGCTGACCCACACAGAGTGCGCATTTCCACGGCGCAGGACAAGTGATAGCAGGGCATGGCGTGGCACGACACAACGCAGCGCAGAAGGGCTTCAAGCACAGCAAGCATGCAGAGCGGAAGAACGCAGAGCTGAACGACCCAGCAAAATGTTCAAAGCCGCTAGAGGCTGGAAGGTTGAGCCCGGCGTTTATCGAATGACAAGCTCAGAAGTATTGATAAACATGCTGGGCCGCCTTCCAAAACCTTCTGAGTTTGAGTCTAGGGTCTTTTGACTTTATACCGTTTCAAGGGTTCATAGGTGGTTAGGGTTGAAAGGGTGGGATCACCTTTGAAAACCCTGAAAGAAAACAACTCAGTCCTACTAAGCCAAGCCCAAAACCGCATGTCCAGAGGATGGAGGGTTTTAGGGTTTAGGTGCATCGGGCTGAACGAACCTTACCCGAAATGTCCGAGAAAACGGACCTTGCAGGGTTTAGGGTTCAGGGTTCTGAGGGGGCTTGCGCAGTTTCGGGGTTTAGGAATCGAGCTTTAAAGTTGTCGAAATCCTTCTTAACTCCTAGACCCTAGAGAGTTCGCAGAGGCTGGGTTTCAGTGCAGCAGAAGTGGCCGAAAACTCAGTTCCCAAAGCTTCGATGAATCCTGCAGAGGGGAGTTGCCATCCAAGATTGCACAAGAACTCCTTACCTTGTCTATCTCTGTATACCAAGTCTGTGTGTCTTTTTGGTGTAAGAATATGAAGCTGGTGTGGCCAGACAAAAACAAATATAATTTATGATTTTACATATACACACATATTCATAAACATATACATATACATTTACATATACACACACACACACCCACACATGTATCAGATGCATTCCAGACCACGACACAGTCATATGGGAAGTCACTGGAAATTCAAAGAAAGAGCCTACTTGTTTTGGCGAGAAAGGGTAACCTTGTTTTGGGGGCATGAAATACCTACGGACCTCCGAAACCATACTGTACCTCAGGACTCCCTTCCTCAACAACCTCGAGAAATCAGCGCGTCAAGAGCCCAATAAGGGATTAACCGATTGACCCTTTGTTCTGTGTTCTACCCTTTAAGGGATGATATAGGGTACCGCCTGGTTCTGAGTAGGGAATGAGGGAATTAGGGTCCTAAAAATACCCTTTAAGCGATTACGTAGGGCCCTATATACACCCTTTAAGGGATCACATAGGGACCTAGAGAAAAACACTCTCGGCCCTGGCGCCTGGCACATGGACGTGGATCGTGTTCTCGCCACATGAGGACAGGGCCTGCAATGAACTTGAAACTTCCCCACATCGCCGGATTCAGGGTTCAGGGTGCTTTTCAGGGTCTAGGGATTGCTGCGCGCAGTTCGGTATGAGAAATTGGGGGCTAGGCGCGTGAGATGTCGAAGTTAACCACGGGTAAGGTTAGTGCAAGTCAAGTCAATGCCCACAGACAGGAGGGGCCAGAACCCAAAACGCCGACAGCTCAAGAGCATGTTGGCCCAACCTGTAAGACACCCAAACACTAAACCCCTAGATCCCCAAACCTTAAACCCTAAACTTTTAAACCCCCAAACCCCCAAAACCTTGACCCCACTGAGCCTTATAATCTCTGGAGTCCTGGGTCCTGGGCCACAAACGTCCAAAGCAAAAAGCTGCCAGCGCCCCGGGTTTAGGGTTGAAACCCCCCAAGACCCAAAACAACCCAAAACCCCTACACGCTAAGCCCTAAGAACCTCAGCGCTAAAACCCTGAAGCCCTAAACCGCCAGAGAACCACTAGCCAACCCCCCTAAGCCCCCGTCGGTGCCTGTGCCGCCTCGTCTTCGGAAAGCCCACCCTGCTTCAGGACCCGGTGAGCCTCCTGCCACGAGCTCGAGCGTTTTTGCGGTTTTTGGGTTAGAGGCAGAGGCTTATGGGCATTTTGTGGTGTTATAGGTTCTGAGGTTACAGAGGGTGCAGAGCTTGTTTAGAGTTTATAGGGTTGCAGGTCGGCACCAGGAGGTGTTTCGGGCTTCTCTGGCACACTGAGGCGTGCAGCTGCAAGGAATATCCCGGCCCTATAGTTGAACGATCAACCCTGTTCGGGCCTTGGGCAATAACCCAAAACCCCGAACCCCAAACCCCCCAAGCCATCATAAGCCAAAGGCTACACAGTGGTTGAGGATTTGCCCGAAACCCCAACCCCAAAACCCCCACCCCCACAATCCAAAAACAAAAAATCCCAAACTCCCAAACCCCCATAAACACATCAATCTAACAATAACAATAATGACAAAACATCAAAATAAACTAAATCCCTGAAGCTCCGAAACTACCTCCAAAACGACACCAACCCCCCTAAAAACACCTAAGCTCCAACAAAAACACTCCAAACCACCCCCCCCCCCCACCTTTTCACCCCCCCGGCCCCGAAATGCCTGGGCATCGGGGACCAACAAACCCATGGGCACGAAGGACTCAGACTCATCGCCTGGCGAAATCGCAGTCTTTTGGTGAGGAGAACTTTAATATTGGGGCTTCGGAAAATTCAGGCTTTAGGGCTTCGATGCCCTAAATGCCCCGTCACATGCAAAAAGTCCCTTAAGCGTCCAAGCCTGGAGTGCCAAACTCCCTAAAACTTGTAAACCCTAGACCCGAAACCCTAAACCCGGTACGCCCTACCCCAAACCCCCCAAGCCCTTAGTTTACAAAGAGGCAAAAGCATCTCAGGGTTTCGCGCGTGCCGCGTGCTCGCGGGTTTTAGGGCTGTGTTTGGTGGCGGGGTTCATATATGGGCTTTTTTAGGGGTTTTTAAGGGTTGTAAGCTTCACAGGGCTTATAGGGTTTCTTATTTTCAGGTGAAGGCCATGATGTCAGGTGACACGCCCTTTTCTGCCACTCCTTTCGCCGCACTGTGGAGGCTCACTGCACAGACGCCTCCATCAGGCGAAAGACCCGGTCCACCAGCGAGGCTACATGCACCGAATTTGATGGGTCCTGCTTGGGGCGGTTGGGAGGCAGGTTTGGGGTTTAGGGTTGAAAGCAATCCGTTTGCGTGTGAAGGACTGGAGAGAAGCGAGCGCGCTCGCGCCCGAAATCAGTGGCTACGCACACTACGAACCCCAAGTTCGTCAAGTGGAGCACACGGAGGGACAGAGAAGCCGAAACCCGGGTTTGGCGTTTTTTGTAGCTGATCTTGGTTTCCCGTTGAATAATGACATGTCAGCGGCTCCTTTTCAAAGAACAAGCTCCCACGGAACACCATAAAGGAAGCCTCTGAAGCCCACAACCCTAAACACCTTTGGGAAGGCGCAGGCTCCTGCTTCCAGTCATGGTCGCCCGGGAAGACGTAGACCTCCCAGTTCTGACAGTCCTGAAACCTCGCTTGGGGGCGCCACGGTGGAGGGCCTGGGGTTTATAGGGCTTGTTGGACATAAAGGCGCTATAGGGCTTGCAGGTTTATGTGGTGTTTCTGCTGGGTCTTAGAGGGTCTACAGTCTGTAGGGCTTGTAGGGTTTGTGGGGTTGTAGGGTTTACCAGAGTGGACGGAAACAGCGACCCAGAATCTTGTAGGTGGCGCCCGTCCGGGTATGCGCCGGGTGCCCGGGTATGCGCGGGTATGCGCCGGGTATGCGCCGGGTATGCGCGGGTATGCGCCGGGTATGTGCGGGTATGCGCCGGGTATGCCGGGTGCCCGGGTATGCGCCGGGTATGCGCCGGGTGCCCGGGTATGCGCCGGGTATGCGCTGGGTGCCCGGGTATGCGCCGGGTGCCCGGGTATGCGCCGGGTCTGCGCCGGGTGCCCGGGTATGCGCCGGGTATGCGCTGGGTGCCCGGGTATGCGCCGGGTGCCCGGGTATGCGCCGGCCGGGCTTCATCTCGACCCTGTCCCCGATCTTCGATTTGACCCCCTAATTTTTGGTATGACCCCCCCCTGTCTTCATTTTAACCCCCTGGAAGGGCCTACCCAGGCAATGCCTAAACCTTTTAAGGCTAAAAAGTGAAAAAGCTGTATGTTTGAAACTTGGGTTCTTCCAAAACCCCTTGAGGCCAATAAAGGAAAAACCTTTGTGCTTCAAACTTGGGTTCCACACAAGAAGCTATGGCGATCCTTTTCGTGGCAAAGGTCGCTGGGAGTCTGCAGATGGTCAAAACTCGTGCGTGAGGGTATCCAGGGTTCTTGCTAAGTCTACATTGCTGTAAACCTATGGTCGAGGAATTATTTTAATTGTTTTTTGCCTTTCCAACTTTCTTTTTTTTTGGGGGGGGGGGGGCCTCCCTATTGCAAGATAAAGGAAATCCAAAGAAAATAGAGGTTTTCCTGTTCAAATCCAAAGTTGCAAGATAGAGGAAATCCAAAGAAAATAGAGGTTTTCCTGTTCAAATCCAAAGAAAATAGCGGTTTTCCTATTAAAATTCAAAGAGAAGAGGTTTTCCTATTAACATCCAGAGGAAATAGAGGTTTTCCCATCAAACTCCAAAGAGAATGGAGGTTTTCCTCTTAAAATCCAAAGAAATAGCGGTTTTCCGCATAGAGTACAAAGGAAATACAGGTTCTATTCTTAACATACAAAGGGAATGCGGGTATTCCTATCCAAATACCAAGGAAACTTAGGGTTTTGTCCGTGAAATGTAGGGTTTTACCATTAAAAGTGAAAGGAGATAGAGGTTATCCATAGAATGCGGGGAAAGAGGGTTTGCCTATTCAATACACAAAGAAACTAGAGGTTGTACTACTAACAGAAACAGATAGAGATTTCCAAAAAAAAGGAAAAGAGGTTTAAAATTAACAGACATAGGGCTTCTAAACCAGACAAACGCATAGAGGTTTGCTGTAGAGGTTTTCTTACGTAACAAATATAGGGTTTACTTTGTTGGACTTGCACGAACGAACGGCATGTATGTATATGCTTTGAAGACAGCTTGCGCGGCTTTTAAAAAGGAGGGGATTGGGAGAGAGCGCAACCCCCCCCCCCCCATTTGCAAAACACGATTCTCGCATGATGGGTTTTCAAAATGTATGTCTATGCTTTGAAGCAAGCTTGCACGGCCCAAAATAAAGCGCCCCCAAATTTGCAAACACGATTCTGGCATGATGGATTTGCAACATTTTAATGTATGCATATGGCATATGCTTTGAAGCAAGCTTGCTTAGCTCAAAAAGAACGGGGGGGGTTGGGGGGGGGGGAGCCCCCCCATTTGCAAACACGATGCTCGCATGATGGGTTGCCGAAAATGAGTCGAAAATGTATGCATATGCGTTGAAGCAAGCTTGCGCGGCTAAAAATAAAGCGGGGGTTGGGGAGCCCCCACCCCCCCCCCCTCCCCCCGCATTTTGCAAACACGACTTTCGCATGATGGATTTCCAACAATGTATGCACATGCTTTGAAACAAACTCGTGCGTACTCGTGCGTAATCGTGCGTACTCGTGCGTACTCGTGCGTAGTCGGGGGTACTCGGGCGTACTCGAGCGTACTCGGGCGTACTCGGGCGTACTCGGCGTACTCGGGCGTACTCGGGCGTACTCGGGCGTACTCGTGCGTACTCGTGCGTACTCGTGCGTACTCGTGCGTACTCGTGCGTACTCGTGCGTACTCGTGCGTACTCGGGCGTACTCGTGCGTACTCGGGCGTACTCGTGCGTACTCGGGCGTACTCGTGCGTACTCGGGCGTACTCGGGCGTACTCGGGCGTACTCGTGCGTACTCGGGCGTACTCGTGCGTACTCGGGCGTACTCGTGCGTACTCGGGCGTACTCGGGCGTACTCGGGCGTACTCGTGCGTACTCGGGCGTACTCGTGCGTACTCGGGCGTACTCGTGCGTACTCGGGCGTACTCGTGCGTACTCCGACGCGGTCGCCCATCCCTGCCGCAATGGGGTTTACTGGCCTTGCAGGGTCTTTGAGGACGAGTCGGAACTCAGACCAAGCAGCCAGGCCCCGGTGCTGGTGGCAAAGTCGCGCCGGACCAATGATCCACAAGTCCCGACATCCTGGTCTAGAGGGCTTCGGGGTTAGGGTTTAGGGTTGAGGGTTTAGGTTTGAGTGTCTAGGCGGTGCACCAAAATTGGGGCTTCTTGGGGTACTAGTCTCCTGTCTGCACTCGACATGGGTTGTACACTCGAAATGGTTTGAAATGCTTGGTCTTAACCCGAACCCTAGGCACGGTCTTAGGGTGCAGTGGTCCCTCGAGCCTCCATCATGTCCAGTATCAGCATCTGCTCATCCGAGCTGCTTCCCACCCCAATGACAAGAGGGGCTGGGTTGTGTCCTCAGCGGCTTCGAGCTTCTAGGGGGAAGACTGCGGCTATGGAGGTTTTGCATGAAGGTTGCGAATAGGGCGTTCTTAAAATGTAAGCTCGGGATGCATCCCACATCCAATAGCAAGCTGAGCTTCGCCGCAAGATGCGCAGACTGTCCAACCATTGTGCCTGCAACGCTGAGCATCTGCAGGTAAACTTAGTTGTCCAGTAACCTGGGGGAACTAAAGGTTAACCTTTGGGATTATAAGGGGATTCTACTACCCCGTTACCTACTCTACTACTAGGTAAATGGTAAGTAGAGTATGTGCGCCTCAAACCCCGAAAGATCGCCAGCCAGAGGCCAGAAGTTGAACTGTCAGGCCCAACGCCCCAAACCTGAACACCTGCCACACAAACCCCATAATCCTCCCAAACCCAGTATAAAACATCCAAGCCCGCATAAACTGCCAGAATCCGCAGGATCTCCCAAGCTTCCCGGTCCTCCCAGCTCTCGTTGCCCGCCGCGATATGGTCGCAGCTATTCGGGATCGGCGATAGCAGCACGGCCGGCCCAGACCAGCTCCGCGTTTCGAGCAGGTGTGTGAGAAGATTCCTTGGCTTTTGAGAGGCTTGTGGAGTCTTCGGAGTTCGGGGAGTTTAAAAGTCGGGCAGACAGGATATGGGGTTTAGGAGGCGTGGGGAAAAAAACAGGGTTTAAGGTTTCGAGAGTTTAGGGTGTGTGGGTGTGGGTTTAGGGGGCAGAATATTTCGTCCGGAGGTAGAGACAAGTACAGATCACAGGAAACGTCGAGCATGGAAATCCTAAACGCTCAACCTCCTCAACCCACAAACCTTCAACCACCCAAGGCATCCGCTTCGGAACATTGTGCTTCCACCACTCCAACTGTTAGCTCTAACTTCAACACCATACTTAAACCCTGAACCCAGATGGGTGGGGATTCTGGGCTTAGGGCAGGGCAGGATTTCAGAGGCACGATCGCTTAGGGCAGGGCAGGATTTCAGAGGCACGAGCGCACCGCGTTGAGGCACTGCATTATTTCTTGGAGAGGGGGTTAGGGTTTAGAAGGTTTAAGTTGGGATATTCTCTCTTATACTAACAGGTCTTCTTATACTAACAGTCCTTAACAGGGGCTATAGTAACCCCCTATTAAAATCCCTATTAAGGACTGTTAGTCTAAGGGGAACGCCCCAAGGTTTCAGGGCCAAGTTACAGGCCCTTGGAGGCCACCAGGAGAGCAGCAGGACGGTGTTCCGCCAGGGCGGCCTGGCTGTAGGATATGTATGGGGAAAGGTTTCTAGGGCTCAGGGTCTAAGGAGCTTGGGCTTCAGTAGCCCTAAACCCGAAACCCTAGCCCTAAACCCTAAACCCTAACCCCTAACCACCCTAAGCCCTAAACCCCCCCTCCCCCTGCGCCCAAACAAGAAGGATATGGCGGCCTGCAGCTCCCCCGCATAGCGATTCAAGGCCGCCTGAAAGCCTCTGCAGGGCCACGAGAGGTCGGATTTCGGGGGGGCGGGGGTTTAGGGCGGGGGGTTGAGACTGTCAGTGTGGCTGTATTTCAGGAATGGGTAGGGCTTAGCGGCTAAAGGTCTAGGTGTTCAGGGCTTAGGGATTGGAGTCAAAACCTAAACCCTAAACCCCCAAAACAAACAGCATGCCAAATCAGCCGGAGAAGGTCCAAGCGGCCTCCTTGCAACATCAAGGGCCCGAATTCCAGCCTCGGCTGGGGGGCTCTGCCTTGTTTTCGGGGGTTGTCACAAACACATTCATAACAGACCCCACATACATAGACATATGCATAAATACAAATATATATATATATATATATGTATATATATATATATGTATATGTCTGTACATATACGCAGTATGAAAAAATATGTACATATACACGAATCCCTAAAGGCTTTAACTTGGGGTCCGGCAGGGAAGCTTTTGTCGGGAAAGCTTTTCACAAAAAGGAGCCCTTCGCCCGAAAAGTGGGGCCCATAAGCCCTCTGCATCTGAACTCCTACCCTAAACCCTAAACCCTAAACCCCTAAACCCCTAAACCCCTAAACCCCTAAACCCCTAAACCCCCTAAACCCCTAAACCCCTAAACCCCTAAACCCCTAAACCCCTAAACCCTAAATCCCTAAACCCCTAAACGTTAAGGCGCTTGCAAGGCAAGTTGCAGATCCAACGTGACGGCAGTCCAGGGGTGCCGGCGTTTGGAGGAGGCCTCAACCTTCCGCCAGGGCGAAGGGGGGGGACAGGGGCTCAGGGCTCTTAAGGAGCTTCAGTAGACCTAAACCCCAAACCCTGAACCCGAAACCCTATATGCTTCGGATTTGATGGGGTTTTAGAGTTCGAGGCCCAGGCTTATTGTTTTTTTTTTTTGTTTCGGGTTGGGGGCTGAGGGGCCAAGGCTTCCTTAAGGGGCTCAGGGTTTAGGGTGTGGGAGTTTGGGGTTTGGGGGGAGGCGGGGCTTTAGGGACTTAGGACTTGGCGGGGTGTGGGCCGAGGGCAGTCAGGGTTCAGGATGCGCATGGCATGAAAGATGATGCTAAACCCTACGCCCTCGTGGTTTAGGGTTTAGGGTGAGGGTTTAGGGTTGGGTGAGGGTTTAGGATTTTTAGGGTTTGTTTTTTAGGGTATAAGGTTTCGCCTCAACTCACAGGATTTCCGCCGTGCCCCCACCCTCCTTGGGTTGAGGGAAACCTTGGGTGGGGGGGTATCTGACCCTAAATCTCAAACCCTCAGGGACCCATACCCTACACCTCAAATCTCCAAAGGGGTGCAGGGTGCGAAGGGTTAACCCCAAGAACCCTAAGTCCTAACCCCTACATGGCCTCTGTCCAGTTGATCCACGCGTTGGCGGCACCGATCGCCAAGAGCTTCCGCGGCTCCTTCCGGCGGGAAGAAGCCGGAAGCCGAAAGCCCAAAACGGAGGTTTCACGCTTTTCTGGGAGGGATTCCAATAATGAGGCTTCTCGAAATTTGAGTATGTGTGCGTTATATTGGGTACCCTTTTCGGAAAATATCCAACTCTAGACCCTGGCCCTCTGACACCCAGTTTAGGCTTAAGGGGTTTATGGTCCAGGGAACCCGAACCAAACAAATCCCTAAACAACTCGAAGCTCCTCATTCCCGAAACCTCCTAAACCTCCAAACCCCAAAGCCCACAACACTCTAAAACTGTCAACCCCTACATGCCCCAATCGACAAAGCGCTCCGCGTGAGTTTTGTTTGGCTTGTGGCGTGGGATCCCCGGGGTTTTCCACGGAGCTGTTTGGCGACGTTCAATAGCCCATAAAGGAGAAGGGCCATTTTGTTTTTTCTGTGAAGGGTGTATACAGGAAGCTAGCCCGTACAGAAAGGAAGAAGAAGAGGACGAGGAAGATACTTGATTCAGGGTATAACATAACGCTGATGGTGTTTAGGATAAGCCGGTCTGCTGAGAAAGATTGTGTGAAGGGTTGTTCAATAATTAGAGTAGAGTTTTGGGGGTCATTAGAGTTTATTAAGGGGCCATAAGGGAAGACTACTAGCAACTATATTCCCGAACCCTATATAAAACCCAAAACCCCTACATGATTCAACGCCCAGCCCCGGAACTCGCCGGGAGAGCGTCCTCCGGGGGGCGGGAGACGGCACAGACAGCCCAGAGCAGCCAGGAGATCCGCAGCATCCAGAATCCAGGCAAGGCCATGGCGCAATTGCCCAGGGGTTTGGGGTTTCGGGTTTAGAGTTTAACCCCGGCCAAGACCCCTAAACCCGAAACCCTTAAACCCTAAATCTCCGAACACCATAAAAACTCTTTCGATCCATGAGTCTCGATCGTTCAGGGATGCAGGGCTGATGATGGGTTGACTGTCACCATGCGGAACTACGCCCAATACCAAGGTCCAAACTAACCCCTGATACCCCGAACGCTCAACGGCTTTGTGTGTCGGCCAGAGATGTCAAACAAACACCCTCTCAAGAACCCTAGACCTACAATGACCCTAAATCCGGTGTTGCTAGAAGGGCTTAGGATATCAACAACACTCCCAGGGTTCGAGGGTTAGTTTACGCTCAGAAGCTTTGGCTCCTTTCAGCCATCAAAGGTACCTAGATCTTGGGATGCAACAAAAGACGCACCGAACTTGACACCAGGTACCCAGAAAGTACCAAGCCCGAGCCCCCCCCGTGCCCAACTTTGAGGGTCGGATCAGGATGAAGGGTTCAAGGATGCCCCCCGCTGCGCTTCTTCGGGTGAGGTTTCGAAGGATGCCAGAAGCAGGGTTCACGGTTCAGGGTTCAGGGTTCAGGGGCTAGGGTTCAGGGGCGAGGGTTTAGGGTTTAGGGTTTCGGGGTATAGGGTTTGGTGTATGAGCTAAACCTCCAACAAGAGCCAACGACACTAAAGACGAAGAGTTCGCTCTGTTCAGAAACACAGCAAACTCAAGCATGCCAGGCTGGCTGTAGACATAGCGGACGCAAGTGTACTCCTCGAAAACATATGGGGTTGTTAGAGTATTCGAGTCACCACTGAGCGGCCTATTGCCAGCAATTCTAGGAAAAGCTTACATGCAGTAGAGCCTGATGCAGTGTTTGGTCTGGGGGTTGAGGTGGCGCATTCTCTTCTCATTGACTTGATGACATGCTCTGAGCAATGTGGGAAAAGCAACAGGACAGTTTAAAATGATCATGTTTCTTCTTTCGCGGTGTGCACCTGTTGCTTAACGCCCCTAGTTGCGCAGGTGGAGAACTCTACAATTCACACTGTGAACAACTGATTGATGGGGACAGCTATGTCGATTTTGTGGTCCCCTATAGTACCTAAGCCCCGCATTGTCCTAGTTCATCCCAAGCTCACAAGACCCGGTGGCAAAGCTGAGGAGGGCACCACATGCCGCGTTCCATCGTCGTCCTCTGAGATCGGCATGACCTGGTGCTGGTATTAGACAGGGGCCTATGTAATAGTGTGTGTGTATACACAGAGATACATCAAGGGAATTGGGCTCCTGAGGTCACTGACGTAATGCAACTAGCTGGGCTGAGCAGAACTGATGCTTGAGAATTTCAGTGACACAACATTAGGCGAATGCGGGTGTCTGACACAAGCACCGCGCATCCAGACCTGTAATCGTCCCCACAAGCATAGAGCCCGAGTAGAGGATGAAGCCCCCCAAACCCTAAGCCGTTAGCCAAGTCTTTAGCGATGGTTTTGGTCTCTGGACTTGGAGGGGTGAGTTCCCCAAAGCCCCCCCCCTCCCCCCTCCCAAAACAAAAAGAGATAAAAATGAATAAACAAATAAATCAAAAACGAATTAACGGGCAAGAGGCCAAGCACAGCCTCAAAATCCCTACCTTAGGATCAACCGGGTGTAGGATTTACAGTTTCGGGCTCTCAAGGTTCAGGGTTGAAGCTGTTGGGAATGTAACGGTGACTGGACCGGCCTGCCGCGTCGATGCGCGTTTCACGCGCGCCTGCACGGAAGCAATCTTCTCGAGGAACCAGGTGTCCTGGCTAGCGGGCCTAGATCCACTGTAACCTTACTTAAAAGCCCCAAGCTCGACTCTCTTCTCTAAAGTCCGACCTGCGGACGGTCCTTACCTAACCGACTAACTCCACATACCGGGATGTTATACCCCCAGCCCATTCCACCTCGCCCTTGAGCTCATCGGGATCTTCCACATCATCTGGGTCAACATAGGTATCCTCGTCCACAATCCTTGAGGGGGAGGGTCATGTCAGAATGGATCTGCAGTCTTGTAATTCATTCCGGAAAAAGCGGAAGCCACACGCCCGAACCAAGAAGCCTCCCCCCCTAAACCCTAAACCCTAAACCCTAAACCCTAAACCCTAAACCCTAAACCCTAAACCCTAAACCCTAAACCCAAGCGGCTTCTGGGTGGTTCGAAGCCAGGGCGCAAGTGAGTGGCATCCTCCATGTTGGTGCAGGGCAGCATTGACTGCGAGTTCATGGCCTTCTGCTGGGCTGCTTTGCTAAACCCCCAATCCCCAACCCCCAACCCCCGAACCTCAAACCCTAAACCCTAAACCCTAAACCCTAAACCCTAAACCCTAAACCTGAAGCAGGGTGCGAACAACGAGCAGTTGCCTGACGAGCTCTGAGACAGGTTCGACTCTCAATTGTCTACTTAGGAACCCTGGTTCTTCCGTAACCGTATCATTCGCAGAGAACTTAGGGTCGGTCGGAGGGAAGGGAGGGAGGCCTTCCGCCGACCGTCGACCCCTCTTTTTCGCGTGAGCTCTCTTGTGTTGTCTTGCAGAGGACTTCCGGCATCCAAAACGGGTTTCAAGCTCAAGGTCTAACTATGCCTTAGGGTTTAGGGTTTAGGGTTTAGGGTTTAGGGTTTAGGGCTTAGGGTTTAGGGTAACCAAGGCTGGTTTAGAGTGAGGGTTTTAGGTGTATGAGGGTGTGTGCTCCTGTCAGTGTTCACAGTCCGCCAGAGAGTTCACCAGCGCGGGTGCAGGCAGTACGCAACCACTGACCGTTCACCTTCTGGGACAACGTGGTTGCCCAGCAAGGTAACAAAAGAAGGAACCCCTTTCTTGCCTGATGTTGCGCTGCATTCTTTTAGGGAAAAGTACGCTAGAAATATGTTGAGAAGTGGAGGGTGCTCGTGATGGGCAGCGAAGCCTTCAAGCCCTAAACCCTGGCCCGAAAACACCTAAGCCACTGCACACTTTAAACCCATGAAACTCGTTAAGGACTTTAAACCCTAAACCATAAGCCCTTTAAGCCCTCACCCCCCTAAGAAACCCTGAGCTCCTTACAAAGCCCATAGACTCTACAGCGCCTGTAAACCCTCTAAGACCTACCAAAGCCTCGCAACCCCACCATAAACCCCAGAAACCCTAGAAACCCCAAACCCTACCCTAAACCCTAAACCCTAAACCCCCAATTGCAGCCCTCTACAAACCCGAAGCCGCGAGGCCGTGTAGAACTTCGAGGCGATGCCGGCGAGGACGTGGACCAGGGTGAACCAGATGCACCTGAAGAGAGTTTAAGGGGCTTAGAGTTTCAAGGTCTGGGGTGTTAGGGTGGCTTTAGGGCTTTAGAGTTTCAAAAAGGTTTAGGGTGGCTTAGGGTCTTTTTGGGGTTCAGGGTTGCGTAGGGTTGTAGGGTTTCGGGTTTGGGTGCTTAGGCTTTTTTGCCCAGAATGGACACACCTTACGGTTTGGGGTTCAGGGTATAGGAATGAATGTCGGGTTATAGACATAGACTTGTACGGTTGTAGGATTTAAGGGCTGCGGGACCCGACTGACGTGGGCAGCTTTTCCACTGAGGGCAGTTCTCAAGCTAGGATTGCGGGTTTAGGGCCTCAGGGTTGAATGTTCAGAGTTCAGAGCTCAGGGAACCTGAATCCCGCATCTTGCTGGTCGCTGCCTCATGGTCTCTTTTTTTGAGATACCCCTGGCTTTAAGGATCTGTCTCCTAAACCCTAAACCCTAAACCCTAAACCCTAAACCCTAAACCCTAAACCCCATCATTCAAGAGAGCGGGCTTCCCACAATTTTGGACTCGCAAACCACCCACTGATAGTCGCAGCTTGCTCTGGGAAACCTCCCCCCAAACCTTAAAACACCCTAGGGTTTAGGGTTTAGGGTTTAGGGTTTAGGGAAACCCTATAAACCCTCAGAGCTCCATGGGCTTCGGAGTTGGGTTTTAGGCCTTAGGGCTGGCAGGGACACCGCAACCCTAAAAGGGTTCAGGGTGCATACGGCTTAGGGTTTTTTTTTAGGGTTACCGTGTGAACTCCAACACCCGGCTTAAGACACCAGAATTTAAAAATCACACCCAAAGACAGAAGACCAATTACCCAACCAGAGCCTTTTGGGGGCTAAGGCTTAGGGCTCGGAAGGGAAAGGAGGTTTCTGGGCTCAGAGTGCGTTTTGGGCCTTCGAGCCCGAAGCACACCACCGACACCACAAGTCCTCATCCCCAGATCCACCCTACCATCACCTGACCCTACGCCCAGTCCTCCCCCCCCCCCCCCACCCCCCCCCCAACCTTCTCTTCCCAAAACACGCCGCACAATCCAAACCCTGAACCCTGGACCCTCAATTCCCCAAACCTATTTTTGGCGTCTTGGAGAATCCCCGTCGGAGGCGCCAGGGCATCATCAGGCCGTCCCAGGTGCCAAATTGCTGCAAGCGGGCTCGGGGGTTCGGTCAAGGGATAATCTCGGCTATTCGTTTAGGATTCTTTGTTGGGGTCTTTTGAGTTTTCGAGTTTGGGTTTATGGTTTTTGGGGGCTTAGGTTTTTGGGCTTTAGGGCGGATTGCTTGCCTCCACATCCCTTAAGATTTAAACCCCCTCACGTCACAAACACTACTTCAGGACGGTCTTGGGGGCCACTGCTTCATCCGTCCCGTCGATCCTGAAGCTCTATAAACACCTTCAACCTTGAAACTCAAAGTCATCGAACCCTGAAAGGTTAAAGCTGCATGAGCCCTATCAGCCCGATAAACCCTATCAATTCTAGAAACCCTAAACCCACAAGCCCTTTCAAGAGAATTGAATTTCCACCTCGCAATGAAGAGCGGGGAGCTCCTACGGTACCCTTTAAAAACAACGGGGGTTTCAGGCCTACAAGGTTTACCCTTAACGACACTTATTGCGTGTGATTCTTTATGGACTTGCAGGTGCAAGCAGGGCTTTTGGGACTCAGAGCTCTTATTGTCAGGTGCAGAGCCCTAACCGCACACCCCGAAACCGTTGAAAGCAAAACCTACAAGCCCTAAAATCCCCCAGCCCCACCCCAAAAAAAACACCTTATTATTAGAACCATGGCAATCATCGTCCTAGTAGTCTATATTGCATGGCATCAAAAGCAGACACGCGAACGCACACGCATATGTACATGCATGTGTGTATATTATATATCTATATATGTATGCATGTCATGAACATGTCACACTGCATAACGCAGTATGGGTGTGGATGTCTGTGTACATGTATACACATGTCAATGTGTCTATGCCCATGCGCACCTAAACACTACATTCCACCCCTCAAATCCCGGAAGCCCCACATCCTGGGCCTCCTTCCAGTAATCCGCGCCTGGCGGGAAGTAGATGCCATCAGAGATGGCCTGGGCCGCTCGGATAACGCGGACAGGGGAGCCGCAGGTTTAGGGGTTTGGAGCTTTAAGGAGTTTTAGAGTTCTAGGGCCGGGCGGTTTTTAGGGGTTAGAGACTTCGATCTTCCCGCCAAGGGGTTTGGGCCGGTTTGGGGTTTAGTCAGAGTGGGGGCAAGGGGGTAGTGGCCAAAATGCAGGAGGGTGCTATTGCAAAGGCTCACGTGAATGCTCGAGAGGCACCACGAAGCTGTGCTCCACGGAACGGGGATCTGCTGCAGACAATAAACAGATGTTTACCATCACAATATAATACGCAGAGTGTATGAACATGTAACATGTTCATAGTGCAACAATTATTTAGATGAATAGCTATAGATATATACAACACAAAGTACATTGTACTGTATATTAAATATGCCTATGTAAATATGCAACTTTATGATATGCAGTATTGTATCATCCCAGTCGTATCAAGCCCCACCCCTCAGCCCTGAACGCCGTCTTAACCGCGTGCCCCCCCCCCCCTCCCCGCCTTGCAACTCTCCAACCAATCCTTTTGTCTCAAAGAAGGGTTGTGAAGCCTCATATAATATAGTACGGTCTTCCTGGTTTTCGGGCTGAGAAATACCCTCTTTTCGCCCAGTATACTCCCCGTGTGAACCACTACGCCAAGCGCCACGAGAAAAGCCTAGCAAAGGCCGAAGAAACCCTGAACCCCTACAAACCCCTAGAAACACTCAAAACCCCTGAAATCCCCTTAATTCTCCGATTCAAAGAGGCATAGGCGATGTAGAGGCCCCAGATCATCACCACATAGCCGGCCAAGGGCAAAGCCACCCAGGCATAGATGATGCAGGTGCCGAGGTAGGAAGAGCGGTAGCCGTACCTTAGCGGGTTCAGGGTTGGGTTGAGAGCGGTAGCCGTACCTGGGGGGGGGGGGGGGGGTTTGGGGGTCAGGAGTTTTCAGGGCCTAAGAGGGCTTGTGAGGTTTTTGGTCGGGGCGGTTGTAGCCTCTGGGTGAGAGCGTTTCCATAAACCCCTATATCCACGCAACGCCGTACCAGCGCCCAAACATCCAAACCCTGAAGCCCTGCTGGGAGTTCGGGCTTAGGATGTAGAGTCTCAGCCTAAACCCCAATGCTCTGAAATCGAACGCGCGTCTGTGAACCATGCAATAAGTCATGGGTATCGGTGGGATATCTCTCCTTACACGCCCGAAACCCAAACCCAACACCTCAACCCTTACCGGAGAAGTGGCAGCAAGAAGCAGCTCAGGGTGGCTTCGGTGAAGCCACGGCTTTTCGCTAGTGGGCTTGTTTAGGGGGCCGGTGGGCTCAAAGTATGGTGTAAGGTTGGAGGTTTAGGGTTCGGGTCTAGGTTTCAGGGTTGAGGTAGCCCCGAAACAGAGTACAGTTTATCGTTTTCGCAATTTGGCTCTGATATGATTTGTGAGAGTGACGAATGGTCTATCTGTGCTTTAACCTTCTCGTCTCTAGTACAACTAAGCCTGAAGTAATGGGTAAGGAAATTCCAAGCCCCTTCTAGGAAGCAGCAACCCCTGAACCCTAATTCAGCGCAGGATTCTGAATGAACTTCCGCGGCACCTGAACAAGATTGCGGTGTCCAAGTGGGGAGAAAATGGGGAGAGAGGAAGGGCCTGACAAAGGGCTTCAAAGGAGTTTCGGTTGCTTGGGGGGGGCTTTAGTGGTTTGAGGTTGCTTGGGGCTCGTGTGGGGTTTTGACTTGTTGAGAAACTTTAGGATGTTAACCGGGGGATACAGGGCGTTTAGGGCTTGAGGGCCTGGGGCTTCAAAATTCAGGCGGAGCCTCCAGAGCCAAGGGCTCATAGTATCTCTATACATATATAATGTATGTATGTGTTTTTCCTGATTTGAACTTATATATATATATATATATACATACATACATACATACATACATACATACATACATACATACATACATACATACATACATAGTTACATACATACATACATACATACATACATACATACATACATACATACATACATACATACATACATACATACATACATACATACATACATTCATACATACATATATATACATATATATATATATATAGGATTCGAGTGCGGCCGAGTTAGCGAAGCTATCCGGGCTCCACCCCATCAGAAAAGGCGCGAGCACACCGCAAACAAGCATTGTTTGGACCGCAGGTTCAAGTGTGGGGGGGGGGGGGGGGGGGTGCTAGCTACGTAGTAGAAAGGATCCTAATTATCGGATGTAGACATGGGTGGGAGGACTGTATGGCTCACATGGCGGCTCATTCGGGTTTAGGGTAGGCTTGTAGGGTTTCAAACCTTCAATCGGATGCTAGCTCTTGAGAACTCAGCATCCCCAATGCCCAGCAAAACAGAAACCCAAATCCCTGAAACCTCTGCCTGCAACACATATAGCGTGGCACTGATAAGGGACAGGTGCCCACAAAAAGAGGGGCACAACGGTCCTAGAAAATGCACCCGCGGTATCACCCACCCCGAAGCTCTAGCTTATGGTAGCTATACGCAGGGTAGCAAGCGCCTCACAGCAAGGGTAAAACTACTTGCGACTTGTCACCCGCAACCATACTTCTAGCTAGCTATGAACCTTCAAGTCCCTTCAAATCCACGCTTGCCAAGGCACGCTGTCCGGCGAGTGGAACATGAGCGGTATTCCTGAGACTCCAATACCAAGCAGCTAAGCAGTATCATCTAACTTGCACGGGACTCTCAATAGCGAACAACTCCAAACTCCAAAGCCCTCGACCGCTAAACCCCCCAAAACCACAAACCCTGAAACCCAACACCCCTAGCACCCTGACTGCCCTAACTCCTAAAACCCCTAGACCCCCAAACCCCAAGCCCCTGCACCCTGGGCCTTTGACGCCAGAACCATAAAATCCCAAACCCAAAGCCCAAGACCTCCTGTCGCAAAGGAGCCGTAGCTCTTGCCTTGCTTCTTGCACTCACGCTTCACGCTCGACACGACCTCGGGTTGAGGCATTTTGGATTCAGGGTTTAGGGTTTAGGGTATTCCTGGGTGCGTAGACAATACAGTAAGCTAGAAACTTGAAAAGGAGACTCTGCCCAACTCCTTACCGTTCTTTTCAAAGATGCCTCTAAGCCTCTGAACCCTGAATCCTCAAACTTCTTAAAAGCATCAAAAAAAAACTCTGTCGAAAGGCCCTGCAAGGAGTTGTAGACACACATGTGGGGCTAAAGGGTTTACCCGAACCTTGAACCAAGCCCAACCTAAGCCGAACACCTGACATTTGCATGGGTGTTGGCTCAGTCCAGGAGGCTTGATTTCGGTACACCTGCCACATGCCCGTGGCGGCGGCGAGTACCTGTGTGGGGATGAGGGCTTAGGATCGAGGATTTAGGGTTTTGAGGGTTTTGAGGGTTGTGAGGGCTTAGTGCTTCGGCTCGAGGATTAAGGGCTTTGTAGGGTTTGAGGGCTTTCAGACTAGGATCAAGGGCTTCGGGAATGGGGATTTTGCGGGGTTACAGGAGCTGTACGATGAGAAGAACAGATGAATTAAGGGTCTATAGGGAATCTTAGTAGCCCAGTAAAAAGAGTACAATAAGGGCACCCTTTTTTTTTGGTTGGCTACTTTATAAGGGAAACCAAAACCCAAAAAAAAAAGGAAAAGGGTACTACGAAGGTTTACAAAGCTTCGGGCTTTGGAAGATCTGACCGCACAACGATCAATGGGGGGGCGCAAGTGTTTCGGGTGTTGGGGGCTTATAAGGGTTTAGGGTTTAGGGTTTAGGGTTTAGGGTTTAGGGTTTAGGGTTTAGGGTTTAGGGTTTAGGGTTTAGGGTTTAGGCTGTGGGATGGGTTGGGGGGGGTTAGGGTTTAGGGTGGTTCCTTCGATGCTTCACAGCTGCGGTTGCTTTGCTATTTTCCCTAGGAAGAAAGCAAGAACCAAGCGATAATAAAGCAAGAATAGCACACATAGAGCAGCAAAAACACACGCATAGTGAGTCCCAACAAAAAAACACCGAAATGGGTCCAAAAGAGCAAAGCAAAAGCAAACAAAAAAGGGAAACATAGTGGTGCCCAAAGAGCCAGATAAAGTAACACATCAGCGCATCGCATTTTTGCCCCTTTGCCCCCCCCCATTATTTTGTTTTTGTTAAGAGATAGGTTGGTGTTTACACGCCTTCGGTTTTGCTGCGTGATCGGAAAATACATGATAAGACTAGAAGTAGCTTGAAAGTGCGCCAGAAATTCAGTGCAGGGCCCAGGGCTCAGAGAGCTGCCCACAGAGGGTTTAGGGTTTAGGGTTTAGGGTTTAGGGTTTAGGGTTTAGGGTTTAGGGTTTAGGGTTTGGGGTTTGGGGTTTAGGGTCCAGGTTTTCGGATCTAGGATTAGATTGACAAGGACTTGCATGTCACTGCCCGCCCACCCAGCCACCCACAAAAGATTTCCAGCACCAGCCCTTTTACGGGACAATCAAAGGGAAACGAGCTCGGGCCGTTAAATCTGGGGTTTAGGGTTTAGGGCTTAGGGTTTAGGGTGTTTTGGGTTTCGTGCTTAGGGTTTCGGGCTTGGGGCGTCACTTGGCCTTCTGAATGTGCATCCATATTTGGGAGCACAAAAAACACAGAAGCCCTGGGCAGCCTCTCTTTTCAGGGTCCAAGATCAGCCGGGAAGCAGCCATCATGCCGAACTGCCCGTACATCCTTGGGGAGCGGGCTTTTTAGGGTCGAGGGGGTAGGGTAGGGGAACCTGTCAAAAAAAAAGTGCGCCTCTTGAGGCATATAAAAGGATAGAAGGGATCCCTATCCGCACAAAGCAAGTTTCTGTCGTGGGTTTTGGGGCGCTTTAGAGAGGCTCCGACGTGCTTACAAGAACTTGAGGGAGGTTTCGGGGAGGGCTTTAGTCTGGGCACGGGGAGTGAGTAGACTGAGGAAGTCCCTTCGCCAGAACCCTAAACCCAAGCGGATTTTGGCGACTCCTGGGTGGGGTTTCGGGGGTCTTGGGGTTTAGCCGGCTGTTTTTTGGGGGGAAGGGGGGGGGGGAAGGGGGGGGGCGGGGGGCAGGGGAGTAACTAGTAGAGGGGGGTTACTGGGGTTTAGGGGGGTTTTGAGGGGAGTTTACCGGTCTGGGGTTTAGTTTGCAGGGGGCTTCCTCACGGGCTCTTAGCATAGGTTGGCAAGGTAGCACACGCTAGGTTCAGGGCGCGGCTTTTAGGTTTTTGGTCTTCTGAAGTCAGGACCCCAGAGGGCTCACGGCGGCCCTGGACAAGAATCCTGCATAGCAAAGCTTAGCCCAAACCCTGTAAACCCCAAGACCTGTCTGTAAACCGAACCGCTAAGCCCTGAAAAGCGCCCCCATGCACAGACGCAGAAACGCCGAGCAACAGGCTCGTGCTCAGGCCTGCAAGTGGCCGGGCTTCATTTTGGGGCGAGAGTTGCGGGATTGCGAAGTCTGTTTAGGTTTTGAGGGTGAAATTTGCATCGAGCCGTAATTAAAGTGCCGGCATTTGCAGAGGGAGGCGCAGAAGAGGTGCAAAGAAGGGTGAAACAACCAGGTGCATGCAGCATGGCATGGGATATAGACAGGTCATGACAAAGACACCATATGGGGCGAGTTACAGGAAACCGTTTGCCGCAGTGGCGCATCTTCAAGCATCAAGAGTCTTACAGGAAGAAACTGCCCCTTAGCTGAACATGCACCATGTGACACAGTATGGTCTCCGGGCCTGAAAATCTTGAAATGCGAGTCGTGAGGGCACTCGGGATAGGGGTTTCAGGACTTGATCTAAAGCCCAAACCCTTTTCTTTTGCGGGCTGAGGGCCTCGGGTAACGCCCTGAACCCACCTTTGGCTTTGAAACCGAACCCTTCAGCAAAGTCGAGCTGAGCGCAGTCCCAGACGCCATTGAACCCAGCCATGGCGTCCTACTTCTCACCCGCGCGGCGAAAGAAAGCAGGAGGCGGGAGGCAAGAACGGCGACCCTACGACACCGAAAAATGCGCAAGCGATGGCAACAACTGCCGAGGAACGCCTATACAGTGAGCAATTTCCAGCTACCAGTGTGGGCAAAACTGCATCTGGGAGCTCTCCACGCTCGAGCACTGCAGCTGCGAGCTTCGGTTCCACCCTTTTGGGGTTCATAGGGTTCATAGGGTTTGTGGGCATTTTGCCGACAAGGGCCCTGGGCACGGGGCACTGGGCGAATATTGTCAAGATTCCAGATTTGTCCGTTCAATGAGCAGCCACATCACCACTAAACGTCTGCGCCCCCAAAGCCATCAACCCACATTCTCTAAATCATATGGCACCCTGGCTATAGTGGGGTACCTACGGGGCCGTAGCGCAGACCACGAAAGTGAACACGGTCCAACGAACTGACGGGTTGAGATCCCAAGCTACAGGGGTTGCTTGTAGGGCTTACCTAGCGAAAGAAGAGGTGTATTTGGAAGCCCTAGCCCTAACCCTCAAGAAAAGGGGAAGAAAGGAAACCCTGTTGGCCCCATCCCAGATCAGGGAAACACAGGACTATAAGGAGGAATATGAGGACCAGCATTTTTACCTACTGTATTCGTGCGGTCCCCTGCCTTGGGGTTACCATAGGCTTCCTGTAGGGTTTGGGGTTTGGGGTTTCGCCCCCTTGTCTGAAATACAGCGTAGAGCATTCTTGCCGCTGCTTTCAACCCTCAACCCTCAACCTCAGCGTCCCAGAACCACCCAACCGGCTTGGCCAAGGGAACCCCTCCCCTAAACCCTAATTGGTTCTGAAGACAAAGGCCCCCTTTGGGCTGCGAGCCTTGCGAACCAACTCATACAGCCGCAGCCAACCGATGTGTTGGGAGTTTATGGGGCTTATAGGGCTTTCGAGGTTTTGAGGTCTACATTCGTGAGCCGGAGCCGGATGTTCTATAGGTGGAGGAGGTGGGGCCATTCGGTTTAGGGCTTAGCGCCACCCCACACCGAGATGCATGGTGCGTCTGCGTCTCCGGATCATGGGCGTAGCCGCCTTCGTGGTAGTGGCCTGACGGCGCCAGGAGCTGCTCTCGCCCCTATACCAGGGTTCCTCTGTTTAGGATCTTGGGGTTTAGGGTTTAGGGATGAAGGGGAAAACGTGATTGCTGAGCGTTGTCACGAATTTTGAAGGATCCAAGCCCCTATGCGGTTTCGGCTTCAGGTGTCCCAACACAACAGGAGTAAGGATACCCGCGAGCCGTCCTGGGATCAAACCAAACCCAGTCACCAGTGAAGCTGAACCATTATCGGCCCTGTGAAACCAGCTAAATAGGAAGATCCTCTTCAGCCCAAAAGGGATATCACAACACATCCCCAAGCCCTACACCCTAAAAATAAATGCCCAACAACAATATCCCCAGAGCCGACCCCGACATCGAACGAAGCACCCAGAGCGGCCCCCAAGAGATCCTCCACACAAACCACCGAGGCCCCTTCAAAGGGCTCTTGATGGCTCTTGGTAATTACCTCCGAAGCCTCCTCCCTCACACCCACATGCAATCTACCAGCCTGCCAGCACCAGGGGCACGCAGCCCCGGAACTCCCGTAGCACCTCCAAGAGCTCGTCGTAGTTCCAGAGCCTGAGTGGGTTTAGGGCTTTGAGGATTGCATAGGGTTTGGGCCTTGGGCCTTGGGGCTGTTGATGGGTTTAGGGTTTAGGGTTCAGCGGTCTGAGTTTCAGCGGTTTGGAGGTGTTCCCAGACTAGGTTTCAGGTTGAAGGGTTTAGGATCGGGTTTAGGTGTACAGGGTTTAGGCGGGTTTAGGGAGTTTATGAGGCTTAGGGCTGGTGTAATAATTGCTCAGCATGAGAAGGAGTTTAGTGCTTTCGGGGTTTAGCTGAGGGGGCTAGGGCTGTTCTTTTTTACTCCCAGTGTCTTCCGAGGGGCAGCGCGGCAGGCACCGCAGATGCGGGATAGAACGGCAGATGTGTCAGCACCTTTTTCGTATCAGAGTTGAGAGGGTGTGGGGCCCTAGGGCATGGGTGAGCATGTAACTTAGGTTTCAGGTTACAGCCAAAGGAACTGAAGAGGATAAGAGTCTTCGCCAGAATAAAAGTCAAGGCTGCCACAGGCAGCTGGGAACTGCTTGGTTTAGGATTTCGAGTCCAAACACTCAATCCCAAACCCGAAACGGGCTTCCGATACTGAATGGAGCCTTACCTTAATGGCTTAGGTACAAAGCCAGAGCCAACAAACCACAAAGCCTCTCGAGATCTGCAGGCCCACCCCCCCCGCCACGGCCGCAGCTTCATGCACCTAATCCCTCAACCCTGAAACCCCTAGACCACTTCGTGTTGCGACAAGAATCGGCGGTTAGCTTTCAGAATCCTTTAGATGGCAGCGGCGGCGCCTTCTTTCCTACAAACACCAGGGTTTAGGGGGTGACTTTAAGGCTCAGGATCCTTCATATGGGCCTTGGAATGAAAAGGGTTTAGGAAGTTTAGGGTTTAGGGAGAGGCCTGTGGATTTCAAAGCGTGTCACAGGAAATATCCCTACGACACCCCGAAGTTTTGACTTCATGTCGTATCCCATCGGGCACGCCCAAAGGGTCATGCGGTCCTGAATAGGCCGTCAAGTTTGACTTTATGCAGGCGCCCCCACTAAACGGGTCCAACACAACCCTAAGCCCCAAACCCTAAACCCTAAACCCTAAACCCTAAACCCTAAACCCTAAACCCTAAACCCTAAACCCTAAACCTAAACCTAAACCCCAAAACCAATTCTAGGGTTTTCAGTGTTGCGAATGGTTGGGGGACGCCCATGCAGGCAAGGACCCAGATTGCTCTTCTTAACGTTTAGGGATCCTTCGCACGTAAACGCATCCTTTGTAAAACCAGATAAAAACCCCGGCACCCTGTAAAGATGGACCAAAGTCAGCTTCGACTGTTCAGGGGGAACACACTAAACAGGCTCCAGCGGTAATAAAACAAATATGTTAAAACCTCACACCCCCGACCCCCCCGCAAAAAAATGAAAACAAAAAAGAACAAACAAGCCCTAACACCCTCAACCCTCAAAACCCGAACCCCAAACCCCCAGGCCCCCTGAGATCCCCGAAGCAAAAACTTCGCATCGTGCGTCCCCGTTGCTATCGTCTGGTCGCCACTCCGCTGTGCAGCCCTCAGCTCCTGCCAGGGACAATAGATCGAAGGACAAGTGAGGGACTTTGGGTTTAGGGTTTAGGGTTTAGGGTTTAGGGTTTAGGGTTTAGGGTCTAGGGGTTTTGGGGCAACCTCAGCCTTACCACGCATGGCACGGTAACCCCGCTCCCCCCGAGTATTTCAAAACCTGCCCTATGAGATTTTATTGGAGATCCTGCGCCCTATGCCTGCATTTGGAAATGGAAAGGGTAGGCTTTCAGGGCTAAAGGTGACTTAGACTTTGCCGCAGGAGGAAAAATTCAAGGCTGAAACTTGAGGGCTCCAGGCACCTCGCGCATCCACTGCAACTGCTCCGACGTCATCGCGCCTGAAGACGCTGAAGGGGCGAACCCGGTCTGTGGCTGAGGTGCCTAGGCCTGGGAAGCCCTGCACGCTCTAAACCCCAAACATATGATACCCATAATTCGAGAGTTTCATTAAGCTCTACCCCCCCAACCCCCCCGCTAGCAAAAACAACAATTAACCCGAAACCCCTTTAGACTTGGTACTTCTGGCTGAATTGCGTCATCTTCGCTGCGCTGTGTTGTCGGGGGGAGAAGTGGGCTTCAAACGTGGGCTGAGTCGGCTAGCACGATAGGGACTACAACGAACATACAGTACTGGACCTTTCAACCCAAGAATACATCTTGGAACTTTGAGACCTGCACCGCAAGTTCTGCCCCGGGAACCTAAACTCCAGACTCGAAACAGAAGCAGGTCGAAGAATTTTAAGATGCAGAGTGGAATTGGTCGTCTTAAGGCTTGTTGCTCGCTAGGCAGACCTCCGCAAGGAAAGCATGCCAGCAATCCGAAACACGCAGTGGGCAAATGTCGTGCTCGATGGCTCTGCTGCAAATGCCGCGAAATTTTGGGGAAGCTGCAGAATCGCCTTGGGGGTATGATAGGTTTTGGCTCCGAAAGTGCCATGATAGACGACTCCGATTACCCGCAACGAGTTCCCTGCAAGCCGCGTCGGGCTGCTGACCACTGGCCTTTCATGAATGCCTGGGCAGACACATAGACGCGTCTAAGCAAACAAGGCGCATTGGCTCGCAAACTCATATAGGCAGCATTGGAGTTTTTACAGTCCGTCGTCCCTCCAGAGTGTGGATATCGTGCTCGGCAAAAGGGCGATGACCCAGAACTTGAAGCGCTCCCATTCAATGCAGTTCAGCATTTTGGGTTTGGACGAGCCGCAATGTCCTTTTGCAGTGTACCTATGGAAGTAGCTGCCCAAAATCCCTCTTCAGTATTGTTCTGAATACCTGAATAGTCCATAGCTGAACTACAATCCTCCCTTTGGCTACGGGCTAAACCGCAACCCCTTCACAACTGGGCCTGCGCGAAGGAAGGGCTTGTGGCTTACGATCCAAACTCAAGACCCGGATCGACGGTGCTTGTGACGAACGGGGAAACAGGAACAAGGGATGCATCTGTAGTAATTGAAGTTGGTAATCCTCAGCCCGAAGCATACGACCCTACACCCGGTCTGGGTTCCGGGCTCCCCCATGACATTAATCCGAGCACCTGTTTAACCCCCATATTTAAAGAAATTTCTTTTCCTGGAAGCCCGCCGGAAGACTGCTTTCCATTAGGGTGGATTTCGGCTGGAGATAACCCCCCACATTTAAAGAAATCTTTTTTGGGGGGGTTCGCAAATCTCATGAGTGGCCTTTTTTTTGTCTTGTGTGCTGGAAAACAATACGTTCTTATTGTTTTTTAATAGAGAAACCATACGGGGCCATGGTCCAACTATTGCGGAACCCTG